TTTTTATTTTTATATGTATACATGTTTAAAATTATTTTTACTGATTGCACAGAAATGTGAATGTGACACTGAGTCACCTCTTCGCATAGCATGTGGGTTACCAACTTCTGGTTCGTTCCTCCACAAACTGTATTCCTCTAATGGTTGTGACGTCAGCAGATATTTTGCTAGCAGTCTGGCATCCCTACATCTCTTGCTTACAGGTGGGTACAATACACTAATATGTCATCAACACTTGAACTACCTTNGGTGCCAAATCCCAGAAGACTGCTTTCTTCATGAGAAGAACTGCTAACAAAAAGATATGTTATCCAAGTTAAATTGAACTTGCATTCCGCCAAAAGCCATGTTCTTCAACACGGAATCAACATGTCCACTATTTCCCTTCTTCTTTTTCAAAAGACGTGAGGCAGCTTGAATTTAAGTGGCTTCAGAAGACATCTACCAAACCCTATATATATACACACTATTCTAGCTCTTTAAAGGATTTGTTTAGCTTCTGAGCTGTGCTAATAGTTTTGAGAAAATCACTAGTCACAAACAGCCCAGTATTTTAATTTTGACATAGCATAATATTTGTAGTAACAGTATGTATTTGATGTTCTCCCACACGTTAGACATAAATGATATAAGTTATAAGTTAAAGGTTAAATTAACTAAAGATCTATATATAATTTATTTTTCCTTAGAATCATGATGCAAATGGGATAGATGGATAATGGCTTATGAAACTTATGAGGGATCTGTGTATATGAACCACAGTGATTTACACATACATTTCTAATTTCCAGGAGACTTGCAGGGTAACTGGTCAAGTGTGTTGGAAGCAGTGAAACTATTAGCAACTATACGGAGGGAGAGGCGGACAGGGGCAGGTCAAGAATGGCACTTTTTGCTCTCCATGAGAGACTCTGAAGGAAACACTCCACTTTTAATAGCAGGGCGTCGTTTGCTGAGGGAAGAGGCATTTGGTCAAGCAGCCCAACTTAGTCAACTCCTCCTTGAAGCTGGCAGTGACCCGAATGCAACCAATAGTGAAGGTCGCAGTCTTCTCACATACAGTGTTCATTACATGGATGAAAGTATAGAACTGACCAGAGTCCTTCTCAATGGTGGGGCATCAGTATGGCCACAAGGAACTCATGAGACAATAAATGAAAATGTTTGTAATGCAGATCATTATTCGGCTTTCACATGGTTTCTGCGTTCTGTCATTAGGAGAAGGAAACTTGATGAACAGTGTGTACAAACTCTTGCATTACTGTCACAAGTCATGGGAGAACATCCTGGACGTATGCATGCACATGTGATGCGCACAATGTTTCGGCATGCAAAGTGTTACAAAGTACTGGGTCCTGTGTTCTACCAACTGAAGATTTCAATGATGCGGTACTGGACCCAGCCACAGGACTTGGTTTTTATGTGCCGAAAAGCCATCAGATCAGCTGTAGGACCAGAAAGAATCATGGCAGGAGAAACGAGCCAATTGGGATTGCCAAACAAGATACAGCGATACCTTCTGCTGGAGTAATGTCAGACACACAGATTTCAGAAGTAGCACATGTAACCAAACTCAAAATCCTTTATCAGAAAACTAACATGGTGCAGTTTAGCTCTTAAGAATCCTGTGCATCCACCATATTAGAACAGTTCAAATCTCAGAGCTATAATCACTGAATACATTTATTTCATTTGCAATCTTGTCTGACATGGGTCCCTTTGGAATTTCTTCCAAGGGAACGAGGACAACTACTTCTCAAATGGGAGTAACCACAGAATTCACTTACAAAGTTACATTTAAGCTATTTAAGATTGCTGATATTAAGCTTTCAAAAATAATTTTAATCCTTATTATTAATATTTGGAATATTTATATCTTTTCCTCAATTTTTATTTCTTTTCAAAGTCCAGCAAGGATGAAGGTGCCTCACCCCAGCACCAATGATTGCCAATGCAAATAAGATAAATTAAACTGTCTTCTTAACAAAATCTGATCCTGTAGCACTGAATGCTATGCCTGTTACTCAACTTTCTCATTCAATGACAACTGAAAAAATTTACCATCAGGCAATAATTGTTACAAATTATTTCATATTAGGAGACAGAAATCAGTGCTGAGAGTCCAATTGCTCTGACTGCACATATCTCAGATTCTTAAGTGTGTATTACACCATGCATAAAATGTGCCACAACAAATATAAATTATGAATAATTATGAACTTCTTTTGCATACATACTTTAAATGAAACTCACCAGTGAAATAATGAGCAATAAGACAAACGCAGCAGTAGCCTGTAGTGAATATTACAGGATATAATACAGTTGAATTTGCAAAGAACAAAGCCAAAGAACATATCTGAAGAGGATGGAGTGGAATCTTGAATGTCTGATAAAATTCTTCTCTCTCTCTCTCTCTCAAAATCAGATGATCTATGTGCAGTTTCATTTAGCACAGAATATACAAGAAGCCTGTTTCATACTCTCAAAGGCAGAAACTCACACTTGTCCTATCACGATATTCAGGCATAACCAGCATTATTTATGTCTGCAAATTGTAACTTAAAATATATTCGCTTTATCCTGGACTGCATGGTAACTTCAGCTATTAATTAAATAACAAACATAAGGTGTCGTATACTCCTCCTCCTCCTCCTAACTCTTCCCCCCACCCCCATAATTTGATACTTAGTCCCTATTCCAAGCCAAAGATGCTCTTGAGCCCTCCATTCTCATCCTTGGCTTTCCAGTGTCTCTTCATGCACAAGGCCTGTGATGCTTAATTTCTCTGGATATTGCAAAATATGGCAATATTTTCTGAACATGTTCTTTCCATTTTTGGTTGTACTTCCCAATTTCATATACAGCAAGCTCTATTCTCCATCATGTATGAAGAATTTGATGTTTTATTACACGAGCCTGCCAGTTACATGAAAAACACAGAAACTCAATTTTAGACACAATATTCCACATTTTCGGTCTTCTACACATTTAAAGTTTCTGTTTCAGGGTCAAACTAACACATTTTGAATCAAGTCTTTATATGGTAGACTTTTTACATGACAAAGTGGATTGATGAGTGAAAGATTTTGGATACACTGTAGCACAATCACAAATTCAACTGGCTTTTTAATCATAACGGATCACTGCATGAAAGGGGACAAGAGCAGCACTCCTAGTGATACTTGGAAGAACTAATGCGTGAGGAATGAATATAAGTGCATTACAACTTTGTTTTTTAAGTATCTTTATAGAAAGAGTAAATTTTCTTTGACATGTTTGCTGGTTCCTTGAGAATTCGAGATGCTTATGTTATTTTCCTCATTTTGAGTATGATATTTTATTATTTTAATCATACTAATGGAGATAAATATCTCACTTGTGCCACCTGAATTTACCTTGCCATACTCAGAGCCCATCTTTCACTACCACAAAATAGTACCGCTTTACTAGCCACACTGTGAAACCTTAAAACTACCTATTTTCTCATTTGCTTCCTACAATTTTTCCATTTATTTTGTCTTCAACATTTGCATTCCTGCAGTGAACACAAGAAAACCATTCAAAACCACAAAAATATAGATCACAGTTTTACTGCAGTTTTGAAACATAACTATATATATATAAAGATTTTTCTTTGGTGTTCAGGTACTAATGTTGCAAATATTCAGACTTTTGTGGATGTTTCATGGTAGCATTGAGTTCAGCTGTGCTAAAGAATCATACACTCATACCATTTATCAAACAAAAATTTATATACTTATACTTCAGTAGGAGGGATAATCAAGGTTAAATTGTCAGTGCATGTAGAAAATAATTCCAGCCTCAGATCAGAATATTTGTCTGGATGAAGAATTTCAGATATTGCATGAAAATACATCTGATGAGCAGTGTAACATTTCATATGTGCTGATAACAATTACTTTTAGTACTGTGAAGCAGTGCATTGTCTTAGAATGAGAATCCTATCTGTTTCACGTTGTACAGTACAAATAATTGTCTATCAATCTAGTAGTGAATCAAAATATATTTATGTACAGTATACAGCTTAACACTATTGAAGCCCTGCCATCAGACCAACTCTACATTCGCAATTAAAATTTATGCATGAGGGCTTTTGAAATAAGATTTGAGACATATCTGTCTTCCAGAGACCTGGGATTTGTAATACAGCTTCAACTCCCTGTTTCTGTGGGTGCATTGCTTGACCTACAAAGTGTTTTTTCCTCACTATTTGGTCAGTCTCAACATTAAACACCAAAAAGAAAGGGAAAAAAGAAGGCAGTGTTCTATTCACTACTTTATTTAGCTGGACCACTGACTGAGAGAAATTGCTATGGTGCAAACAAGCTGAAACATGAAATCATTTTTATGATAGCATCTTGTAACCAAGAAATTAGAAGTTGCTGCTATGATAAGAGATAAACAATTGCGATCATAAGTGAACCTTGGTAAGTACTGTGCATGTCCATATGTGGTAGAGCAGAACACAGAGTTGCAAACCAAAGAATGGAGATTAGCTATGAAATCTGTACAATTTGTATTTGCAATTGAAATTGTGTGATACAATAAAACTGGACTATTGGGATGTAAATAAAAATATAAGCATAGTAAATCAGCAGTAAAGGAAGACATGTCAGTAACATGCATGTCCCTTTACATTATACCATAAATTGTACAGAGGCCATTACGTAGACATTTTATTTTCTATACTTGATTCGTGTTCACACTGCAGAGAACAAGGCAAAGAAAGTGCTTATCTTATACCATGCAAATATGATCAAACAAGTTATTGCACCTTATGTTGGACACAACATGTGCTCTGTATACTGATTTCTTTTCCTTTGCACTTGACAAATTATTAATTGGATTATATGCTTATACATAATTCTGCAGCCTTTTTTATTTCTGGCAAGCACTTCTCATGTCAAGTTTTATTTCTTCCTTCTACTGTTTATAATAATCTAAATCAAGATCCAGCTGCCACACATATAACTGGAAACTGCTTGCTATAATGCTTTTCAGATAACATGTACACTGCTTATTACATTGCATATCTACCATAATGTTCTGATCTAGTACTGTAAATTGTTCTGCTGAATGAGAGTCAGAGATGTAGAATGTGCTCATATAGGAATGAGGCAGGGAAGAGTATTTCAGTGCACCAAGATTATCACTCTCGACTTTCAACATCTAAAATGAATGTTAATTTAATTTAAAAATGTGCCAAAGCAACAAACAGTCTGGCACAAAAAGGGCTGAACATTCTGTTAGCACCAAGATATGGAACCAAAATGGACAACTACTTACACATTTATATACTCAACATATGTCTCAGACATAATTACATACTAAATAATATGTCACATTTGTGTCCAGAAATTTCTGTATCTAGTTTTATATGTAAAATTATTGGACACTTATATATCGCTAGAGGCTGTGACACCAAAATAATGTGAAATGAAGAGGTATGTGAAAATTGTGTTCAGTTTTTCTTCAAACTCTCTAAGAAGTAATGTAACAACAGTTCACAGTGTTTCAAGCCAGTGTTCGAAATGGCATAACATTGGTGTATGTGTAGATTGGTATTTGTGAGTTGATGCAATTACACAAACCCCCTCCTCCCTTTTATTAGCCATGAACCATATTAGTACATTCTTGGGAATATTTATTCACAAATTTTCAAATATTTTGTACTCATATATTTCTTCATGGTCCATTCTGTGTAAATCACTACTTATTTCATAGTGTTTTCTTAATGAAAATTAGGACCTATTGAAGCTGATACTTTTCCTTATAAATTGTGCAGGGATCAAGTCTTATGTAATATATTTTTGTGTATTCTTCTTACAAAGTGAATGTCAGTTGTATGGAAAATAATTTATTTTGAAGATTCTGGGGGTAATTAAAGTTGTTTTGAACACAAAAAATAAAATTAAGGCAATACAATAAAAACATTCCTGCACAGCACATATGTCATGATCTTTTTCATGGCTCAAGAGATTAATAAGTTTTGGCTTTTTTGCTTCTCAATTTATCAGGGTAATATAAATGGAGTTAAATGACATCAAGTAAGAAGAAAATGATGAACATTTCACTGCCTTTACCAACTTGTACATTCCCCCATAGGCCTAAGATCACAACTTATATGTCTCAGTTTATTTTGAGAATGTTACCATACCACTGCCAATTAAATTGTCAACATATTATAGCTTAATCCCATGTATATACATATATATAAACTTCTACGTATATAATTATATATTGAATGAACACAATCATTTTATGCTGTGTTAGATTGTGCTTTCCATACAGTGTTCAAAGTGTGTCAGAAAAAGTCACAGTGGAAGGAGTTTACTTTCAAAACCTGATAATGAACCTTTCATTACTGATCTGTAGAAAGACTTATATATGAGAAGTGTGAACTCTATTACATATCACTTCTTGTTCTGATTTGAAATATTTGTATAATATACTGTAGTGTATTTAGCCTATACAGTAGCATTATTGTAATCACAGATTGAGAAAAGATGATTAGGCATATGGCACTAGTGAAAGGGTGGGCAATTATTTCTTACCTGGGGACCAGAAATATCTTTTTTGAAAATACCAAAAAGCCTCACAAGAAACATAGTTTAAAAACTGTTTGCAGTTACTGAATACACATTATATATCAAAATTCACAACACTCACTTTCTCATACCCATCTGTAGATTCAATAGGCTAGAGTTGTAGTAACTCAAAACTTCAGTTAAAATCTCTATTTGTTTGATTTGTGTCTGATTTATTTTTGTGATTGCAATAGTTTCTGTACATTATGTACGAGAAATTAAAAATTAGTAAAAGATAATTTATTCACCCTTGTAATATTGGGATATATGGGTAAAAATTAAAAAGATTACAATATAACTAAAATACAGCTAAACTAAATATGCCCACTAAAATGCATATTGGCAGGAATTAAGGTGCAACATAATTTTATATGTAGGAGTTTAAATGAGGTTGTAAACAAAATTTCAGGCAAGCCAACATCATATGAAGGGCATTTCCATACATTTCAATATTCAATTTCGTGATTTCAGCAGTTTCCAGAGGATCCAGTATTACATTACTCAACAGGAGAAACTATTCACTTCCATTTAGGTGTATCTTCAGACCACTGTGAACACTGTTACTAAAGAACAGCAGTGTAATAAAAGCACTGCAGTATTACAGAACAAGCTTGCACATTAGTCTGTATTAGTCATAGGCCAAGTACTAATAATTTTACATGTAATGAACATCATTCTACAAATATTGCTGGATTAATTTAACTGTAAGTAAATGGAACATTAAAAATAAGACTAAGGAAGTAGAAGACCGATAACAATATTGTTTTAAAACTGCCCACCATTAAAGTCTAAAATGTTAGGATGAAATGTGAACAAACAACAGGTAATGGTGGGCCATACTTGGCATGTCTTGCCCCTAATATTTTTCAACAAATCCTGACATTCTCATTTGTCATTCACATAGAGCAGGGAGGTAGCCTTCCTGTATTTTTTAGTTAGTTTCTGAAAGTTATTTACTATCGATATATAGTTTCATTGTGTTTCTGTCCTCTGATTTCTTGGAAAACGATGGGTTGAAAACCATACTGCAGATATAAAATGCCACACAATGTGCAACAGCAGATCATTTAAATACCCACACAATATACGATTAATATTGTATTTAGTCTACACATTAAAATTAAAAGCGAATGATATTTAATAATATTTAGAGAAATTCTCCTACCAACAATGTGCATGGGGTTGCTTCATTTTCTGTTAATCCAGTCCTATGATGTGCTTCTTTCATATTACCAATACAAAGCATTGCAGTATATAAAAAGTAAAATATTTGGTGTCCATAAAACTCTTGGACCAAAAGTCATACTTTAAACCATGAATTTATGTTGAAGACTGTATGAAATATCTGTATAATAATGAGCTTATTTTGTGATTATGTGATCTTTGTAAGATCATCTAGTAAGTATTTAGTTATGTAAGAGAATTTGTTTGCATCTTGCCATCCCACTGTCCCTATACTGTATCTTCAATAACATTCAGTACTGTACTTATGTAGTCACTTCTGAAACACCACAATTGAAGTAGTCTGTTAAGGGTACCAGATTTTCTTGAATGTGAAATTCAACTGTAGTTTTAAAGGCTTTGTCATTTTACTGCCTGTCTTTACACAAATACTATAGTTAAATTAGAGACAAATGCCAAACGGTTCCTAACAATCAATATTAATATCTGTATCCACTGCCAACTGACCACAATTCATTATTATTTATACAGTATATTCATTGCGCGTAGTATAGTATGTATGAGTAGTTCATTCTTGCATGTGACATGTTTTGTATCTTGTGTACATTAGATTTTATACAATACTTTATTTATGTCAATGATCATGTGAGTTTTGTTTTGTGTGGCTGTAATGTGTAACACGTTGTGTGGTTAGTATGAAAATCAGTCTTTACTTGCCGATTAAAATATACAGAACACATTCAAGTATTTATTTATTTTATTGTTCATAAAGTATAGTGTAAATGACACAATATAATAACAGACCATGTTCCTGCTGACAATGACTTCATGAAATGCAATGCTCCACAAGCCTTCTTTTATTCCAGGACACTTTTATCCTTAATGCAACGAAAAAAAAAAAAGAGAGAAAATGGGGAAGGTAAGTTCAGCATAACAGACCTATTTCTTCTGGATGTGAGCAGACTCAGTAAAGCAATGGGCCTGGACACTTTACATTTTAATATATCCTGGGGTTGAAGGATAACATTGCAACAGAAGGAGAATTAATTGAATGTATCCTTCAGTGTAGGCAAGGCTTGCAGTGTTGCACTGGCAAGCCATATCATCTAATTATCTCTCTGGTAGTAAAAATGATACAAATATTCAACACTACTGTGTCAAAGCCAGCCATTTGTCAGTGAGTTAGTTATATCCTCCACACAAACATGCCCCCTCCCCCCACACACACACCAATACTTCTAACCTGTAATCATTACAGGTTTCAGGATAAGATACTGACCTGCATAGTCTTGTTTTGTTGGTGAGCAAGAAACTAAAATAAACAGAAATTTCTCATTTACTTGTAGTTGGGGAATGAGCGATAACCAACATCAAAAGTTTCAAATAGTCACTGACTTGGGTAGTGTCATTATGCTAATGAGCAAGAATGGTATGTAATACTCCTCTGAATTGAATGTAGCTCCTCAATGTGATTATCTTGACAGTTTTTAGGATTAAAAGATTTGAATGGGAGTTTTCTTCAGAGAGTGCCTGGTAAGTAATCTCATCTGACAACGAAAGTGAGTTTAATGAAGGCAATGTAGCAGAAGATAATTACAGTAGTGTGAGCAGAAGCTGAGCCCACATTTGGTCAGGATCACAACACTCTTGAAATTCCAGTGGTGTCCATCCCATCGCTGGAGATCTAGAGGCTTAAGATACAATGGCACTCCATCTGAACAAAGAGTCTTTACCAACTACCACCTATCTCCTATTCTTTGCAGAAGTGATCCAGTTCTTAGGGATACAGACATATACATAGTACCAATATGTAGGCACATTTGACAATGATAACAGACACCTGTGACTTCCTGACTTGACAAAACAGGAGATGTACATCTTTTTTGACTATGATAATACAAATGGAACATGATATCAAGGACACACTGAGATTACAGGTCCACTCTTGAATGTTCTACACCACAACATTCATTTCACACACTATACTCAGGAAAAGAAATTATGCCTCAAAATATTTTGTTCTGCATGCATATGTGAGAGTTTGTTCACTGAAGACAGTAAACTAAAACTTTTAGGCAGCTTTAATTTAATGCAACTTCAGATCTCAGTTCAGATTCTCAGTAAGGTCAAATTACTTTCCTTGATGACATTTTATTAATTTCTGTCTAGTATTACAATATATATGCTCCACACAAGGCGAAACTACCATATTTTTATGTGCCACAACATTTCCATAAGAATGATCTTTTAGTGATGTGTGAATTCTAAACCTTTCAAGACATCTGACTAAAGGAGTTGTTCATGTCATTTGCAGATGTTTTATACAAAACAATTTCATACATTGAATAAAGGTTAGATAAAGTATCAATATTCAAATGCAAGGGGTTGAGATATTTCAGTTATTTTAGTTCAACATTCTGCATAGGAAGGCTGTATGACCTGGTGCTGAAACATCAACAACTTCCACAGATGGAGCATAAAACTGCATACACCAAGCACTGGTGTAAGAAATTGCTACTAAACTTCATACTATCCTTTTCCAAGCCACTACAAATATCACAGGAAAACAAAATGAAATACTTCACTAAACTGTAGGGTGTGCAAACATTTTTCTTTCCATCATCTTACTGTGTACCTAATCAGGAACAAAGTTATTTAAAAAATCTGCACAGAGAAAAAAAAATGGTCAGGTAATTAAGGTTCAACAGAGAAGTGTGTGGGTGGATTTTCAAGGTATAGAACAATTCATTAAATCCACAGATGTGTCACCTCTAATAGCAGTCATTTTCACAATAGAACCATGCCATTGGTTTTGTGCTAGTCATCACCTCTGTGCACGCACTTTGATTCTGGAAGAAAGCCCCCAACCCACGGATCGTGGACGATTTGAATTTCCATGACATCCATGTGAAAGACAGTTGGCATCCCTCCATTCTTGTTCCAAGCGAACATAGATTCCACCTGTAAGAGTAGACTTTGACAAGTACAGTGTACATCACGATTAACTGATGTCAATATTACAAACAAATGAATCATACCTTGTGGTATGATGTGATTATTCCAAATTGAGTGACCATATTGAATATGATGTCCATGTGAATGGCTGTGCATTCGAGAGTAGAGATTAGATGAATCTGCACATGTTCTTCGTGTAAGCAATGCTGCCATCTTTTGGATAGCATGCTCTTCATATTCTCTCTGGTTGTCCTGGTTACTGCGGACTGACAGTTCTGAAACCCATCGGCAGTTATCTTCTCCTCTAGTGAGAGAATAACATAAATAAGGTCTGCGTCTGCATCATTACCTTTTACTACTTCTAAAATTTAATAACCATGATGTAGTATCATTACATCATCCATTGTCTGTGTCTTACAAGTGGGTCATGCCCTAACAGTGCCAATTCTTTACTATTATGGCCTGATACATTATAAGTTACCAGTGTTGTCTACACTTGTAATTTACATATAGTGTATGTCCCTTGGGGGTTTTGAAAAATTAATATGCGCAAACAAATTGAGCTAGCCAATGCAGTTTGTGGCAGATCATAGTGAAACTCTGGAAGTGTTTTACTGACCTCAGTAGACTCAGTTGGGTCCCTTAGAAAGAGACTAGCTCTTTCTAAGGGGCCCAACTGAGTAGGTTTATCCTTCCCTATCCACCTGAAGACAGAGAGAGATCCAGTCTCCGAAACGTCGTGGTTTTTTGTCTTTTACATACCAGACGATGGGTGAAGTCCAAAATAAGCCAAAAGAAGTACAGTATACACCATCGTCAGAATCCTTTCAAGTCTATCTAACAGAAATTAATTAAATAATTTTCCTGGAGAGTAAAGAGCGGCTGGCGCATAAGGCTGACAACCTTACCACCATCTTTGAGCCGACTGTCTAGATAATGTGGGACCCTCAACACCTCACAACCCTATGGGCCTTCATGGCCTGGTACAGGGACAGCTCTCTAATAATACACAGATGGTTCATTTAAGGTATTAAAATGTTACAAACAGATCCACACATATACAACCATAATATTCTCTTATACTATTTACACAAACCTTTAAAAAGTCATTTTCAGATATTAAGAATTGATCAACAGAGTAGAAAGAATGTACATATTCTTAATGCTACTTCATATTGTACCTCCTCATTTATAAGAGTTTTGAGACTTGATGGTAGATAGTTATAAGTTCAAGGGAACTGAGATGGGTGGTACATGGACAGGAGAACATGGAGGGAGATCAGATGCCTGAGACACATATGAAAAAATAATACTAAAATGTGTATTAGAAAAAAATAGGTTGTCAGTAGTACACCCACCCCCACACGCTTTACTTCCTCACGGGGTAGTGCCTCGGCTAAATTCAGTGGTATGAGTCTTGTATCCCAGGGGTACATGGGTGTTGGCTCGCTTACGTCGTTTTGGATGCAGGCTCGATCGGTTAATCCCTCAGTACAGGTTCCACATGAACACCCTCACTCCCTGGCTTCTACTCCCTCACTACTCAAATACCACCGCTGCTCCTCCCAGAAACCACGTTCTTACTCCCATCTCGAACCTTCCACTGGGAGGGCTACATGACCAAAGGCACGGACCCCTTCTGGTCTACCCACCTTCTCAAAGCTTCTATCCACAGGTCCTTCACCCCCACAGGCACAGACGAAAGAAGGTATACCTACTCCCCCCTGAATGCAATGGACTCACCAACCTCCCTTCTGTCCCTCGTAACAAAAGGGCAGTTCAGAGGACCTTGATCCCTCAGGAGCATCCTATTTCCACAGCTAAACTTAATCATTACTTACAAACAAATAAGACACCTCCGTGAAGGATGCGTACGGTTACAGTAGTGAGATTAATTGATTTGAAGTAGCATAAGTCAGGGTCCAATAGCTTTTGTATTGAGGGTATTTAATTTTGACATACTATTGAAACAAGGAATTTCCTGATCAGCAGCCATTTGTTGACCATATAGCGAAGAGTAAGTAATTCAGTTTTCAATCCATTTTGGTGCAGTAGTGGTTCATTGTTTAATTAGTAATAGAATTTGCAAAGACATCTACCCATAACATATTTTGTAGATAGTTTTCCTTAAAGATGATAGTGAAAATATTCTCATTAGCACTTCTGTCATGAAATATCCTCAATCTAGATTTTTCTTTCAGGGTGAGCAATGAAGTTGGACACCCATGTAAAACAAGAGGAAAATTATATATTTTTGTTAAAATATATTTATAGATTTCAATTTATCTTACATAACCTTGAATAATGAAGAAAAACAGTGATGAAACTATAATACAAAAGATTTTACATAATGTTCCTCTAAAATACAGCTTTGCAATTGTAGGTACAACTCTACTTCATTTATCATAGAAGCTAAGACTGGCCAATGGAGGTATGGAGGAAAGCTGTCAATTTCTGTATTTCTAACATTGGCCATATGAAGTCTGACAGTAAGAAATAATGTCACCTTGACCTCGCATATTTTGTCTTAATGGCACATACTCTTCAAAGATCTATCTGAAATTCTTAACAATGGAGAGGATTNCACCTTGACCTCGCATATTTTGTCTTAATGGCACATACTCTTCAAATATATATAAAAGAGAAGAGACAGTGGCAATGACAAAATTGTTAAAAAAAGTTGTGTAAATCATTGACATGAAAGGCAAAAAACGCCTAATTTATTATGAAAAATGATCTGATATTGCAAGAAAAGTGTGAGAAATCTGTATTCATAGCTTTGACAAAGCTTACACACCACATGTTTTATGAATATTTTTCTTTCATAGTGAAGTCAATCTGTACTTTCTTTAAACTTGAGACTGCAAATGATAATGCTGTCACAGCACTTCTTACCCAGTAATAGCATTCCTGTGGCATCAGCCCTATTCCTTTAAGAATTTTAGTTCACCCTCAAACCCAATTTAGTTTACAAATGCACAATAGTCAACAAGTTACTTTCATGGTGTTGGCATTGCTAGCACTGGAAGTTCTCACTGTTTCATAGATGACACTTTTGAATCATCAGGAAATGTTTCAAACACTGATGTTCATGTATTTATTATTATGTCCAAAGTGTAGCACTACCTGGTGAAAAGTATGTAATTATGTCACTCAGGCACTGGTTTGAGAACAAATTACTTCATTAAAAGTAGCAATATGTATCTTTCAAAGTTCTACCATACTATAAAATTTCACATTCTTATGTTAACTGGAATGATTTTGTTCCACATTAAGGGAGCATAAAATTAATGGCATGGCTTTTAACATTTAAAACAAATGGTTTATATACTTGCATATACTTTTATTTCTAATACTTAGAAGTGTATTCTTGTAAAATAAATCTGGTTTTTAGTTGTAAAGGGGTTTGGCCACCACATAAATGGCACCATCATTAAAAATATATACATGAAATGGCGAAATTTTAAAATGATTCTTTTCATGCAAAAGGCATAAAGGTTTTCATTTTCAAGAGATCAGGCACCAGTAGGAGGAGAAAATAGCACCGTGTTCTATGTTTTCCTATTAGAAGCAAGCAAAAGGCAACAGTCCTAACCTATTCTTGGCAGATCTATAGTACTGATGAACTTCAGTGTGTCGGGGCTTAGCTGTCACAGAGCGGACTGGGACATGACCAGATTCTTCTGAGTGATTGTCAGAATCACTACTACTGCTACTGCTGCCGCTGCTACTGCTGTCATCATTGGTGGATGAATTATCTACATCTGGATTACTGCCAGGACTGCTGGTTACCTCAGCAACTGACATCTGCCTTCCTACAGGTGGATGTCCACATGTTGTAACTGGTCTGCTAGTAACATTATTTGTGCCACTGCTGGAACTGCTGTTATTCCTTGAAGAAACACCTAAAATTAACATCAAAATTTCTATACCAGTAAGTCAATGGAATTCCTAAGTGCAAGTTGTCTGCCATTGGCAGCCAAGTAAAAGAATCTATTATTGTGCCTGTTTATTAAACAGGAGGAAAAAAATGATGGCATGCATGCTCTAAAGCTATGTTTGCAAAACGATTCTGGTTTTGGCTTCAGAATTCTAAAACAAAATTAAAGTCAGGAAGTGACACAAAGACAATAATATCTGTTATCACTGTATGATTTCAACCAACAGAATTTAGCAAAACTACCAATCAAAATAAAATGTCATAAAACTCCATTCATTGCTTTTTCTGTTGTTATATTTGTACAGAGTGAGACAGGTGGAAGCAAATGTGTGTATTTTTGCATCTTTCATTGCAAAGATGATAAAAACTTCATACAAAAAGAAAGATGTAGTGGATTGTGCATGCAGTTTGACTAACAGGCAGCAGAGACCTATGGCACAGTTGTAACTAGCCCACACACTGATTCACTATTGCACTTTGGAACCATTTTTCCAAATGACATGTGGATCCTGGAATGCCCAGTAATGTCTGCTATGTACACTGAAAAGTCTTTCTGTGAAAATATCACCTCATTGCAACCTAGAACATAATCAAGGAAGACTGTGTCCTCAATATGGTAGTCAAATAATAATAGAATTTTGGTTAGATGCATTTAGAGTGTAATGACAGGAGGTACTATAGTAGTAACACAAGCGAAGTACTGTAACTGTCTACTAAATGTCATGAAAAATAAAACAATAAAACATAAAATAACAATCAAACCTCACCTAACTAATTAGAGGCTGACAATAGTATGATGGAAAAATCCATAATTACAAATAAAATGAAAACTATGGAACTACAACAGTGCAACGTGATACTGGCTGTAACAGCTACAAGACGTTACCACCTCACCAATTCTTGGATCACATGCATTGTTCCCACATCACACTCAACTCTAATTGAGTTTTCCAAAAAAATAATTCATAAACTGAAATTTTATCAAGACATATTTGCATCTTATTTTAGGTTAAAGAAACAAACGGTAGAGCTGTAAGTGCAAATACTTATATCATGTTGCCACAACACATATAAACTTAATAACTGTTCTGCAGAAATTGTGTAAGGTTTAAATTTTATCTAGGGAAATTTACTTCTCAGTGTTTACCATGAAGTTGTGTGGTGGATTCTGCACATGCAAATTTCCAAATAATGTGCTTAGAGAGTATTCATAATACATTTTGAGAGAAAGTTAAACTAAAAATATTTATTCAGAAAAAGAAGGAATTCATAAATCTCTCTAAATATTAGTCATTCTGATACAGAATGTAAAGAAGCACATGATATAGATATATGTAGTAATCACCAGAGATCTGTTGCCGTTCTTTCTTCTGATGTGTCTCCCATACTTTTGCAAGAAGACCCTGCCTGGGTGGTGGTTGTGCCAACTCAACTCCATCCCACCAGAGCACTTCTCGACTGTCAGTGTCATCTCTTCCAGGCTCTAAAATTACAAAGAACCTGATAATTTTTTAGAGAATGTAATAAGGAAAGTAATCTTACCATATTATGTGTATAAGAATTACAACTATCTCACATTAACTTTCAGAATCTAAAGTAGATGTGACAATATTGGTAACAGTTTCTTTCAATATAGCATTCCTCATTTCAAATTTTTTAAATTAAATAGTCTGTAGAATAGTGTTGCAGTAATGGTTACTGATTATTATAAAATACTGCATCAACTGTCTGTTAGTTTCACACTGGGGACCAAACCTTTGCATATTTTTCAAGTGAGGGCAGAGTCTTTAAGACATTATATCAGTAATTTGTCTATGGAAGATACATAGGTTTCATCCCTCTTCCACCTCATCAACTGTGTATTTATTTTCGTTTGACCTCCCCTCAAACTTATAAGGGCTATAAACAATTTGTGCACAATGTCTGTGATCCTGGGTGACACAAGAGAAATGCAGCATTTGGAAACAAATTATATAGTGGTGGAATAAATACCATACTAAGCTGCTGTTAAGCACAGTATCTACATTTGATAGGCAAGTACTAGACAAAATGAAAGAACATTTTTCTCTGTCTTTCACTTGCTGCTGACAGATTTTGTTAAAGTTGTTAGTGTGAGGGAAGAAATATTCCTTGTGGTGGTGTAGTAGCCTAACTCCAAACATTTGATGGTCTCCCAGACTCTCAGATATTCTACACTGACAGTTCGTACAATAACTGATTCTTAATATTATCATGTGATGCAATGCCCAAAGCTTGTAATTAGACTGTTGTGATTTGTATTTAAAATTTCAATTTCTGACAACAGAAGAAAATTATGCTAATAATAAAACAACTTTGGGTTAGTAGTTCTGAAGTATGAGGTCTGAGATTGAAACATACATTATGGTATTATCAGTATAGTTAGTATCTATGTTTGACCAAACTGCTATACCTGAACTAAGAAATGGCTGTCTCCAACCTAATTATTGAAACAAATGGCCAGAGTTAACTGTACTCACGCTTATCAGTATATTTATATCACTAAGATATTGCTACATGACAACTTATGGGTGTTTCAGATTCATACAACTCCTGTTTCACTGCTCTTTCTCTCTATTACCATGGCACTCCTGTCTGATATTAATGATTTTCTGAGAAGAGCTCAAAAGCCTGAAACCCCAAATAGCTATGTCTGGAATAAAATGATGTGTGATAAAACATAATTGCCTTTACTGTTACATCCTGAAAGTCAGAGTCCATGTATAACATTTCTTGAGAATAACTGAAGCAAACTACTTGACAAAAATGTAACTGAGTATTAGTGTCTTCTGGAATGTGACACATTGTAGTCTGGTAGATTGTTACCAATATTTTGGAGGAAGCAGATTCCTCTGAAATACCAGTAATAATCTACCTGCATAACATCCTAAAAGATCTTGCCAGTTGTTGCCATGAGAACCTCAAATAAAAAATAACTCTTTTTCCATTGCATTGTGTACCATGTTCAGATACCCCCGAGGATGATATTTGAATTCAGAATATGTCTCGTCACCAATTAAGATAAAATAAGTAACAAATAATTCCTTATGTTGTAACCTGACTGCATTCTGATATGTTTGTAAATGAAAAGATAACTGTTTTCCAAGAATCATGAATTACACAAGGAAATCAGAGCTAGAACATATTGTGTATCGAAGCTACAGAAGTGATTATGGTCACTTTGTTGGATAGGTAGTCCAAGTTGGGTTCTCAATTAATAAAAAGTTGTGTTAACTGTAATATAGATGACTAATTTTACTTTGTTAAACACTGATCACAGTAGTCTGCCATTACTTAAATCTGAAGATTAAAATATTTTCTTTTCATCTCACTTACTCTTTGTGAACTAATTCATTCATTGTTACCTCTGTTACTAACAAGTCGTGTGAGCCTCTCAGGAAATTGAAGTTTTGGAGGCTCTAACATTATCATGTTCTGATGTTTCATAAACAAATTGTGGACTTCAATATCTCTAGGAGAGTTCAAAACAAGAGTATGCTCTTTAAATTGACAACCCTGAAACAGAAATTTGTTACTGTAAACAATAAGATCTCATATTTTGTACCAATCTATGAGACTGCATAGTGTGGCATCCCAGAAAATAGTTTCTTTCAAAGCAGTAAGAATGTCAAGTTTCACACCAGAGATACTTCTCTAAGTGTCACAAATGCTATTAATATGACTGTTGACTGACATAACATCAGTAGCCTGATTTTAACATTCACCAATTTTGAAGTTTACCTGTAAAAAATATATATATATTCTAAAACACTTATTGTGTGTCTATAATATACTTAAAAAGTGCCTTCTTCTGGCTTATTTTGGACTTCATCCATTGTCTGGTATGTAAAAGACAAAAGACCACAACATGGCCCAGTGATTGAGACTAGCTCTTTCTAACGGGCCCAACTGAGTAGGTTTTATCCTTCCCTACCCACCTGAAGATGGAGACAGATCCAGTCTCCAAAACGTTGTGGTCTTTTGACTTTTACATACCAGACGATGGATGAAGTCCAAAATAAGCCAGAAGAAGTACAGTATACACCATCGTCAGAATCCTTTAAAGTCTATCTTAAAAAGTGTCGTTTAATTCAAGGCACCACATTCCTCTCATAGGCAAGCCATACCGCATTAGGACTAGCAACTCCGTGATATTTCTATGGGGACACCTAACTGTACTGCTTTCCCCACTCCATTGTTTGGTTAGGTTTAATTGCTATATTAATCATAAGTTATCCATCTTGAGGGTGAACCATGAAACAAGGAATACCTCAGAAAATTCAATGCATGCACATTAGATTGTGACTTCTCTCATGTGCTTTTGCACAAGATGCATGAAGTGAATGTTATGTAATGTAATGCATCGAGTAGTTAAGTCCACCCAACTATGTTTTATCACAAAAACTAATGAATGGATTTAGATTAATTTTTATATTGCACATCTTGTTAAATGTCATAGGGCAAATTTGGTTTTAATTTGTTTTACCCAAATATAACCTCCACTTCAGATCTTGCTGAAACCTACACCATTTATTATAAACACTCTTTTTGTGTGTTGAATATTTGATGACATGCAAAGAATTGTAATTTTTTATTCTGTGCAGTAAGGTATATGCAGTGTGACTTGTTTTTTCATCCAAGTTAAATAAGTATTAAGGTCTATGACATATGAAAAATAGCAAAGAATGCATTTGAAAAGTCTGTGTATTCCAAATTGGAGTAAAGTAAAATAAGTAAGTTACCATGTGCTTAATTAGTTAAGCACCACACCATGAAGACATATGTGAGAGTGCGGGTATAGCTCCACCATTATTGGCCTCAGCACTAAATGGCAATCAGTGGTCAGCTTCAAGACCCAACTGCTTTATACCCAGGTCAAGAGCTCCTTGTATCTGATGGGTAGGAGGTTGTATGAGCCATTCTGCACACTGTGGATCAGAGAAAAATCTCTTGCCCCTGTCAGGAATTGAACCCTGGTCATCCAGCCTATAGCTCATCGCTACACAGGCTGAGCTATCCCAGCTCTCTATTCCAAATTGGAGTGCATATTTATACTATTTACTTTTATAGTAAAAAGTAACATCAATTAAAGAAAAAGCTGATGTTTATGGCAAGTACTACTAGAATGGATATTAAAGAAATATGGTAGGGTGATGTTGAGTAGATTCATTTGGCTCATGATAGGGGGCAAATGGTGGGCTCCAATAAACCTCTGGAATTTGAAAAATGCAGAGAATTTCTTCACTAACCGAGAAACTATTTGCTTCTCAAGAAATATTCTGCTTCAAAAAGTTAATTAGTTTTTAATTAGGAATTATGGAAGTTCATGTTTAAAGTGACTATGACACTCACTGACTGGCTGCTGAAAACCTCAAAGCGATAGGCCCTTTCCCCACAACAAGGATAGCGACCAATAGGAAATGCCATAGCACGTTGATGTTCCATGGTGAAGAACTGTGGTGGCTCTGGATGGTGGTAGCACCACTGCATCTGGTAAACTGGGAAGTAATTATGGCAAAAACTGCAATATAGAAAGTGACAATCTCCCCATAATCGCCAATATGTGCGACGCCAACACTTCAGCTCCTGCCTTAAGCACCGAATATAATCATTCAGATTCCAGCTTGGGTCCCTGAAAGCAAATGTTAGCTTCACATAGTGATACAAATCTTACCCTTCCTTTCCACAAATAAATACTATGCTACATATATATACCTTCGAAATGTGGTGTTGGAGAAGGATGGAGAAGATCAGTTGGACCAATTATGTGAGAAATGAAGAAGTGTTATTTAGAGTCAGTGAGCAGAGGAATATCCTACACGAAATAAGAAAACAGAAGGCTAATTGGATTGGTCATATCTTACGCGGTAACTACCTTCTAAAAGAAGTTATCGAAGGAAAGATAGAGGGGCAGATAGAAGTGACCAGAAGACGAGGAAGAAGACGTAAGAAGATGCTGGATGACCTTGGGGATGGAAGAGGATATTTTCATTTGAAGGAGAAAGCTCTCGATCGCATCAAGTGGAGGAACTGTTTTGGAAGAGACTGTGGACCTGTCACCTTGACAGATTACAGATGAATGAATGAATGAATATATATACATAACAAACTGGTTGGTCTTGGTGAATATTGGTTAAGTCAGTGACAAACTCTGGTATCAAAATATAATTTTGATGAAAAAAAAGGAAAAAGTAAAGCTATTCCTGTAACAGGCTGTGAAGGCCCATAGGGTTGTGAGACGTTGAGGGTCCCATATTATCTAGACAATCTGCTCAAAGATGGCGGTAAGGTTGTCAGCCTTACGCGCCAGCCGCGCTTTACTCCCCAGGAAAATTATTTAATTAATTCCTGGTACTCATTTCTGTTAGAGATTGAGTCAACCCCAGGGCCATAGTGCGGCTGGAAGGATTAAGTAAATTGAAAAAAATCCAATGACCTCATCAGGACTTGAACCCGCGACCTTCCGGCTTGTAGCATAGTGGTCAAAGAAAAAATAAAACTAGAAGTAACTCTCTAAGACCATTAATTGAATGTGAAGGGAGAGCTGGAGGGGCTATTCAGATAGAATGGATGGAGATAAGTGGCTAAAGATAGCATAAAATTATATGTATACTGGGAAAAGCATTGAAATAAGAAAAGAAAACAACATAAAGAGAATTTTGAGGTCAGACCAAGACAATAGACCACTGTAGATCGTGGTGCAAGGGCCGAGAAGGCCCACCCTTTATATATTGATTCATTCAAGATATAGGTGGGTGGACAATATTAAAATGGATCTTAGAGAGAAAGGATGGGAGGGTATGGATTGCATTGATCTGTCTCAGTATGGGAACCAGTGGACAGCTCTTGTGAACATGGTTATGGACCTTCAGGTTCCATAAAATGCTGGTAAATTTTTGAGTAGCTGCAGATTTGGTTTCTCCTCAAGAAGGGCTCAGCTCCATAAGTAAGTAAGTAATGTAGAAGAAAAGGTAAACTGAACGTTAGTTCTCCATACATATTAGCAGGCTGGAAAAGCACATAATAAATAAGTGAAACATATCTTTAATTTAATTAACAGAGCTATATTAGGAGAAGAGTATGAATTATGAAACACTGTGCCAAAATATAACAGTTGAGTAATTACAGAAACCAAACTAAACTTCTGTACATTGATTTCAGCCAAATACCAACGAGAGCTGAAGTCTGAAATAAGGATACAGCAACATTACTATGGTGGCTACTTGAGAAGAATTTGGGCAATCCCAGTCATGTGTGTCTACAATTCATACATAAGTGAAATCTTGACTTTTCATTTTTGAACTGACCACTCAAACAAATGTAAAACTGAGAACAGTGTAAAATCAGAAAACTGAATATGATGAACTGTAACGGAAAAAACGGGTTGCTTTATACTGTGACTCCGGTAAGTCATTTCAGTCATACAATGTAAATGTTCATACACTACTCTATATATGAAGAAAGCAGTCTTCTGGGACATGGCGCCATGTATATGTGGTGTTAACCGATGTTTTGGAGGAACGTATCGCCTCCATCTTCAGGGTAGAAGGAAAAATAAGAAAATCTGCAAGTGAAGAAACAGTGAGAAGGGGTGCAAGCAGACTAATGCCGGAAATAAACTCAGCTATATGAGAGCAGGAAAGGAAGGAACAGGTCTACATGGGAAATCAGTGGAAAGGGAGAGGGGAAAGGTCTGGGGGAGCCTTTGCAAGGTTAGAGTAGGTATAGGATATTGTGTCGGGGGAGAAGGCCACACAGTCCATGACTGACTCCCATAGCAACCCCCCAGATTAAGTGTTAATGCCCTCCCATTAACCTTGCCTTTCTCCCACACATCCTATACCTGCTATAACCTTGCTCCTGTCCCAGACCCTTCCCCTCTCCCTCTCCACTGATTTCCCCCTGTAGACTCCCCCCCTCCCTTCCCTGTTCTCACATAGCTGAGTTTATTTCCAACATTAGTCTGCTTGCACCTCGTCTCACTGTCTCTTCGCTTGCAGATTTTCTTATTTTTCCTTCTACCCTGAAGATGGAGGCGATACGTTCCTCCAAAACGTCGGTTAACACCACATCTACATGGCGCCACATCCCAGAAGACTGCTTTCTTCATAGTCACCGCCGTGAAAACCTAAAATCTTACATACTCTATATACATTGCTATTTCTTTAACCACAGCAGGACATTTATTCCTTTTTTCCCCTCAATATCTCAGTCTGTATGCACCATCACATAAGGTTTAAAAAATTTCATATGCAAATATATGGCTCTTTAACTAGCAAAAGCCTTGAACATGAGTTTCACGGCGCTGGTATATACTCTGATTTTCTGAAATAAAATGCTTTAAATGTTAGATTAGATAAATGTCCATTGCCAGAACACAAAGATGAAGTGTGAATTCAAGAAAATCTTAAATTTGAAGAAACATAAAATTGGTTAAAATTCAACATTTCTTATGGCCATTTGGCTGGAACCAAATGAAAAATGCATAAAATCAGGAAAAAGTTAATTTTGAGAGTATAAAATTGCATTCACGAAGATCATCAGATTTTTCTATATTAAAAATTTCTGCCTTCATCATCTTAAGGAATAGCTGTATTTGGCGTGTGGTCTTAAGTTGCCTAGTGGTTTACAAGTTCTGAAATTATGAATGAATTTTTCAGGCAATAACAATGTATTAGTGTGATCAAACAAATTAGAATACAGAAATGATCTTGAATTAAATCATGATGAAAACTCTTTGTATTTCTTTTCCATTATCACTCTAACACTTACCATCATCTCCACAGACTTGGAACATACGCACATTATGTGTAAAGGAAATGTTACTGTACTGCAGTTGAAAGTATGCTTGTAGCTTGGGCCAAAGTTGGGAAAATGATTAAGTACTAAGTTTATATTTCAGTCCATTCTATGCAAGAATGCTCTCTAGCACTAACAGAGATTTCAAACCTTTACATGGCAGAAGTTTTCTACTGATTCAGTTAAAGGTTAATTTTCTGGAACAATAAATCATCAGTTAGACAATGTAATCATCAGGCTACACGTAAGTAAGTGTAGCTAATGGCACAAATGATATTTAAAATCAGTATTACAACTAACAATATTTTTCAGAATGGCACTGGAAATCATCGATCTAATAGATCATGAAGTTCTCATATTGGGACATTTTATCTAAATATTAGCTTGCACTCTTTCATCCTAAATGTGGAAGTTTTCTCTATTGTTCCATTAAGGAAAATTTGGAATTTCAGATGTAATCGCGTGACTCACATTATCAGTAGAAGGTGAGTCATGGCATATTACCTAACATGATTTCCATGTATATTTCCGAAATGATCCATCTTCATATTGCTTGGTTTGCAGAGAATGCGCCCTCCCAACTGACGAAGAATGAGTTTGTCACATTTTCCACATTTGTATACATTTGCAAGACTTGCAAAATGGCCACGGGCAGGTTCAGGACTTGTCTCTGTCAAAGCCAAAATCAACTTGCAGTACAGACGGCTCTGAATCTTATCCTTCTTATCATGAAGACCTTCCACATCAGAGTTGGAGAAGAGATTTGCTAGTCTACACAGAAACAAAAGTCAATTAGGAAATAATGTCAGTGAAAAATTTGATCCTTTGTGGCATGTTATTTTAATATATAATGCTACACTTTTCTGACTTGCTGTCACTACATGATGATTAGAAACCAACTCTGGATGTTTCATATTTCCTTCTTCAGCATGAAAGCCGAAATTTGTGTCATTACTGTTCTTTCATATCAACAGAACATATCCCAGGGATACTGACTAGAGGCCACTTGTATTATACCATGACTCTGATCACTGAGGGCCCTCATTCGATGAGAAATCCCAAAGACATTAATTTAGTAATTAGTATATACAGGGTTATTCATAAGTCTGTGAAACATTTTAAAAATCCACAACAAATAAACTATGCATCGGATCGTGGTAATTGTTATGCCAATATAGAATGAAACTCTCCAAGTTTTCTAAAGCCTCCATTGCCTGCTAATCTCAGGGATCTTCACAACTGTATCACCGCTGCTGTGGCTCTGTTCAATCGTGATATGCTGATATGAGTGTGGGAGGAAACAGATTATCACATAGATGTCTGCTGTATCAGCAAAGGTGGACACATTGAGCATATGTGAACTAGGTAGAAAAGACTTGGTGAGTTTATCTCTATTTCAGTGTAATAAAATTTGGTATCCATTGCGTAGTTTATTTATTGTAAATTTTTAAAAAATTTCACTGACTTATGAATAACCTTGTATTATGAATGGTAGACATATTTTTAACTTTAAAATGCGAAACTAGCTTACCTAGTCAGGATACTATCATTAAGGCAAGCCAGGTTGGTGGATGTCTTGGCTATTTCATTCATATGTTGGTGACAGAACACAAGACAATCCTGCAGCAACGGGTCCATTTGTAAGAATGCTGCTGACACCAAGATTGGTACCACATTGCCAGCATCTTCAATACAATACAAAATATATATCTATGTTAAACCCAGTGCCAGTAGGTAGAGGTGTATGTCAAATTATAATCTGGAAACAAGGGTAACTGATTTTTTCATTTTGTTCATTATGTTGATAGGTTCTGTTTGTTCTCTAATGAACTGTTGCATCCCTATCATAAGAGACACCTTCAAATGGAAAATACAGAGCATCCTGCAATGACTAAATGTGCAATAAACTAGGACCACTGACATTCTATGTAAAAAATCATGCTGTATCCACAAGAAAATTTATGCAGTTACCAGCTTAATCCAGCCTGGGAGACAATAATGCAGTTAGTGAAACAGCAGAAAAATGCTATAAAAATTCCAAATCATCACATACTACTCAATCCAAATAAAAAGAACTGATGACATTTCTTTCTCTCTTCTCTGCCTCTCTCGCCAAGATTCATCAGACAAAAGAAAGAATATCAGCCCATAAAAGGAAAGTAAGTTTTAATCTGCTTCCAAATTGTCACAAAGCCATCAATCAGAGCGTCAAATTCCCCACTGCCTCTTGACCAAAAATGAGTGCCAGGCCTTAAAGATTGAGACAGCCAGATTCTCTGAAACATCTACAAACCAACCTACCAAAAAAGTGATTTCACTATCCAGTAATAGCAACTAGATCATCCTTTCCTGGTCACCAAGCAAACTTTTCTTAGACTCACTTAATTTCATATTTGGAGACATTCAATTACATTAACATATTATTCCATATATTATATAATATCAAGCAATATAGATATTGACCTCGGTCAATTTATAATTCCAGGACATTCAGGATAAACAAATAACCACCTTGTAAACAGTTTTAATTTTCAGAATTAGTACATGGTATGTTTTCTACTATTTTCTATTTTGATTTTTTTCCAAACATCTGGGGGTGGGGGAAGATGCCTAGATTTCTATTTATGCTTATGTTTGTGAGATTCTTTTTCAAATATTTTCTCTGAGATCTTTGCAATATATAAATCCAGTATACAACATATAATCTTAGCAACTAAATGGGAAATAAGGTACCATTATTTTCAAAAATTAAAAGGATTTCTTTCTAGTTTCAGTTGAAATTTTGACCTATTATGTATCTTCATTCTCTGCATCTAATAAAAGATTATAAAGAAGTAAAATTTAGTAGAAGTTTGAAAGTTTGCATGAATTTAATTACACTTTCAATGGAATGGGTTATATAAGAAAAAGCAGTGAACGAACACTTGTGGCATTATGGGTGGAAAGAGTGTGGACAGAGTAGCTAAGTTAATATTACATCTACACATAAGCTCAACTTAGAAAGTAGAAGTAAGACCGATGAATACCTACCAAGCTTAGGTGAACTGTCCTCTGATAAAGAATCCTTCTTCACCCAGCGCATTAGCCAGTCAAATATTGTGATGTCGCAATGCACTGATATATCCATATCTTCAAGCTTCTGACCTAAGTGAAAATTAAACTTGTGTATATAGAAGTAAGCTGGTCACGGTAGCCGAGCGGTCTAAGGCATGCACTGTCTTCGCTCGCTCAGAAACCGGGATCGTGGGTTCGAATCCCACTCAGGGCATGGATGTTTGTGTGCTTTTTTGTGTTTGTGTACAGGTAGAGGCCTTGCGACAAGCTGATCACCAGCCTAAGGAGTCCTACCGTATGTCTAAGATCTAGAAAAACTGAAGTGAATGGAGAAGTTCATGGAGGTAGGCCTAGGCCCACTGGGGCTGTAGTGCCAAGGAAAAAAAAAATATAGAAATAAAATTCTGTAATAAGACTAGAATGAAATATTGACAAATAAATGGAAGATTGGACTGAAACATGTAGTTCCTATACAATATTTCACCTGTTGTTACTTCAGCAAAGTATCCCATTTTGTTAACCAGAAGTTTCTGAGGGCATCGGAAATCTCGCTTCACATTCTTCACCTCATCACATACATGTATCTCCACTTCAGCCCTAGAATTATTCAACAAATTTATTAATATGTGATCCAGTAGGAAATTGTTCTAACAGTTCCTAAAAAGGCATTTTTATGCATGAGCAAGTAAATAGGGAAATTACAAATTTGTACTAAATGATGTAACTTATTTGTGACTTACTCTCCTGATATTGATTTCTTCCGGTTATTTACAACCACTTTCTCCTTAGGGAATGGGCCAGATGCAGATTTGTCAAGGGAGGTCACTGAAAAGGCTTTACTTTTGTCTGGGTTTGATGGTTTCTTCATTGCAGGATGAGTAGATGATTGCTTTGGTACAACATATGGCAATATTGAATCAAATAAACCTTCCTGAATTACTTCATTTAATTTACGTTTCATTAAATGTTCAAAACTGTTGTTATCTTCGTTTGTCGTCTTAAATTTACAGTCAGACAGAGCACACTTCTTGCTTGATATCGTTTTCCTTTTACTCTCTGTGTATTTACCTGACATGAGTAACTTACTCTTTGTTTGGCTTGTAGTAAATTGGTTTGAAGGTTTCTTCAGATCGGATAACATTTCCTCCTTTAGCAATGGATATCTTGTAGTATCATTCAAATTGCTGCTATTCTGTATGTCTTCTATGGGTATACCAGTTTTGTTGCCTATACTGTTTTTGGACACCTCACTCCGTATATCATGTTCTGAAATTTCTGAACTTGCATCTGACTGTATCTCCTTTGTTCTCTCATATACATTTTCTTCAAGCTCATTACAGTCAACACTTGATATGTTGGGAACAGTCTTGGACTGCTTCGTTAGAGAACTGTTCAGAACTTCCTTATCAATCGTCTCACTGAAAGTCTCTAGGCTTGTTTTAGGATGAGAATTGTCTTCTTTCATTACAAGCAAAGAGGAAGCAAACTCATTCATTGCAATGTTTTGCCAATCAATATCATGTCTGTCAGTTAGATAATTTGGAACACCTTCAATGGCTTCATTGATTTGATAAGCTGTATGAAGAAAATCTAGAAAATTTTTTAAGGATATTTCAGGACAAATTCTTTTTTCAAACCTTCCACAAGCTTTTGATAAAGTCTTACTATGTGGCTTTGGCATAGAGAGTGCTTCTGTTCCTATCAGTGCTGAACTTTTAGCATTTATGGCAGCCATTATTAGAATATTTGGTTCAGAGGTTATTAAGTCAAAAACACACAATTTTATAAAATGGAAAACCCCCTTTTTGTATGGTTCCTATATAATATAGCAGAACCGCACTATTGATTCACCATCTGTAAATAGAATGAGTTAAATTAAGATTAAAACAATTATGTTTATGATAGCAATGAACATTAATTAGATATAAGATTTGCAGGTAATTTTACAATAAATGAATGAATGAATAAATTCTAGAATTTATTCACCAACGTTAATATCACAAATTAGCATAGCACCTTGTTTTGTATCATTATGCAAGTCTGAAAACACATATTATCATAGGATATGGTCCACTGCACTATCAGCTGTTATGATCTGTGGTTAAATGAAACAGCACTATACAGAAATGGTTTACATTGATGGAAATTAAGTGATGCTAAAAATAATTGATGAAGGTTGCATTAATGCCCAGAAATGGGGTGTTGAACTCTGACTTACAGTTCTCTTCCTGTGTGTGTATACACACTGATCTACAACTGGCTCCAAGTCCATTCTCCAAACAAACCAATTACAGTAATGGCCAATGCCCCCACCTGATGCTAGGCTTTGTACCAGGCTCAGCAAGGTAACCTACTGCTGATCATATAACAAAAATCAATAGTCAGCATATCTCTCAAAGAGCTATTCAGCATATGTTTTAGCATGTCTACTTATACTATGTGTCTTTATATTTTCATAAGACTGGAATCTGAGAATATCTACCACATAGATAACTTCCTTAGTGAAATAACTAAGTGAAATGTAATGAATGTAATTATAGTTATGGAATGAACAAATTATTAGAATTTTTTTGTTCAAAATTTGAATATTACATGATTTGAACACCAAATTTAATTAATTCTGATACCAAGTTGTCATATTGTAGAAATTTACTGTAAATATTAGAGGTTACATTCAACAACTGTCAAGTCATGGAAGGGGCACATTGAACATGTTTTAAAAAAGTTAAGTTCTGCTTGTTATGCTATCAGAATTGTCATGCCCCTTATGATGGAGAATACTNGTTGTGAGAAATAAGCATCTTTATAAAACTAATCAAGAAATTCATGGTCTAAATACTAGGCACAATACTGACCTTCATTTTCCATCTGCTAGATTAACAATATATAATGAAGGGACATATGCTATTGGAATGAGGATATTTAACCATCTTCCTATAAATATAAAATCATTATCATATAAAATTGAATTGTTTAAACCAGCATTAAACAGATATCTTTGCTCGTGGTCATTTTATTCATTAGAGGAGTTTTTTAATCAAAATAAGATGTAAATGGGATTAACTGTATGTTATATTTTTTAATTTTAATTATGTTTATTACTTAGTATTATGTGATATTGTTTTATGATTAATGTTTAATGATTGTGACGAATGAACTTGGAGTAGTAAGAAGTAAAAGGTTGTATTTCTAACAGTGTATGAATCTATGTTGTTATGATATGGCTTGATTTAATGTTACACCATGTATCTTTTTATGTTTTGTATGAGATTATATAAGTTTGCTTAGCTCTATATCCTATGGGTGCTAAAGCCCCTGTACAGGATTTTTGGAGTTATTTAATAACAATAAACTATAAACAACTGTAGAGTTTTTTTAACAATTCGCTGATATTATAAAATGGTGTCAGCAGATTTCCTGTGTTAACTTTTGGTTGTTTCATTTAATTTCATTACCATGTTTAATAGCTAGTGGAATATCTGTGAGGAAACAACGAATAGTTGTTCCACACAGAGCACTACATGATCTGTATTGGAACAAATGACTGACAGCAAAATACTGTGTAATTACCATCATAAAAACATTTGTTTAGTGCATGTGAAAATTATGTTTTCTAAATTCCAACATTCTTTTAACTGATCTACTGTAAATTCTAGCATACTTATGATCAATGCACAAAGAATATAAGAGATGTGTATATTTGTCAGTATTATTCACCTATGCACTTACATAAGACAATGCAGCCTTAGAACATTTCTTATTTTTCATCCATTTCCATTTAGCCAGTGATATTAATATTGGAGGTTAGAAAATATACAAGCCATTATATGAATGTAAACAGTTAATAAATTAATAGAATACATTCATAAATATACCCACCATGTTATGTTTCATACCGACTCTCTTTTTTCAGATCACAAATAACCACTTCGTTGTTAGGGGCTACTCTCAATTTACTTTGCAAACATTTATTCATTAAGCCTGCTCCTCAGCTTTGGTTTAGAATATGTCAGTTTTGTGAGCATTTGCTCACAAATACAGTTACTCCCAGTCAACAACGTAACACCACCTACCTTCTCAGTCAGGTGTGCAAAGGCATTGGCAAAATCCTGAATTTGAATTCTTGTCTTTAAAGTTATGGTAGGAATCTGAGAGTACACAGTGTCTTTCAAGAAAGACCATTATAGGTTTGCTGGCCAAATATCCATCAGCCATGCTCGTATAACCCGAGGGAACATGCCTGGTCTAAGCCAATGATTCTTAATTCAAATTTGTTATGAGTGCAACCATAAACATAGAAATTTACTATTGCCACGTTCAGTTACAAATTTTTATGTGGATGTGCCAAAATACATATATGGGATTTCCCTCATTCCATAAATAAAAAATTAAGGAACTGAAAATAAGAAATCTTGTTACTTGATAACAATTCTGTATTTTGTTACTTCTGATAGTTTTATATTATTCATGAAAGAAGTTGGTGGCTTGAAGGAGGTTATTTTATAATCAACTCCAATATAGTTTGAAGTACAAAGGGGTAGTGAAATTTTTATGGTTCTATCTGAGGAATGTACTTCTGTCATAACAGAACTGTTCTTTCCATGAAGCCATTCCAGGTTTTGAGATTTCTTTTCCTGCTTGTATTGTATCCAACAGGAATTGTAAGGTAAATGTGCAAACATTTTATGCAGAATTACAACATTCTCTTTAAATTTTTAAAGCATTGTTCATAGTCAGAACTTTCATAGGGGCTAGTGGAGTTGATATGAGTGCTCCTGTTATCAATCTGAGAACTTGATCTTACATCACTTCTTATGTGTTTGGAATGGCTGGTGTTACACTTATCAATGCTTCATAGTTTTTTATGTAGTATTCAATACAGACTTTGAACTACCACATATGCTTCCTGCAAGCCTTTTCAGAACATTTATGCCCACCCCCCATTGTCTTCTTCACACATGGTTTCTCTGTATCAATTTTCCATCTAAGTACATTCTTAAATGTCTAGTGTCTTATGTTTGCACAGCAGGGTTGTTACTGTTTTTCACACTAACTTTTGGTTGCTTCTGGCTCAGAATAAAGATCAGATAGAATGTTTTCTTTGTATTTATTGTCATGTCATTTTCATAACATCAATTACTAAGGACAGTTAATGCTTCATTCACTGTGTTTGAGAGCCAATGTTTCTGATGTTTTGGCAGTGATACCCCAACTTAACTAGGACATTGCAAAGATTGCTGACTTAACATTCTTCACTTCAGGTAGTTGTGCTGATAGGTCATTATCATCGTATTAAAAATGATGGGACTTCAGACAGGTCCCTGGGAGTCCACTTCTGCTTCATTTCTATTTTGAAGTTCATTGCATTTATATTTCTGCCTTGGATTTCTCTTAATAGTCCCACCTGGAGTTCTGAATGGGGGACTGAAATAGGCATGTCCATGGCAAATGCACTATAGACTCTTCATTCATGAATTTTGTACCCAGTTGTGTTTACCACTACTATCTAAACTATGTAAAATCAAATTCTTGATAAGATCAGTTAGTTTATCAAGATGTTAGCATTTTAATAAAATAACAGTCCATCAGTTACTCATTAAAAGTACAAAACTGTTGCGATCACCACAACCATTCTCAGTATATATAATGTGGTGACCTACATCACCCATTTATGTCTGCATATATTCAATTCTTCTGTTTAGTGGTGATGCAATACCATAGGCAAGCTGCCAGTGTATGATGTAACCCACTGATAAGACGTCTACTGGTAATAGTTGTGCTGAATGTTTGAAAGTACAGGAAAAGGAAGCGGTTTTTAACGTTAATCCCGGGAACCTATGCTCCCCAAACATTTTTCTATGAAATCCAATTCAACAAACTCAAATTTCATGCTTTGCAAGTTGGTTTGTGCCAAAATGAATGTCTTGGAATCAGGGTTTGTAGCTGCCAGACTCTTTATAGTACCTTGTATGGCATCACATGCACTATTGCCATGACAAGTGGAAAATAACTGACATTCAACTAAAACCACAGTTTTCATGTAATGTCAAATTCATGAATTTTTGTTCTTACATTGTGTTGACCCAATTAAGAAATATACCACCTTGTTCACACAGGCAAGACTGTCCCGCAGAAAATATTCTTAAAAAGGTAAACAGCAGCTGTATCATGCCAGAGATTAATAATTTAGTAACAACCAGAATCAAGGCACTGTTATTGCTCTCTCACTGTGGCAGCCTGGGTTTGACCTCAGGTCAGGTCAGGTCAGGTCAGGTGGGATTCATGGTGGACAAAGTGGCATTAATACAGGTTTTCTCAGAGTACTTTGGTTTTCCCCTGCCAATTCTCATTCTGACTGCTCCACATTCATCACCATGTACTAGTGTGCAACAATTTCTTTCTGGGTAAAGTAACATGTTCACTACCACACTCTCTTCTACCAAATTTTGCAATTTATGACATGACAGACTCAACTGCTGCCTCAGTTTATGGATTAAATTGTAAAATTGTCATAGGTAATAATAAAAACACAATTTTTGTTTTCCCCAAAATTTAATCTATGCAACGTTGAAACAGAATAGGGATCACACAAAATTTCATCTTAGAATTTCATCCGATGTGGATACTGGCTGCTGCGAAGTCCAAACATTGCCGAAAAGTAAGCAAAAATATGCTTCTTCTCTGGGTGTTTCCTGATCACCTCAATGATCTGTTTGTCAACCGCCTGCTGGTCTGCCTTTCGTTGATCTGATGGCTTATATGCCTACAGGACACAGAAGTAATAATGTTCATAATTAATGTATAATATATTAAAGGCACAAGCAATGCTAATGTATAAAATTATGAAATGGCAGGTAATTGAAAAACTGGCCACCTTCTTTCTCAATACTTCAAAATAGGGCACTAAACTGATGAGCCTACATGTATATCACTGCTCAAATGGATGTCAACAGATGGTGCTTGTGTGTAGAATTTGGGGAGGGCAAACAGGAAGGAGTAATGAAATACTGGTTACATTTGTTAGGAACACACGAGACAAAACTGTTTGCAGACACAACAGCAAAGGAAGGATAGGGGAAACACTGTGATGAACAGAATTAAACAGAAATTGATAAGGTTGGGACCTGGGGGATATTTGGGAGAACAGAAGGAGCAACAACAATCTGGGCAACAATATGTAAAAGCTGTATTATAAAAAAAGGCAATACGGAAAATATGATGTGGCCAAGAAATTCAGTTAATACTGTATAACAGTTTATGGATCAACTATGAGAAGACGGTATACACAGAATTACATACAAACAAAGTTAGATAAAGGGTACAATGGTGTAAGATAGGATGAAGGGCATTACAAGGAAGAATAATGGGGTGTGATAAAACAAACGCTTGGAGTGATGTAATTCTGGACGATTTAGAAATACTGATGCAAAAGAAGGCATTAGGAGGACAGTGGACATTAGTTCGTTCAGAAATAAAACAGGATTCTTGCTGTTAAAAATATACAGGCTTTGAAATATACAGTTAATGTTGGATATGAAGTTCTCACAGTATTCACTATTAAGATTACTATCTTCTGGGATGTGATGCCCCAGCTCAGCCTCCATCTTCAGGGTTGATTCACTTGATTAAGATTTAGCTCCACCCCAACAACATAAACAAAGAGGAAGCTTCTGGCTAGGAAGTTATGGAAACCTCTCATCTACTCCATAAAAGATAGGAAGCCTCTTTCACATGATTTCTCATTAAGGGGTTATCCACCAGGCATTCAGACATGGACTGTGCATTTTCATGGCACCCAACTGCCTGAGCCTCCTTACTGCTCTTTCCAGACCAGTTTCTTCAACATGAACTCTCCTTCCCCTGCCACTTGACTATAGCTCACTCATGCTACCTTTCTCCAGTTTCTCTACCTAGCAAATATGATGTGCTTCAGGTCCACACTAGTTTCACCTCCCTCTGCTTCCATTGGTTCTCCCAGAGCTCCTTTACAGGCCTGTCTGAACCCAATTTTCTACACAAGATTTGCTCTGCTTGCCACCTACTTGGCTTACTCTTCAACCCGGATGATGGAGGCACCAGACAGTTCTATCTTGTGGGTTATGATGCCATGTAATCTGCTGGAAGTCAACCAACATTTCAGAGAAACATTGATTGGCTTATTCTTTGACCCTGAAGATGGTGCTGGCATGTTCCTTCAAAACATTTGAAAACTTCTGATTCTACAGTCACACTCCCAAAGAGAGCAACCGTTTTATGGTTCATGAATTCAAGGAGACCAAAGAAGTGACAATGAAACAAATTTACGATAGATCATGATAGATAAGGCAGGTTTCTCAATGGTCTTATAACTAACTTCATGGAGCTGAGCTCTTCTTGAGATGCTGTCGATTCTGCAGCTCAATGTTCTTATGCAAATCATATATATATATAATTTGAACAAGAAACCTAACACTATTCAATTCATTCTCAAGTGTAAAAAGGTAAAGCTATCCTTCTTATCAGGCCATGAACGCCCACAGGTCTGTGAGACGTCGAGACTTCCCTAGACAAGTGGCTCACAGATGGCAATGAGATGTCAGCCTTACACGCCTGCCGCCCTTTAAACCCCAAGAAGATTCCTGGTACACATTTCTGTTAGTGACTGAGTTGACCCAAGGACCACAGCTGTAGCTGAAAGGATTAGGTCAACTGAAAAATCCAATGACCTCATTAGGATCTTAACCTGTCACCTTCCAGCTTGTAGCATAGTGCCTCAACCAACTATGCTACTGCATGCCCCCTCATTCTCAAGCGTGAAAAATAAAAATATATCAAATACTCAGCAGAATAAACATCAGGATGGAACTTATTTGTGGATAAATATTGTGGCATAATGGACAAATTATTTCCCAGCTCCATGTTCAGTTAAGCCACTTTGTTGTGACTGCTTAAAGATGAACTAGTTAATACTGCCGATACTTTCGTATACAGAATAATTTTAAAACTGGTTCCTAAATTAATAATAATGCTACTGAATTAAAACATTGAGATATCTTTAATTAAGTTCTCTGCACAACTATTCTTTGGGATGGATCATTGGTTTAAGCTATCATTACATTAAACAGGAACCTTCAGAGAAATAAAAAAAATATTTTTAACTACATGAACAGTAGTACACTAAAGTAGCCCTTATGCATCATTAATCACCATGCCAAGGAGATGAAGGCTGGGGGGTGGGGGGGTGGAGGCACAGCTGCACACATTCTTAACCTTTAAACGGCGGGCGACGTACATAGCATGTCTGCTTTTAAATGCCACATCTTGCCGGGCGACGTTGTCGTATGTCTTGTGCAGTGCTATTTTATTATTACTAGAGGGGGTGGGTTTCCCCATGCACTTAAGACTAGTTACTGGTTCACTGTGCGCCCCCCTTTAATTTCTACTGTCGCCATACCCTACTGGTACTGTTGTGTGTTTTCAGCCCCGTTCAGCCAACGAGGTCAGCCGTCCGTACCCGATATATCCCCCATCTACCAGAGGCATTGGAAACTACTTGGACGGGAAATTGTTGCCTAATTTTGCTCAGAGGTCTCCTACAGACATGAGGATCTTTTACGTGCCGTAAATCTACAACACGGGACCCACGGCTTAAAGTCCCTCCCGGAGGACTTCTTCCTTGAATTTTTCCGCCCTTAAAAATTCCACGACCTCCGCTGGGTTTGAACCCGCGTACCTTGAGTCATGAGGTGGGAACATTACCCCTAGACTACAGAGGCTGCTTGTGCATTGCTAAGTTTCAGCTCTTATTTTGAACTGTTGCTTTTCATGTAAAGTAATTCTTTTGGTAAGAAATTAAAGAGGAAATTTCTGTCTATCATTTCGTATATTTGTTATCCGACTTTGAACTTCCTGGGTTTTTTTTACATTGAAATCTCTGAAGAAGTTTTGTAGCTCACCACGTAGGATGCAGTATTGCCATACAAATCTATCTCCACCTCTTGGGGTAGTTAAGAACTAAATACGCTAGGTTGCTCTTGGAGTAGTTAAGAACTAAATATGCTAGGTTGTTAGTCTGTGATCTCCCTGTATGTTGGTCGAAGCAAAATCAATTTACGTTCAGCCAGTGACGAGTGCTGCCTACTGAAGGGAATGAGAAACCATGTGTACAACCTAACGACAAGAAAGATACGTGACGCTGACCTCTCATATGACTGCTGTTGGATATGATAAACAAATGCCTTGTTTGCATTCCTTGAGGTTCCCTTTGTTCCACAAATAGCTAATGCAGTTTGCATGTACCAGTGATGGCTGGGACAAGCAACAGACGTTCAGCTGTGTTGAGTGATGAGGACTTACAGTGTTTGCTTGAAAGTGATTCCGAACAAAGTCTGTCAGATTCGGATTTTGATACTGAAAACGAGTTAAATGATCGTGCTTTGATTGATGCTGTTGGAAATGAGGGCAGCGATGAAGATGACAGTGCAAATCAAGAATTCGTTTGGGAGGATACTATTGTTCATAATTTTTATATGCTTACTGGCCCCAAAATAATTTTAAAGTAGTGTGGATTAATACTCTAATTCTATATACTTCTCTGGATGTTGTGTGAAAATCTGAAAAACAAAACTCCAGTTTTCCCCCGTTTATTACGCTTTAAGTTAAGTGCTGCATTCTCCAATTTAATTAGTTAATAGCCACCAGCATTGGAGTTTAGTAGCGATTTAAATGCCTCCTGGCACAGAAAGGTTAACCTGAGCACGACGTGACGGTACTTCTACAAAATATTAGACGTTACCCTGAAAGCTATGTGCACATTTTTGCAGGAGGGGCAGAATTAATACAAACATTTTCACACTTCTGAAGATATGTTTACAGATCAGTATGAATTAACTACCTAAAATGAAAATAATGGCAGTTTCCTACACCAATCTCATTAGAGAGCAAAGCCCTATTGTCATTACAATTATAACTCACAACCAGTGAACAATAGTCCCTCCCAAATGATCAGAACTTATAACAAAGATGGGGAAAAAAGCAAACTGTTTGCAATATCTTCCTTTTCTAACCTCCTTTTTGGTGTTGAAGATGTCACCTTCTGCTTTCTTTGCACGCTTCTGCCTATTTCTTCTGAAGTACTTGTCATTTATGGTGTCTGGCAACTTCACACCTGAAATATCCAACTTTGTGCTGGTGGCAATCACAAAGTTTTGGCTTATGCGACGCAAAGGACACGCATTGATCTTGAAGGGTCCTGAAATATATTAAGAGCAGTACTGAAAACAAGTTACTGCAAACATGGATGGACACACAAACTTCTGTATCTACTATGGCTGGTGTACTACAAAAATAGATGGTATGTCAAAGAGTATATTTTGTATGGACTAAATTATAAGACAAAGGGTGGAATTTGCTATGGTCTGTCTTTGGTTTAGTAATGTTAATGAAACAAGTATTGTACCATAAATGCAATGTTTAAACTTCAACAAATCAAAGAAACGTATATATACCTGTAACAAGCAGTAATCCAGAAGCAAGTACTTTGAGAAGCACAACACGCTTGCCTTTATGAGGTCCTGCAAGAAGTATGCAAATAGTTCCTGGAGTCAATGTTGGTCGCGTGTAACGTTTATGCTGCGAGAACAACTTCTTGCTATGGTGAGGCTTAATCCTAAGGAAAACAATAACAATGTTTTATCTCCCTCAACAAAAAGTGTAAATACCAAGCATTCTGCGAAGTAATCAAAACATTTAGACACAAAAATTGTTATAACACTAAGGGTACCTCAGTGGTAGTGACGAAATGACAACGAATGCATCAAAGTATGTCAGGACTTTTGTTATCAATAACTGGTACCCAAAGCATCCACTAAAACTAAACAACTGACATATTGAGCAAATAAACCATAAAAGCGTCAGACTCATTTTACAGACATATGTCCACTTCATACTTATCAGCAGTAGGATAGTAATTTCTCCTCTTTCTAAGCAGAACTATTCGCGTTTCTCCATTTTTCTCACCACCGATCTTCTTCTCTATTGTTAATGGTTTCACGGGTTTAACCTGTTGCAAGACAATCAGTATGTAACATTACTTACTTACTTACTTACTCATGGAGCTGAGCCCTTCTTGAGGAACCGCCAATTCTGCAGCTACTCAAGAATTTCCTAGCATTTTATGGAACCTGAAGGTTCATCACCATGTTCACAAGAGCCCTCCACTGGTCCCTATCCTGAGCCAGATATATCCAATCCATACCATCCCATTTTATTGCTCTTAGATCCATTCTAATATTGTCCACCCACCTACCCCTTGGTCTTTTCCCTTCTGGCTTTCCCACCAATATCCTACATGCATTCATCTCCCCCATTCGTGCTACATGACCTGCTCACCTCATCCTCCTCGACTTGATCATTCTAAGTATACTTTGAGAAGAGTACAAGTTATGAAGCTCCTCATTGTGCAGTTTTCTCCAACCTCCTGTGACTTAATCTCTCTTTGGTCCAAATATTCTCTTCAACACCCTGTTCTCAAACACCCTCAGTCTGTGTTCCTCCCTTAATGCCAGAGACCAAGTTTCACACCCATACAGAACCACAGGCAAAATTATAGTTTTATACATGTAATAAAGGTCAGTAAAATTAATGAGACCAGTATGCACATCATGTTATATATTAATAATCTAACAGATGGATATGAGAAAATCCATCCTTCAAGTTCAGGTTATAGACAAGTAGATGGAAGAGCAAAAATAACAAGAATGTGAACATAAATTAATGTCACACAATGTAAACCTTGATACATGCTGATAAAAACTATAGTAACACTCAAAAAATTATGGTTTCCAGATAACACAAAATTACTGTACAAACTACATAAACAGTTCTTATATTTATTGTACCAGTAACAATGAAAATGTCTTGTAAACATGTTTTGTACAAAATGAACACAGAGACAAAAAGAAAAGGTGGATCTGGAAACTGTAGAAATTATTCATTTATAATTTTTATGCCAATCTAAATGTACAGACTCTTTGCATGTATAGGCACACTATCTTCAGCACCTCTTAATAATCTGAACAACTCCTTACAATTGTTTTTGTTAAGTAGTTATAGACTTATATCAGGATTACCTGGCAGCACTCAGGCAAACATATGAACTGGATACTGCTGGCCAGGAGTCTATGAGGGAAGCAATGAACTGTGTGGGAAGGTGTACTATATATTACACACAAATAATTAAGCATATTGCATATGTGGATGTGAGGAATATGTACCTTTCATACATATCAATAAATACTAGATAAACTGGCAATTAGAATATGCAAATATAACGATTAAACAAACAGGAAAGTATCTTCACTTCTCAGTATACTCTAAAAAGATATTGGGGACATCACAGCACAAATTGGACTGTACTAAGACGACACAAGGACTTCACGTGGAACCATTATTCAAAATAGATCTCCATTAGCTCCTTGAGCTAATTTCATGTCACACATTTACTTATCCTGCAGTCGTTGTTTACAGTCATTACTTAGCAATGGGTCTACATGCTACAATATTCTGCTTACAGTTAATACAGATAACTGTACTTAGCAATCAAATGTTGCTGAAAACATACTTATCTGAAAGTGTAATTTAGCGCTCATCAAAACCCTTTGAGGTAAGTGGTGTATCCCATCATATAAACGGTTACAAACTGATGGGACATCTAAACCTATACGACCACTGTTTTCGGGCGGGCCAAAGTGGTTCGGGAAAAACACGGTCCCATATCAACTGGTTATCCGACACTAACACCCTATTACAGTAACATGATGAGACTATAAATCTAATTCTAACACTATTCTACTTTAATACACTGCACCTTTTTTTCAGTCTTCTTGCCAATAAACTTGTACAACGCCTTCTTATGGTACATGCGACTACGACTGAATCTGTAAACGCCATTCCCTAGATCGTAGTTCCTAGGTTTACCAGGCTTCTTCTTTTCAGCTCCTCCCTTGGCTGGAGCTTTAGACGCTGCTGGCGAAGGCTTAGCGTCAACGTTAGGTGCAGTGTCCGACATCTAAAAATGCAAATTTCACAGAATGTAACAGCAATCTAACACGTTAGCATGCCGTAACAAACACGATTTTGGAAACAAAATTATCATCTAGCAGCAACGTGTATATATTAATGGAAAACATTTAATTCTCATAACATAATAAAATTACTATCGTGCAATTCCAACACTTGATGTCCAAGGATTACCACGATATTAAAACGACACTACACGACCACAAATACTCTCACCACTTAACAGTCCTCAAAACTGCTCTAAACGTTGTGACTAAATTCAATCCATACCACTGACGTCGCTAGTTTCGCACAACTCTCAGTCTGGAAAACGTGAGCGTACGATGTAATAGTTGTTTAAGTTCTAAACTGAATAAATATGATAACAAGATCTGAATGTGCAGTGCATGCAGAACTGACTTAATAGATTAAGACAAATAGTAATGTAACCATTCTTATCTTAAGCCTTTCAGCACTGCATAACATATTCATAATGTTGGTGACAAAGTGACATCACAAATGGCTTCTGCTAGAGGAGAAAATTCTGCTTCGGATGGTTATAGTAGATTTAATGATGATATCGATAATATTGAAGGTTCATATCAGTCTAATAATCTCAGTAAGTTACAAGAGTATCAATTTATATTAATTGTCTTATCTGTCTATCATCTTACGCACTTTGTACTGTTGGTCAGGAGATCCACGTTATAAAGCCTCTGTCAATTTGACAACTCGATGCTAGTAACAGAATTTCTTGCAGAACATGAGATTTCTCAGACAGCGGAAGATTTTCCCAATGAGATAGGAAGCACATCTAGCTTAAATCGTGATATATCAGCTGAAAATTCGGTCGAACTGAATGGACCAGGTGATACACATTTTGATGCTGAACAGCACTGGGAAATGAATTACCATGAAGCAGCAATATTTCTTGAGGTGCGTAGCGTGTAATATGTTGGAACTGTATTTATAATTATCATACGTAAAACTATTAAACATAACGGAGGTTTTTTCACCAGGAAGGGGAAAACAACGAAAAGTTTGATTCACATCCTCACAATTCTGAAGCACTGCCTGCATATTTGTTGGTCCATAACCGATGGTATTATGGGCTTGACATGGCAACGTCATTAATATTGCTCGCCCTGGCATTTGTTGAAGAACCAGCCCTTCCCTTATTTAAAGTAAGTCTTCTCTTCCCTTTATAATATGTGTTATATTACGTTAAGAGAGATGTTTTAGAATATGATGAAACATGTCATCAAAATCTAGCTTCCAGTTGGAGTACATGGCAGCATTGAACTACTAGCACTTTCAGTCATTGGAGTGGAGCTAACTTTGAAACTACGTTGGATTGGTTGGAAAACAATTTTGAAACACAAACGAACTATGATAAAGGTTAGTTCCTTACTGTTTTTATTTGTTAGCCAAACAAGAGAAAGAGACATGAAATTTATTTCTTATATTTATATAAAATAAGATAATTTGTCTTTCTGAATTTGGATATGTCATGCTTCTACAAGGTAGTTAAGATGGTAAAAGTGCAGAATATGGTTTGAGTATGTACTGAGCATAGTTAATCTGACCAGATCTTATCTTATGAATACAACCAAAAGCAAACCAAATGTTATCAGGTATGAGCAGTTTGGAGTGAAACCTGCCCTAGGGTATTTTGCTGGGGGTAAGGGGACCCAAACTGTATTTTGCAGTTTAAACCTTGCCATATGGATTTCTTTTGGGTTGAACCTGTATTCGAATGGTGATCATTTTTCCTGGTTTTCAGTGTTTTTTCCCCATTGCAGTGTGTAACTCTTGGCATTATGTTTGTGGAGGCTGTGACAGTATTGGTACGACAGTCATCCCATTTCCGTGTGACACGTGCTCTTCGTCCCATTTTTTTGGTGGACACATGTCACTGTGGAGGTGTGAGACGTTTCATACGACAAATTTTCCAGTCACTGCCACCAATTCTGGATATGATGGGATTACTTTTATTCTTCGTGACAATCTATGCTCTCCTGGGTTACTTCCTTTTCTCAGATGATCCTCGAGACCAGCACTTCACCACACTGCATGACAGTTTTGTCAGCATGTTTGTTTTGCTCACAACAGCAAAGTAAGCAGCAAACTGTCATAATACAAATACTCTTCAGCATAAGTTAATGAATGAAAATAGTTTCAGATGCAATGTCTGTCATATGCATACTGATACAAACTTCAGCATTGTGGCTTGTCAGTGTTGGAGATGAGGTCAGATTATAAATAATAGCCTTACTACTTGATTTAGCTGTGAAGACAATATCCAAGTCATGAAGTGTGACTAATATTAATAATGAAAATGTCACAGTTGCTAGTTTCTTGTATAGAAAACTAATGGAAATTAACACTGAGGGTGAAACATTGATGCATAAGAGAATTTAATCAACAACAAAACTACTAATAACAAGAACAACAAGGGCAAATTACAGAAATTCTTATTGTAAAGAACACTAAATGATAATGCTGTTCTACTTTTACCACCATGTCTTTAACAAGAATGTTCTGTGTATCATGTGCTATTTTAAAAGTGTGAATTTGTGTCATGAACCATCAGTATTAGTGTAAGCATATACATGTTGAATGTGACAAGTAATTGACAATACATTTTCAGTTTTCCAGATGTTATGATGCCATCATATTCAAGGTCCAAGTGGTTTTCCATATTTTTTGTTTCCTACCTGTGCACGGTGCTGTACGTTCTCATGAACTTGGTTGGTATTAGAAAAGTGCACTTGTAATTCTGGACACTATGAATTAAAATTCTTTTCAGTTCCATATGTAGATGTAATTACCTTTGTTCTCTTCACAGATGCTAGCCGTAGTCTATGAAACATTTACAAGAATTGAACGTGATAAATTCCGGAAACTTTTACTCCATAAACGCAAGGCATGTCAGCATGCCTTTAGACTATTGGTTTCTAAACAGAACCCATGCAGAATGCGATTTAAGCAATTTGAAGGTCTGATGAGGTATTATGCACCAAAGAAATGTGAGTAAAGTGATTAGTTCACCGTATTGTTTCATTATTTGGTGGTGGAAATCATACAGAGTTGTAAAAATAGGCACTGATAGAACTTATATAAACAACATGTTCTTAAGCAACTAATCAGAAAAGCACATTATTTTCTTATTGTTCCAAATTCATGATGATTGTCCTAATACCTAAGTCATCCCATAATTTCATAATGATGTTAGGTTCTCTGTTTTATTTTGCAATTTATATGACTGATATTTTATGAAAGTTGGCTGGTATAATTAGCCAGTTTCTTTTTCTGTCTACAGCACCTCGTGATGTGGTATTGATGTTCAAAGAGTTAAGTGCTACAGGCACTTGCTCGCTCTCATTAGAAGAATTCTACTCAGTATATGATGCAGTAACGCTCAAGTGGGAAGCCCAGTTCTCACAGATTCCTTGGTTTCACACTACATGGGCCCCACTACAGACATTCTGCCAGTTCACACATGATTTTGTAACCTGGAAATATTTTGAGTACATTGTTTGTAAGCATTTACTGTGATTAATGCAACATATAATGAGCATGAGCCTAATGGGTGCCAGGTGCTCTTTCCCTGGAGGTAGAATGGCTGCAGTGTGAAGCTGATCTCCCAGTTCCCTCTTAGTGCTGACATCAAGAATGCATGGAGCTATACCTTCACTCTCACATGTGTCTGCATAGCATGGAGCTAAATTATTACTTAATGAGCATGAGGAATGTGCAGCTTTCGTTTTCTATGGTTTTAGGTGATGTTTCCGTTCCCAGCTGTGTTAACAGAAAAAGAACTAATATACCCAGGAAAGGTACAAGTAATTATGTCTTATATAATGTGAGTATTTTGTAAGACTGACATTGAGTTAAGAAAAATTTGAAATTTATACATTGTCACAATTTTATGGAGTGTCCCTAGACGGGTTTTGCCTTGATGACCGGATTTATTTGGCTCTTTGATATAGCACATGACTACACTTTACAGGTCACTTTTACACACACACACACACTAGTGTCCACAGTCATGCCTTCACTGCCATTGCTTGGTAGCAGCTCCCAACGGCATATGTTCCCCTTCCTCTGGGTTCCTGTACGGTCACTGACCTCAGCTACTAGCTTCTAACAAGAACTGAACCACAGCAGTTCTCTCACTCACTGACTGACTGCAACAGAATTAGAGCCAAAGTCACTTTGTGACTGGCAGTTCGCCTTGGCGCCAGGCCCCTTGAGGCTAACAATTAGAGATTCAACTGAACCCTTGTGGTCATAGTACTTATGTAACATCCTCTCTGACTGCAACAGCTGACTGGCCTTGCTTATAACATCTTGGAATAGACGGCATAGATAACATCTCTTCCACTATTGCTGTATTCTTGTTGTCACAGAAACATGCTTGTTTGTGGAGCCATTACCTAGCAGTGGCTGTTGTATAGTTGCTTATTTCATGGTTGTTGCCTAGCAACAGGTCTATGTCCCATAGTATATATTTTACTACCCTTATATGATGTGACCAATACCTTCCATATTCATGTCAATAAAAGTAACAATTTAAAAAATGTAATTAAGTTTCTGTGGTGCATGTTTTTCTTCAGTTTAATGAAATCAGAGCTTTTAATGTGTTTACTGAAATATAAGTTTTGAAAAATATCTGTTTCATTACTTATGCATTTTGTGCCGTGTATTATTATTATTATTATTGGAAGGGTGGGTTTCCCCATGCACCGCGACCAGTGGTCTGTTGTACGTCCCCTCTGTGATATTCTACCAGTCTGTATACCCTATCGATACTGGTGAGTGCCATCAGTCCTGACTCAGCCAGCGAGTTCGGCCTTACTGGCTCAGCGGTATCTCTCGATGCTTCCTCCATCTATCAGAGGCATTAGAGACTACTGTTGGGCGAGAAATGTCCGATCAATTTGGCTCAGTGGTCCCCTTGAAACATGAGGTTCTTTTACATGCCGTAAAGCTACGACACGGGACCCACGGCTTAAAGTCCCACCTGGAGGACTTGTTCCCTGAATTTTTCCGCCCTTAAAAATTCGACGACCTCCGCCGGGTATTTGAANCGTATCTGTTCTAAACCTACGACACGGGACCCACGGCTTAAAGTCCCTCCCGGAGGACTTGTTCCCTGAATTTTTCTGCCCTTAAAAATTCCACGACCTCCGCCGGGTTTTTGAACCCGCGTACCTTGAGTCATGAGGTGCCGCTTCTTGCTTTGCTTACTCTTCAACCCTGAAGATGGAAGTGATAGGTTCTTCCAAAATGTCAGCTGTCTTTCAGTGGATTAAATATCCTAGAAAACAAAACACTTCATAGTCAATGCTGTGAGAACCTCAATTCCAACCTCCTTTAATGCTGATCACACTAATTTGGTTTTGCTAAGTTTCTGCACATTTAACATGATTTTTTATATACTGGTTGTGGTTCTTCAGCAACAATATGGGTGTCTGGTTAATCTAATGTTAGTTAGTTAGTTAGTTATTGGAGAGGGTGGGTTTCCCCATGCACTTAGACCAGTATTGGTCCATTGTGCTTCCCTCTACGAGTCTCTATACCCTACCAATACTGGTGCGTACCATCAGTCCCAACCGAGCTTGCGAGTTCGGCCTCTACTGGCTTGGCGGTATCTATAATGCTTCCCCCATCTATCAGAGGCATAAGACTACTGTTGGGCGGGAAACGTCCTTGAATTTGGCTCAGTGACCTCCTTTGGAGGTATGAGGTTCTTTTACATGCCGTAAAGCTACGACACGGGACCCACGGCTTAAAGTCCCTCCCGGAGGACTTGTTCCCTGAATTTTTCCGCCCTTAAAAATTCCACTACCTCTGCCAGGTTTGAACCCGCGTACCACGAGTCATGAGGTGGGAACGTTACCTCTAGACTATGGAGGGCTGCTTTAATCTAATGTTACTGCACTCCTGTTATCTTTAAAGGCTTTCAAGTACTTTTAGAATTTGTATATTTTTAATTCAGTTTTATGATAAGATTAATGTACTCCTGTGTTTGTGTTATAAATGTGTTTCTAATGCAGTATTAAATAATATTCAAGTAATGTGTACACAGTAACTATAACTGTCAGTAATGAGCTGGAACACATTTTTTCTTAAAAACTGGAGGGGCTGTTACTTAAGAAAGAAGTGAGCACATAGCCAACAAGACAATCCAAATATGCATATAAGATGAATGATGCACAGAAAATGAGTGGTAATTTCAGGAAGGCACTGAAAATGACTAAATCAAAGTATCAATTTTGCATTTCCAGGTGAGCTTCCTGTATAAATATGAGGCAATTAATTTATTGGTCACTGTCATCATGATTGTTAAAAGTTAAGTTTCCTTAGTGCATGATTGTGTTTGGTTTAATAAAATAAAACATTTCAAATTTATGTACAAAAATAAAAATCCTGTACATCATGAATTCATTATAGTAGTTGCCTTCTTTGTTACGTATTAGTGTCCTTACTCCATGCTCAGGATAACTCCATGCGCAGGATAATGAGAGATGGTTCAGAATAAAAAGAACAGAGTGGAAAAACATAATCAGCATTAATTTCCCATTCTTGGATGCCTCACGGAAATAAGGATACTAGTATTGTGACAACAGACCAAATAACAGATTCAGCTATTGAAACTAAAGACTTTTTGGATAGATGGATTGGGTGTGGAAGTCTGATCACCTAGCCTCTCATGTTCTCCCTTTATGTCCCCCACCCCAAATTTTTATTTGTGGGGATGCCTGAAGGAAAATAGTTTATGCCACAGAAGTTCAGTATTATGACACCCCTATCATATTCAGGTGACTACTGCAGGCATTACAAATTTGCCTAGACAGCTAGTTATGTCCAGGGGGAGGGACGACACTTCGAACATTCATTGTGCTAACAAGTCCCCACCACGCAAACTTAATGTATGCAGAAACAGGTACTCTCAAGTAAAGTGACCAATGGAAAATGCTGCAAAGAACAGAATTTGCTTGATTTATTTCTTTAATCATAAATGAGGAGATCACATTTCATGTTGCATTAAAAGAATCGTTTTAATTTTGTAGAAATCAGCTATCTCAATGATACAAAGAGACATTAATCTAAACATGTGGTAACTCCTTAATGGTGGTGAATCTGAAAAAATAATTTACCTTTTCAGCCATCTCCAACAGTCTTCTTAACTGCTCTATCAGAACTCAGAATCAGTCTGTATGTCATACGACACAGTCTCTTTACACTTCTGAATGCAGAAATACGAGTACTTTTCTGTAATCATAATCATTTATTGAATACTTCATTAAATTTATAATTTATAGTTCTGATTTAATTCCTTTTTATGTCTTTTTTTATTTTCAGAAAATTGATTATGGACTAACTTAAATTGAATTAGTTTGTTTATAACTGCTGTTCCGTCAGGCAAACAACAATATCAGTATGTGAGATTTGATGGTTCTATGATAGTAAAGATTTTTTGCAGTCTTCTGAATTAATGACACTGGGTAGTTTTGTAGGTGAACACCAACATTACACCTACCTACCTACCACTGAGTGCTACAGCCCTGGTTGAGCCTTGGCCTCCTCTACAACCAGTCTCCACTGCTCTCTATTCCTCATCTTCTCTTTCCATCCTTTCACCTTCATCTTCTTCAGGTCACTCTCAACATCCTCTAGCCATCTCATCCTGGGTACATTCCAAGTTTCCATCGCAATATCCTTGTTCCTTGTCCTTGGCTTAGTACATATCTCATATGTTCCACCTATCTAAGGGTGGTTGTTAGGTTTCTGAACAAAATTCTATTTACAGGATGAGTTGTTAGCCCCATACTCAATCCCCAACTGGAGGACCAGGGTATCTCTCTTAGTCTGGACTCTACCCTTTGACCTTTCTGGTATGGGTGAGCTTACCAGCAGTTAAACTACCACTGGTATAGCTCTCCAGGTCACAGAGTCATGCAAGCCCTACCACCACAACAAGGTGGAGACACCTCTGGGGGGTCCAACATTACAAAGGAACTGTAATAGGATAAAATTAAGTTTTGGTAATGTGGGTTAGGACTGAGGGTTATGGTGAGCGTTTCTGTTGAAGCTCTACATAAGTGGTATCAAGAATGACAATTTTCCAACATGTTAGCATCAGTTAGACTTGAATTACAATTAATTTAAAAAATAAATTGTAACACTGCAAGGGAGATTCCTCAACCAAGGTAATATATTAGACAACATTTTTACACTCAGATGTTTTGTACTGTGGGCCAGTCCATAGCCCAAGGCACTTTCCTTCCCCATCAACTTGATTAATGCATCATTAAGCAAATTTCATGTTTTCAGTGTTATAAAAGCCTTACATAAGAACTGAACTTTAAAGAACAGTGAAATTTATTATGTGGAGCAATATGTACAATAATATTTTCAATTAAATGTGACAGAATTAATGACAGTTTATAGACTGTAGGATTAGGCTGTTCATGACAGGCAGTTATAGTGAAACAATCTAATTGACTGGGTGAAATAGTTCAAATTATAACTTGGGCTGTTTAATAATTCTGTCCAAGAAAATACTGCACAAAAATCCATTTGCAGGATGTGAACGAATTGTCACACTGTGGACTTTTCAATTAAGTGTACAGCCCTGTGCTATGCAATGCTAAAGAATGCCATATATAACATGCTGCTTTTTCTATAATTCCTACTGTGCATTTTAGAGTTAAGAACATACTTAACTATGATATAACACATGATAATAGCTGCATGTTGCATGTTTTGACTGAAGATGCTTCACTGTTAAGTGTTCTTCTTTTGCATACATTTACATTTATTATCATTTGTTTTATTCCATGTATTTCCTTATCTATGCATATGTGGTAAAGAAAGTAGTGGATTATTAATCAATGTTTTCCTCAGACTCATTGAATTCTAGCCATTTATGTTTACCTATCTGATGCAAACTACAAAGCCTGAAATTGAAATTGGAGTTGAATTCAATGTATTTACTTTCCTTTTTCTATATATGTGCATAGTAAGTTGTGAGTGAATATTAAGTGATAAAGAGGAGTTCAGAGAAAAGTGCATAATAAGGAACTTCATGATTAATTCCCTTTATAAACATTATTAGAGCGATAAACTTGGTTAGGGTATTTAGCACACATGTTAGAGAAGAGACCATGTGAAAGATCTAGGCCCATATGGGAGGATAATATGAAAATGGATCTTACATGAGTAGGGTGTGACAATATGGACTGACATCATCTAACTCAGGGTAGGGAAGTGATGGCTTCTTTTGAACATATTAATAATACACTTCAGGGTTTGTTAAGAAGAGGTGAATTTCTTGACTAGCTATGTGACTCAACTTTTCAAAAAGAACTTTGCTTCATGGAGTTGTTACAACAACAACTTACATTATTTATTTAAGTATTTAGATGCTAGCCTTCTTTTAACCAGGTAAAAGTTTGGGACAATGGTATGTTAATATGATTATTGACTTTTTGAACATTGTCCATCGTTCTAACAACGTTTTGGATATTGGATTCTGTCTCCATTCTTAGGGAAAAGCCTACTCACTTGGTTCCAATCAGTAGAGCTAATCCCTGTCTCCAGGTAGTCAAGACAGACGGGTATGTTAATGAATAACGTAACAAGGCAATTGAACTGCTTCAAGAAAGAGACACCTCTGAGTTCTAGGCATAGCTGGGAGAATAATATTAAAATGGAAATTAGGTTATGAAGAAGAGACCTACGTTAAGACAAGGTTCCCAATGTTGGGCTTCTGTGAAGAGATGAACTTCTGTTTTCCGTGACAACTGAAAATTTTGTGACCAGCCGAATAACAGACATTTGCTCAAAGGAGGCACTGTACCATTAAGCTGGCAACACTGTTTTGGAATGCACTGCCTATTTTGTACAGGGTCCACATAATTTGCAATGAACTGGTTTATGATGACCACATAGTATTATGAGATAACAGTGGACAGAAATAGATTATATAAACGTTTGCAGAAGAATGTTCTAAATACTTAGTAGGTATAACATGTTTAACATTTAAAATTTTCATTTTGTTCTTAGTATGTGTACAAAGTTTTGCCAAATTTAGTTGATTTTTAGACTGTACTTTTAGATTTGGACTTCACATGAATTCTTATGTGCTCTTGATCTGTTTTGACATCCAGATTCAAATTATATAATCACGATGTTAGTAAAAACAATTGCCCTGAATCTGAGTAAACAAACTGAAAAGTGTAGTGGACTGTTCTGGTATAGTGATTCCAGAATAGTAACCTGTGAAATCTTGAAATTTCATGGGCAGATATACCTATGAAAGATTCATTACGTTCTCAGTTGTTCTTAATTATTATAAACCTGAACATAGTTTTGTTCCAAAGTAATACTTTATTGCCTGAAAGTGCCATGGAAGATACTTCAGATGTGCTGCTGCAGCAGCCTAAACATGATGTGCTAAAAATATCAGTTACAGAATGACTAACACAGCAATTCACTGTATGCTAGGCTAGAGCTAACTCTGAACTTCTGTGTGAATTTGTGGCTATCTTAAAGTAATAATTTTAAATTATATCATTATTCAGAATGTGAAAGCAATAATATAGCATATACATGCAGTAACAAAAGCTGCAAAGTTATAACAATGAAAGGCACAAACAGTAAATAATTATGAACTAACAGAATCCTATTTCAGGATAAGTTACTACTCTGCTGTTGAAAATGAGGTGAACTATCAGATTCTCAATAAGTTCCATGCAACACAAACAGTTGAATGTATATCAAATGAGCAGTCAGTTGAACAACTTGAAACAATTATATTGCCAAAATGCATTGTTCACCACAATTTTTATTTCCTGATGCATGCTGCATGTCCCATTCATCTCTGTCTTCTTGATTTGATGCCTTGACTGTGTAAGGCAAATAGCGCATATTGTGTAGCTCCTCATTATTAAGTTTGCTCCAGTTCTGTTATTTTCCTTTTGTAAGTCCAAATATATTGTCACTGTGAGTGACTATGGACAGGAATTGGATTGGTAATCATATTTATTGGGCTCCTAGACACCTTGTGACTACACTCTATAAGTCACTATCACACAGACTAGAGTCCACAGTCATATCTTCACTAGGCGACTTCCAGCAGTGGATGTTCCCCTTTCTCTGGGTTCCAAAACTCTCCCTGTGCCTTAGCTACCAGCTTCTAACAGCAACAGCTCACAAGGACTGAACCTCAGCAGTTGTCTAACTAATTCACTGACTCACCAACCAACTACCCTTCACTTCACTCAGTTCAAGTGAACTGAACTCTCTCCACTCCATCTACACGTTATGTAACCTCAGCATGGACCATGTAGAAAAACAGCTTTTCTATTGTTGTGTGGTGTATATTGTGGCTATTAGCTAGCAATGGCTATTGTAAAGCTGCTTATTTTGCAGTCATTGCCTAGCAATGGGTCTACATGCCACAATATTCTCAGCACTTGTCCTCAAACCCCCCCAATTTATGCTTTTTCCTGTGGTCACTCTATGTTGTATAAGACACATTTTGTAAAACAAGAGAGGTCTGGCATCAAGAGTTACTTACTGAAAAACATTTATGCACAAAACTCACAAGAAAGAGATTATAATAATAAAAATGTAAGGTACAATGCAGTCTAAATATGCAATTTTTCATAGTCTTCCATACTGTGCACATGCTTGGACAATTTTCATCAACTTCAAAGGAATGCTATTGCCTTCTGATTTAATAATACAAGGGCTTGTTTCTATACTGTCAGCGAACTATACGGATTAAAAAATTGTTTGTTATGAAAGTCATTAAACAAAGCAATTACATCCTCCAATTAATCTCATCACCACTCAGTAAATTATGAAACCCAAAGTGAAATCTGAGTAAAGCAGTGTTAATGCAAATTATACCTGCATTGAAGAATTCTGTTTTTTGGGATATAATGCTAGTTGACTTTCAACAGACTACATGACATATACCAGAAGACAGAATTCTTCATAACCACTGCTGTGAGAACCTCAAATTGTACATACAGGGTGGGGCACAGAAACTTCCTTTTTTGAAGGTGAATAAAAGAAAAATTATTGCTGATAGACAAAATTTATGTTTAGCTAATGAAAGAACATACTTTAAAGTTTTAAATCATGTAATTTTAAACAAAATATCTTAAAGGTGGTGGCCACCGTTCTCTATGCACTGATGCAACCGTTTTCTGAAGTTCCCCTCTGCACGTTCCAACATGTGCACCAGGATTTGGGCTACTTCCTGCTGAATAACATTCTTCAGCTGAAGCAGGTTTGTGGGGCGATGTTTAAAAACCTCTGCCATAAGGTATCCCCATAAAAAAAATCACAGAGCGTTAGATCAGGTGAGTGCGCTGCCCATGGGACGTCACCTTGAAGCGAGATGAGCCGTCCAGGGAACTTTGCCCTCACAACTGTCATCAAAGCTTGGGCTATGTGGGCCGTGACACCATCCTGTTGGAACCAGACATTTTCTAGATGCATTTCTTCAAGAGCTGGTTCGAAAAAGATCTCAAAATCGACTGTCGAACTGCCTCCACATTTTCTGGCATTGTAACGGTCCGTTGTCATCCTGATGATTTTTTCACCATACCCCCAGTTGTCCTAAAGTTCTCTACCCACAAAAAAAATCGATTTCCGGTCAGGAACTGGACCTCTGGGCCTAATTCCGAAGTGAGTACGGAACGCACGCTGCATCGCCACGTAGGAATGGTTGTTCGAACAGTAGGCTTCGACAGCAAATGCATGCTGCTCACTCATCCACCTCATGTTTCCTAGTGAGGGGTATTAGACAGAAACTTCCATGACTGCTGCATTCGCCGAGCCTATCCCCACTTTTCTGCGACCTCCCCTCCCTTCACAATGTATCTTCACAAGAAGGAAGTTTCTGCACCCCACCTGTACCTGCATTGTCCACAGTCTTGGTCATAAAATAGTAGTCTTACTGCAGAAGACTGTGTTGAATCCCATATTATGGGAGTGGAATGAAATTTAAGAGTAAATGAAAAAAAATATTCTTCTCATCTCTCTATATGAAATATATATTGCAGTTTTGTAAAACAATTCATGTGCACTTTTCAGATTTGCAAGTTTACATCAAGAAATTATATGTTGTTACACCCATACTCCAGAAATTAAATGTATGATAGAAATTATGCATTCAGATTTCCAACTAAAGCAATGCACAGTCTTTATTTAGCCTTCAAGTTATAAGTGAAGATTTTTTAAGTAAAGTATTGAATGTATATAATGGAAGAGCACACTTCAAAAATTTACATGGGAACTGTGTAAATTTAGTGACAAAAATGAAATATTTTAGTGCTGGAGAGGCTTGTATAATTTCTTCTGTTTACAGATGGACTGATCCTAACAAATGGCCTGGCTATGATTTTTCGAATTCTTGAATTTAATGATGACTTGCAAGAATCGGCATTATCATTTAGTGCGTCATGGGACACAATCTTGTTTGTTGGCTGTAAGTTGAAACTATATACTCTGCACTCAGAAATTCAGTTCCTAACCTGCGAAAACATATTCTAGGCTTATGAAGGAACCAAGTTCCTCCTTTGGAACCTTATCCATGAACTGCACAGCCATTCCCTGATTCAGCTACAGACATCAGTGCTATAAAAATTAATTGATCAGTTTTGTAGAACTTGGAATAAATGTCATGCCATTGTAAACTTCCCCACCTCTAAATATTATGTCATCAACAATACCAGTAGTGGGGTATATGGTAGCGTACTTGGTTGAGGCACTAGGCTACAAGCCGGGAAGGTGATACATTCGGATGAAGTCATTAGATTTTTTGATTTACCTAATCCTTCCAGTCGCACTATGGCCTTACAACCCTATGAGCCTTCACAGCCTGTTACAGGGATAATTTTCTTTTTTTTTTTTTAGTAAAAGACCAATAGTTGCTATGAAAACATGAGGTGCAAGCAACAGTAATACTCAGTAATAAGATACTGAGGAGTTACATTTTGTATGATAGAGTGCTGAAAAGTATGTATATTGTATTACATTGTTTTCCTTTTCAGAAAAGAAAAGAATAAACAGAAAGGAAATCTAAAATATCTTGGTTTATTTAACAATGGTTTTAGTCACATTGATTATGAAGAGTCATATGATAGGATGATTAGTGAATAATGAATTAGAGAGGATAATGGAAGAAAGCATTTGTGAGCTAATTTAAGAAACTTCCAGCCTGGAGGTACTGAGGAAACCACAAAAAAAATCTCAGTCAGAATTGTCAGTCTCTGATCTGATTTAAACCTGCTACTTGAAGCAGAAGTGATATCCACTCAATTATGACACTTGGGTAAAATAACTTTGTATGATGGCTATGACCAGTTTAAGCCTTGTAACATGAACTTATCTACTAGTAGTACTCATGGTATTGAAACCTACTATAAAATGAACCACATCAATGGCATGCGTTTTAATAATGTTTTTATAGTAATTACAAAATATTACATTTTACTTGTGGTACAAACATGAGACGCCCCTAGTTATAATATGCTGTGCACTCTGTCTCCTTGTTAATTCATTATCATCAATAATACTGGCATGCCACCTTTATGAACTTTTTAGCTATGTTAAAAAGAACTTCCATTTGAAATAGTGTACAGAAAATTAGTAAGAGGAATATAAGTCACTGGTAAACAGCAACTTTTGTTAGGATCATATGTTCACAACTGTACACGATGTTGAAAGTAACATATGGCTACAAGGTTAAATAAACAACACAAACATTAAGGGGTTCAAAGATGGTAGAAAAGACTTAACTTATGATCACTGATGTGCATGAACAAGATGTTTTATGAGCAATGTAAAATCTTAAGAATGCAAAATAACTGATTCAAAAGAATTATAAAATGAGCATAAAATTGATAGGAGGATATTTGAACATAACAAATAAAATAATTTGTTACTTAGACGTTAAGGTCAATATAAAAATAGTTCAAAAAATTTTAGCCAATGGTAACACTTTATATGGAAGGAGATGTGGTTTACTCCTTTTCACAGAGTTCAGAACTAGAGAAATTTCACCAAGTATGTGACCACCAGTGATGAAATTTGCATCTTTCATCACATGTCAGAGACAAAGTTGAACCCATATTTTACTTTTAAGAAATTATTCAAAAGGGCCAAATTGTGAACTAGGTAATCTATTTTAAAGTTCTAAACCAGCAGACAGCATCTAAACAGTTAAGGAATATTTTTATCACATTTTACCTTACCCAGCATGATCAAGCCCCGAATCTCATGTATTCTAATGATATCTTCTTATTTCCCAATCTAAAGAAGTCAGAAGGATACATTTGAAGTCAGGCGAAGACATCGAACAGAATACAATTGCAATACTCAAAGAAACTTCAGTGGTAGATTTAAGCATTATTTTCTACCATCAGAGCACCACTTGAAGAAGTAGAGACTTACTTTGAAGGGGTCAGGGGGTGTTGTTAACAATTCTTTGTCTTAATGTTTCTCTCCATTGGTTGGGTTAAATTACATGTGTGTGCCCCTAAATTTGATACTGATATTGGTAAACCATTATACCTAGAGAGGTTAAATCTGGTATGATGAGCACAGATTCTGTATATACATTGTTTCCTGTAGTGTAGTAGGTTGAGGCACTATGCTAAAAGCTGGAAGGTTGTGGGTTCAAGTCCCAATGAGGTGGATTTTTTCAATTGACCTATGGCCCTGGGGTTGACTCAGCCTCTTAACAGTACCATGAAACTTCCAGGGGGGTAAATGGTGGCCGGTGCATAAGGCTGACAACCTTACCACCATCTGTAAGCCTAGTGTCTAGATAGTGTGGGATCCTCAACATCTCACAACTCTATGGGCCTCCATGGCCTCTTACAGGGATAGCTTTACCTATTTGTTACCATAAACATCTTTACACAGAAATGGTGCAGTATTGCATTTTGTGGATCCCTTATGTTGAAGCCATGAGTGGAATTTTTATACAAAAGCTGATTAAATTATATATTTTTTTAATTTATAAGTTGCAGATCATCTTGTTACTGGTGGTTTAGTTTTATAGTTTTGTATTATGACTACAGTTAAGATTACATATTTAGAACAACTGAAGAGAAACTGTTTTAGTAATTGATCAACATCAATAGACACATTTATTTATTTATTTATTTGCTTGATTAAAGTGATTACTGAAATATAGCACCTTCGTTCCATTGTTCCAGTGTTTGTTGTTGAAGTGGTCCTGAAAATTCTTGGTCTTGGTATCACGCAGTACTTTGGGTCAGGATGGAATATCTATGACTTCTCAGTGACACTGCTGTCTTTATTTGGAGTGATTATTCTCTCCTTGGCGCCATCATTTGTGTACGTGGTGGTACTCCGGCCACTTCGGCTGCTGCGGCTGTTCAAATTGAAGAAACGTTACAGGGATGTGTTTGGGACGCTTGTTCTTCTCACACCACTTATGTGCTCAACTGCCGTCGTCATGCTTGTTCTGTACTACTTTTTTGCCATCATTGGCATGGAGCTGTTTGCGGGCTATGACATGCGGAACTGTTGTGTGTAAGCATCTCCTGTAAATAGCTTGTAATGTGAATGTAGAGTAACAGAAATGCATTCTATAATGTTTTGTCCATTATTTGTACCTGATACCCTCTGTCCTGATTAAGTACTGGCAGAGTATGTATGCAGGACTGGATGTATTAACATCTGTTGAACTTGTTTGCAGGGTTCATGGGTTTATTGCTGGGCTATTCCAATAATAGAATGCTAATGTTCATAGTTATTACATACACTGCTGAAAAACAGATATTACAGAGTCTCTGATATGCTTGAACACATCTTCTCTTGATAGTTCAATGAAGTATGCGTATCACACATTTGCTTTATGTAGAACACAGTAATACCTTACCAGTGCAGAGGTTATGTTCATGAAACTACCACAGTTGGTAAGATCAAAGTCTTAGGGGAAACTAGGGGTTAAGGGAACTGTGGCCCCTTTCAACACCCAACAAAGTCAAAATTACCTGTTCCTTCACTAAACAAAGGAAATGTGTAATATGTTTACAAATAGTATATAAACATGACTGTAAAAAGTCACAAAAACACACCACAGTAGTAATCTAGAAACCAGAAAACTGGCTTCAGATGCCATTACAGCCCTGCAGATGACATATGGATCTCTTGTAGCTGATACATAAAACCAAATCCTGCAATGACAACTGGATACCAATGGAAAACCACAGAAATCTGCAGTTGGCCAAACCATGCTTGGTGAGAGATTGCTGCATTGTGACACAAATTATCATAAGATAATTACTGTACTCTTGCTATGATAGGTTATCATCTTGTATAATGAGAATTTAGATGTTCTGTGTTTATCTTGTCCAGGAACTCAACGGTAGAGGATTTCTACAAGTACAGTGCGAATGGAAGTACAGTTCTTGGATACTACTATCTCAACAATTTTGACAATCTGCTGACTGGAACAATAACCTTATTTGAGTTGACAGTTGTTAATAACTGGTTCATACTCATGAACAGCTATGCACTGGTGGTGTCTCCTTGGAGCAGAGCATATTTCATGCTTTTTTATCTCTTTACTATGATTGTTTTGACAATAGTAGTAGCATCTGTACTTGAAGCATTCCGATTCCGAATTCAGTATAAAAGGCAGACAAGCAAACGAGAAGGTGAGATAACAGAAACTAGACTTTTAATTATAATAAGATAATGATAGTTTGTGTATGAAGTTGGATTTCAAGACCCAACAGTGTATGTACATCAGTTTTTAGTCAGAAAGAGACTGTCGGCTGTGTGGCTTCATCTAATAAGGAGTGCTCCTACAAATCCCTTCCATACTTTGTTGGCAGGTACATATTCAATTTTAAATGACATAATGTGAACCACACTTGTAGCTGGTACACAGAGATGACAGAACAGAATGGCAAAATAATACAAGTAAATAGTCTCCCTCTGTTATTATATAATAAGGCATAAAATGATGGCAACAATTTAGATATCCTATTTCAGTTTAAATATACATTGTTAAAGCTGATTCTTGTAAAATGAGAGTGGGATTGAAAGGAAGGAAGATTAAGTTCAGAGTGAAGTTGAAAATTGCTTTCACTTATGTGGAGCAAACAGGAACTACAGTATTCACTGACAGATTAATTATATACAGTCATACAGCAACAGCACAAAACTAAAAGAATGTGACAGATGTCTTGAGTTGGCAAGTTTTTCATATATGTTTATGTAACTTTTCTCTCCATAACTGTTCTTGACTAACAGTTGCCTGTAAATTTTCGTAACAGGTGAGTGAGGCCTTGCTTACTGGAAGAAGTAAGAGAGAAATTGTAACAAAAGAAAGTAAATGCAGTAGTAAAGTAGGAACTGTAAACTAAAGCAAGACATGGGGTCCTAATCAGGAGGCCTTGAAACAGAATAAGCTGTTTGGGATCCAGAGGCAGTTTGACAGGGAAATGCATGATGCAATAAAAGAAAAGATCTTTGCCATCAAATATGAATTCAATTACACTGCCATACTCTTCACTGATTTCAACTTTCAGTTTTGTTTGAAAGTGTCAGTGTAATTAAAATATAATTTGTTTTTCTCTATAGTACCAAGCTTCAAATGGATCATTTTAAAATGTTCTATTAATTTAAATACCTTGTCCATCTCAGAACACCCTTGAAGCATAATTATGGCATATGTATATTTGGTTAACAGAGGAACAGATGCTGCATGAGGAAGTAGATCTCAAATGGGAAGAAATGCAAGCATGGGTACAAGATTTCCAACTCCTGGAAAGACTGAGAGCTGATCTTGTTGTTGGGGTAAGCATTACTGAATAAAACTTGACACAGTCTAATGTGAATGTTGTTATTCTTTGCACATGGAATCATACATATTTTATAAGCTTTGAGGTTCTCACAGTAGACTTCAGTAAGATATATATACCAATATATTTTGTATAGTATTTATCAATGTGATGAAGTCCATGATTTTCATATGTAGTAGCAGTTACTGTAAAATTATCTGAATAGAAATCAAATTTGCCCAATAATATAATAGTATTCACCTTTCACACTAAATTAATCAAACTCTGGTGGGTTGTTTGATTCAGATGGGTGGATGACATAATTTCCCCACCAAGCATAGATTTTTATATTAGAATCATTTATTCAGGACAGTTCTGCTTCACATGTATTGCCAGAAACTCATTTGTTTAGTTCACTACATGAAGGTTTAAGCCAATGTTAAAAATTAGGGGCTTTTAAGATATGCATCTGGTTTGTTTTGCACTTCTGTGAAACTTATCTGCATGTGGCTGTATGTATCAAAAGCTACATATGTACACTGTTATTTCTGAAGTAGTCACTATTCACTGTTTATAGGGCACAGCAACCTTCATTGGCTGCAGACCCAGGAACCGTGAAGTGTTGCAGAGACGGATGTATCGAACAGAGATTGAGGAGTGGATGAAAGAAGCTGATCTCACAGACAAGCTGGAACATGGTAGTGGAGGAATGAGAGATGAAAATGAAGAACGCATCATAAACTATGATCAGATCATTCTGGGAGGGCCCCTGACAGGCGAGGGAGATTCATATCAGCATGCGGTGCCCATCAATTGATAAGAATAAGCATTTTAAAGATTTTAGAGAGGCTACTTCAGAAATAATGTTGGATATGAAAGAATCCTAACAATGTCATAATTCTCACTACTGTTATTTCTTGCCATACCTTTATATCCTCCTCTTTGTGACAGAACTGTAATTGAAATATCAAAGTTTTGGGATTATTTACTACATATCAAAGAAATAAATCTTGAGAGGTACAGGGTTTTATCAAGACTGATATGTAGACAACAAGAAATTATGAAATTTACATTCTTACCTTGATGTTAAGTTTAGATCTGTTGAAATCACTTCTATATACATATATTTTTTAAGATTATTTTATGTGTTTTATTTATTTATATTTTATTTTCATATACACTCACTAATCATAAATAGCAGCTTGCCAGTTTAGCTCTTTATTTGTGAGAGGAAATTAGATCTATTTTTAAACCAGGACAGATTTATGAATACTTTTAGTTTGTGATATTTCATTTCTCTTTCTTTTGTCTTTTTGTGCATGGAAAGGAATACTTGTGGTTGATAGCAGGAATTCTGGAGAGTTGTTAGAGAGGGAACATTCTGAAAGATACAAGGTTACTATGATTGCTGCAACAAAAGGATGAGTTTGTGTGATCAGCATATAAACAATATTGGATAATTCCTGATACTTTTTTAACTCTATGATTATTAAATTTACAATGGCACATTCCATAGGTTTCATGCAATGTGATATAATTATGAAGTGTATAGAAGAGGCAGGCAATGTGCTATATAAAGCACAGAATGGATCCATAACATTGTGAATCAAAAATTCAGACTGATGTTATGTGTTCTTATAATATGAAACGTTCTTTCAGGTTTGCCACCTACAATGTATTGTGAAGCTGAATTTAATTGTGATAGAACTGCAAAAGAAGCACTTATAATGAATGCAATGACTGTTACTAATTACTCTAAGGGAGAGCACTAATTTCTTGGAAGAGTGGCTTCGACATTTGTGACTAAATGAAATAAGATTTTATACAAAAGAAAATCCCCCTTCTATTTAACCCATGTGGTACCCTCATACTAAAAATGTCGCTTGATCTGGTTGTAAAAGATGTTTAAGCAAGACTGACTTCTATAAAATTCTAGTGACGCTCTGTCATATAGACATTAGACAATGTTATGAATAATCCCAAAACCTCAGAATCCAATGTAGCAGAGGGAGGTAGTTATACACATACTAACACAACTGAATAAATACTGGTAATAAAAAGGAAATAATTCCATCTCATAAGTGTAAACAGGTGCAACTCATTAATATACTTAATGAAATTATCATGGTACTTCATTTGAATGAGGCACACAGTAGTGTAGTTGGTCAAAGCACCATGCTACAAGCTGGAAGGTTGTGGGTTCGATTCCCAATGAGGTCACTGGATTTATCAATTTACCTAATCCTTCTTGTTGCACTATAGCCCTGGGTTTGGCTTAGCCTCTAACAGAAATGAGTACCAGGAATCTTCCTGGGGTAAAGGGTGGCTGGCACGTAAGACTGACAACATCACCTCCGTCTGTGAGTCAACTGCCAAAAAATGTGGGAGCCTTGATGTCTCACAACCCTATGGGCCTCCAATGGCCTGTTACAGGGATAGCGTTACCTTTTTTTTTATACCTATTCTATTGGGCCCTCTGGGCAAACGGCAAAGTTAATCATCAGCAGGAAAGGACAGAGAGCCAGTCTCTAAAATGTAGTAACTTCTAAAATTTTTTATTCTAATCAGACAGTGTATAAGTCCAAATAATGTGGCATAACAACACAACACAATATTCTCATTAAATTTTAGAGTGTGCTCAATGAAATGCAAAAACAGCATGAGGTAATAGTGAAATTTTCCATTGTGAATTACATACTGCTGATATGAGGGTATTTCTATTTTACAGTGCTTGTCATATGAGGCCCTTTCAAATGAAATCCATTAAACCAGTGGCATTTGCTAGCAGTGCTGCAGATGGGTTTCATTTGAAAACCCACCATACATTAGTCATTCAATTTTCAGAATGTATCTTATGATATTAATATATTATTGATATGACTTATATTAATATGATTTTTATTAGTTTTATTAATAATGCAGTTATTCTTAGAATACCAAAGGCTAGCATATAACAAGCTTTAATTGAAAAGAATATTTAAATTTCACAGTAAGAAAGTATGTAATTCAAGAAAAAATTAGTAAATGGTATTTTTAGGCCTTAGATGGCCATCTTCAGGTGTCTTAATAATATCAAAACTGCTACACTGCATTAATATCCGGTAAAATCATATGCTGTGGTGCACTTAATAAAATAAAATAAAATTCATTAAAATTTTCATCACTTTGGTGAGATTCTATTCCACCTCAAAGGGTTGTCATCCACTTGTTCAGAACTAATTGTGTATGTTTCTTTCCATGTTTTGTTGCAGCAGCTCCTTTTTATGTCCATTAGCTTGTTGTTCTGTTATGTCTGCAATCTGTAATATGCCCCTTGTCTGTGCGCTGTTCCTTCTAGCTGCATGTGTGGTGTCTTCACTAGTGCAGATGTGGTGTGATTGCTTCCGTATTTATATGCCATGGTTGTGTAAAGTACATATTACAAGAAATATTAAGATAACATATTAAGGCTACAACAGCAAATAGATATAGTAGAAGTGGAAATTATCAAATGAAATGCCTGGATTGTCCACTAAGGTACGTTGGACAAACAGGAAAAAACATTTAAGACCAGATATAAAGAACACATTCACAACATACAGTAAAGTAAAGGTATCCCTGTAATGGGCCTTGGAAGCCCATAGGGTTGTGAGATGTTGAGGTTCCCAAATTTTCTATGCAATCAGCTCATAGATGACGGTAAGGCTGTCAGCCCTATGCACCATCTGCCCTTTATCCATAAGAACATTCCAAGAATATTCCTGGTACTCATTTCTGTTAGAGGTTGAATCGACCCCCAGGGCCATAGTGCGGCTGGAAGGATTAGGTAAATTGAAAGAAAAAATCCAATGACCTCATTGGGATTCGATCCCATGACCTTCCAGCTTGTAGCATAGTGCCTCAACCATGCTACCGTGTGCCCCCTCACAACAATAGTAACAATAGTAACTCCGGATATCCAAGTTATATATTGAACACCTGACACACAAACAGCACAATAACAGATACCATGGAAATTATAACAGGGAGGAAGGGAAAATATTTTAATACACTTGAGAAGTATCATATTTACAAAACCAGCAAGGAAAATCTACATATGAATGACACTAATACTGATACACACAACCCTATATTTGAAGAGTTATACAAAGTTTACACAAAATAACACTATGCCCCCATTCTACACATCCATGGCATATAAATAGAGAAGCAAACACACCACATCTGCACTAGTGAAGACACCACATGCAGCTAGAGGGAACAGCGCACAGACAAGGGGCATATTACAGATTGCAGATATAACAGAACGGGCTAATGAACATAAAAATGAGCTGCTGCAACAAAACATGGAAAGAAACATACACGATTAGTTCTAAACAAGTGGACGACAACCCTTGTGAGGTGGAACAGAATTTCACCAAAGTGATGAAAACTTTAATGCATTTTATTTTATGTTATGTTATTAAGTGCACCACAGCATGTGATTTTACAGATATTAATGCAGTGTAGCAGTTTTGATATTAAGACACCTGAAGATGGCCATCTAAGGCCTAAACATGTCATGTTAAAGTATAAGTGGAAGAGAAAGGAACAGTTATTTGCATTTTCATGCATAAATCAGTATATTTTATTCATGTTTAGAAGAGAGAGAAATGATCTTTCCCTCATTAAAATAATTTTATTATTATTACTGTTTCCTTCTGATAGTCATTGCATTCTAATTTCATAAACTGATTTGTCTTCAGAATATTCTAGAGAAAATATGGGTTTATACTTATTACATGGCATAACATAACTACTGCTTCCTCTAAGGAAGGAGATTTTTGCAAAAAGAGAAACTCTTTAAGACCTGATAAATTGTCTACTGGATATGAGAACATATTTAACAGTTGAGACACAATGTTCTTTCATTCTTTCTACTGGACAACTGAGATGGCTGTCTACAGAAGGCAGGTGTACTGAATTATTAAGATTAAATATGGTGTATAGGTTCCAAGCTTTTAGTCATGTAAGGCACAAGAAGTACAGTAATTTTCATCATTAATGTGATTAAATGAAACAGTGCAAATTAGCATCCCTGCATAATTTCAGTATTCATTCTACTGTTAAATAATTATAACTTTGTAGGAGACTCCTATAACGGTAGTTGGAGTCTTCAGATTTCACTTAATTTATGGTGTTCAAGCTTTATATTAGTATACAAATTCATGTTTATGTAATACTTATTACTTACTATTTATTCTTATATCCAAGCTTCATAAATTTTCAGCTGGCTGAAATATTAGTATGAGCCATTAAATAATATATGTTAAATATTTATGTTATTTTATTTAGGCATTTACTTGTCTAGCATTAAATTAACTTCCATTCAATTGATATAGAAATGTTACATTTATTGAGACTACTTATGGGATAGTACCCCCATGTAGTCTGGTAAAGTTCCAGGCTCAATGGCTAAAGGGCCAGCAGATTAGCAGGACTTTCAATCCCCCATAGAGGGTTGCTCCACCCAGTGAGGTTCTTGAATTTGTCAGCTTTCTGCTCTATTTTGGGTTGATTTTGAATCATATTAGCAGGAATCAGTTCTGGCACATCAAGTTAGTTTCCCCCCTGCGAAGGATAATTTCTGACTTCCTTTGGCCAGTCCAGGACAACCTAGGATTGATAACGGCATCCCCTGTGAGTGCAGTCGGATCTACAGTGAGCAGACAAGCTGTTCAACTGAAACTAGGTGAAGAAGCACCACTGACATGTGTCTTGATCATTTGGACAAGTGAGCAGTGGTAGAGCACTTGGGACATGGCATCCAGTTCCAGAACACCAGTATTCTCTCAACTAAATTCAGATACAAAGATCATATCATCAGAGGTGACACAGACTGAGCTCGATTCAAACAACATGAACACGGAGGACAGCTTCTGCATAAGCAACTCATGGAAACCTCTCATCTATTTCCTGAAAGAACACAGGAAGCTTCCATAGGCTCTTCAATGCAGCTCTCTCCCTAGCTGCTTCCTCCTTTCATCCCCTGTTGCATTGCATACAGCCCGTTATTCACCAGGTTCACTTACACCTCCCATTGCTCAGTCATGCTACTTTTCTCCCACATCTCCACTTTGGTAAATATAATTCTTTTAACGGCAAGCACTAGTTACCCTTCTTCTGGCTCCTGTTGGTTCTCTCTGGACTCCTTTACAGACCTACATCTGAACCAGATCTGTTACTTGGCTTATTTTTTGACCTTAAAGATGGAGGTAGTTTGTTCTTCCAAAAACATCCAAGGTGATGTCCCATTCCATAAGATAATACTCTTCATAGTCATATTTATTATTGCCCAATACATGATTCGTTTAGGTTAAACTAATCCAAATCACCAATTTCTATACAATAACTCAAAACTAATTACATCAATCCAGTTTAATGAAGTAACAGTACTTATGAAAACCAGTATATTTCAACAAAGCTCATTTCCAGATTAAATGAACAATTTTGAACCTAGATCTGTCTTGGCGACTGTTCCATTATTATATGATCTAACAGACAACACAATATCACATCCCAGTATTCTGTAGGCTTAATATTCACTGCTTTGAGAACCTCATGTCTCAAAATAATACTCAGTCAATTCATACCCACTGTCAGATTGTTCTGTAGCAGCTCCATTTCTTGGCTTCACACACTTGATAGCTACATCCAGTCTACAAAAGTATGGCAGGATACTTGCACAGAACAAGACTCAGGTTCACTGTAAACATGGGATAATAGATCTCTGCTGCTTACCATCAAAAATATCCTGCAACAGTCTTGTGATAAGTGCTCACTCAAAATTGTAAAATCCATCCATCAGTTTTAACAAAACAATATAGTAAACTCCTTATTTGGTATCCAAGCATCTGGAATTATCAAACAACTAGCAAACATATCAAAGAAAATATACCATTTTTTAAAGTTACTTCCAAAACAAACTTATGATGTGCATGTGCCATTAGAGTCATAGTGATGTGTGATTACAGTGGATGCTTGTCGAATTTGTGGCTGCATTACAGTACATCCAAAATCTTTCACCCATCTATCTACTGTCACCTAAGATGACTCTGGTGTGAGAACTAAAGTGACTCTGAAATAAAATGGAAATTTTAAACTGACTGGAAGAGGTTGAACACCACATACAAATTGGATTCTCTAATTTTCCTCATGCAACCTGCAGATTCACATAACTGGCATATGCCATTCCCATACATGACAGATAATGGGAGTTTACTGTGGCAGTATTTCTTATAACTAACTTTTCAGTTCTAGGTTCCTCAGAATGCAGAAACATTAATTACTAAAGCTGAAGGAACCTAATTCAGGAGGAGATTAAGAGGAGAATGAACTTGGGTAATGCTTGCTACCATTCGGTTCACAAACTTTTGTCTTCTTGTCTGCTGTCTAAAAACATAAAAAGTGTAATTTTGTCTGTAGTTCTGTATTGGTGTGAAACCTGGTCTCTGACTTTAAGGGTGTTTGAGAACAGGGTGCTGAGGAGAATATTTGGACTGAAAAGAGATGAAGTGACAGGAGGTTGGAGAAAATTGTACAATGAGGAGCTTCATAACTTGCATTCTACTCCTACTATAATTAGAATGATCAAGTCAAGGAGAATGAGATAGACAGGGCATGTAGCATGAATGAGGGAGAGGAGGAACGCAAATAGGATATTGGTGGGAAAGCAGGAAAGGGATACCAAGACGTAGGTGGGTGGACAATATTAAAATGGATCTTAGAGAAATAGGATGGGATGGTATGGATTGGATTTATCTGGCTCAGGATAGGGACCAGCAGAGGGCTCTTATGAACATGTTAATGAACCTTCGGGTTCCACAAAACGTTGGGAACTTCTTGAGTGGCTGCACAATTGGCAGAAATTGTTCTCCAAATCTAGCTGAATATACAATTTGAAAATTTAAAGAAAGACCTGTGCATAAGAGATTAGTATCCCCTGTAAAATATGATGACATTTTAGTTATTTATGTATTGCATTAGCTTACCAAGTTTTACTGTGTTGTCTCTGAATCTATACTAACACTTTATATTTTATGTTATCCTTATTCTGTATATAACATATTAGCCTGTGTACCCACTTCCTGTACTCAAATGAATGCCAGACTACACTAGATTTGCATCTATTTTATGAGGAAAATTTCATAACTGATATTACAGTTCAAACTTTATATGTGTATGTATACAACTAACAATATGAAGTTTTAAAAACATCATCACTTTGAGACTATGTTAGAGTTGCAGGTGGACTGTTACAATTATTTTGGTTCATAAAATAAGCAAACTTGTAAACCATACAAGAAAACTAGTTATTGTATTGTCACAGTTGTACTTGAGCCAGAACAGTTGAAGATACACACCAAAAATTTTTGACAGCTGCTTACTGTAAAACTTCATTTAACTTCTTATATTTCTAAATGTATGAAGAAAATCATTCGTACAGCAGAGGATTATGTCTAGGCTATTACTATCAGTTAAGACAATATTATGAGACAAGACTAGTGTAAACATTATATAAGAGAATGTTCAGGTTTAACTGCAATAAATCAAATTTTACATAAAGCTAAAAGTAAATCATTTTAGATTATAAGATAGGAGTGAAGTTTTTAAAACATTCAACAATGACATATAAACAGAACTTAAAAAAAAAATCAGAAACCCTCCTAAATTGGGAAGTGTGTTTAGCTCTATAGTATTGAATCTTACTAAAATTCTGGTTAAACACGTCTGAAATGCAAACTAACCTGACAGCCCTTGAACAATCGTCAGGATAGTGCTGTAAAATATATGACAGCTAGAGCTAGGATTTTTGTGTAATTCCATGCAAAATATGTACACAATTATGTAATTGCCAGCCACAAGGTTCATGATAAAGCAACCCATGGAATCTGTTTTGTCCACAACAACCCTTATAAAGGCATCTCCTATGCTACCGTTTATGTTTTCTAAGGTCTCTTCATAGCAGGTAGGCAGATAATGTTTTCAAAGTGTTGACTGGTCTGGAATGTGTTGCAGTACTTTTCCAAAAAGGGCCAAAATTTAGGCATTTGAAGTTTAAACCTACTGGATCTCCCCGTCATTGCAGAAAAAGTCTTTTGGAAGGGTGGAGGAGACTATTAATAAGGTATTTAATCAAAATACACACAAAAAATATGGACACCTTCCAGTTTAAAATGCAACTAAATAAAAATACCATGAAATTAAGTAGATTTATGTAATATCCCAAAGAAATAAGTAGGAAATTCCAAAATATGTAAAATAAATTTCAACTGTGGCAATGCTAATGCTGCTTATTACTTTTTGAGCATCTACATAGTTAGAAATAAAATATTTAAATAAAAATCCTAGCTCTAGTGATCACTGTTTTCATTGTCTCATTACCACTAGATAATTTATGCATGTGACTGAGCATTATCAGTCTCCTATTGGTTTGTTTGTTCTATTCTGTGAGACAGACAATGGGAACTGGTGAGTTGTCTTGCATCCATATTGGTTCACTCTAATCTGTGAGCAAGCCAATAGGAACTGATGAATGTGAACTGCTTTGCTTCCTACCTGCTTCTTGCTGGTTCCTTAATTTGCTTATTCTTTGACTCTAAAGATAGAGGCGACATATTCCTCCAAAACGTCAGTTGACTTTCAATGGACTACACCGCGTTATATTCCAGATGACAGAACTCTTCAGAAATTTCACTGTTCAATGCAATGTGCACCTGAGTTGAGGCAACACCTAATCTCCCATGGAAGTAAAGTTACCAGCATAAATAAAACTCTTTTAGAACACTGACAGCTTCAAACCATAGGCACCAGCTTTATACCTTCATGTCAATTTCTTTAACATACAAAATCGATTTCCTTTGTACTGTCATCCATCGAAGTGCCCTGGTTTGATTCTGAAGATTTCAAAAGGCAAATACTTGTCCAGTGGAATTACTGCAATAACTAAGCAATGTTACCATGTCTAGGCTAGCTCTAGGGCGCACCATGTCTCCTGTCTAGTAAACACTGGGATACTTAGTTCTGGTGGTGAAGTGGCCAGAACATGAAGGTGACCACTCACCTCAATTTAGTGCTGAGGTTTAGAATGCATGGAACTTTACCCGTGTCATCTGTATGACTTAGTACCATGGTATTTAAGCAGAGGGGTAACTCTCCCTTACCTTTACCTTCCATAACTTAATTTTCTAAATGATTCTTTATGTAAGAGTGAAGACAAAAAGAGGGTGGAGAAAATTGGGTAATGAGAAGTTTCATAATCTCTTCTCTTCATAAAACATTAGGATGATGAAATTATGGATGAGACTGGCAGATCAAGCAGCACACGAGAGCTCAGAAACACATACAAAAGAAAATCTTAACAGAACACACCTACTGGAAGACCCAGGCATAGATGAGAGTATAATTTTAAATGGGCTGGATCATTATATAAATATATATTATATTTCAATGCCATTTGTTTGTAACATGCATAAACAGTAATTTAAATTTCAAATTTAACTTTGCACATGACTTTAATACTCTGTTATCACATAAATTACTTCAGCAGAGTACAGTTCCAAGAGAAGTGCATGTACGTCTACACAAACTCAACATGCATAAATAAAAACATATAAACACTATACAAAGATATCGAGTAACTGCATCATAAGCACCATAATTTTAACAAAAAAATACTAGTCAGATAACTGTCTATAGAACATTGAAAACTCCTAGTCAAGTGCTCTATTGGACTGTATGACCACCCACTTTTGAGACTTCTTTATTGTCTGTGTTGATGAACTCCTCCCTTTCTTGGAAAACTGTATCAGGGCCAGTGAAAATAAAACACACCACCAAAATCCAGTACTACTATCCTTTAACATCTCTTGAATAGGAAACCAGAACCACACATAGAAGTTAAATAGTTTCTCTGCTGAAGAGAATGATCTCAGCTTGTATAATGCTAGCATAACCACCACCAGTAAAAGTCAATATAGGGCCTATTATATTAAATTTGAGACAGTTATACCAGCACTTCCAAGTTCTGTTTCAGTGCAAACAAAGCCATTTCTCTCCAGCTGCTCCTTCATTTGTTGTACTTTTGTCTGTTGACTCGAACAAGGTGGAAGCAAGATAAAAGCATAGCCACCACCACCAGCTCCCGTCAGTTTGGCATGGAACCCACACTTTGAAACAGTCCTGCAGATGCGATCCAATGATGGGTGTGATACACCCAGAACATTTAGAAATGCTTGGTTCATATCCACCAATTCCTGCAGTGGAAACAACAGGTAACAGGAATGATTCCCATAACCTTAATCTCAAATATTTTCTTATTAAGACTTCACACACACCATTATATAGATCTTTCATGCTGCATCCAAATTTCTCACCACTGGCTCATCATGTCAGTGCATATACATGGCTGAATTACAATTTCTACAAACTCGATTAGTCCTTCAAGTTAAGTGGCAAATACAGCTGGGAATTACAATTCTGGGATTAAATTTTTATAAACATTTCAATTAAAATATCACTATAACATGTACAAAAACTTAAGCAGACATAACGAGTACATCTGCCTGAAAATCACTGTTCAAAAAGCAAATACTGGAAGAATATGTGTATATATATATATATATGTTATGGTAAATGTGACTAAACCAGTAACTACGAATAATAACCGGTAATCATAAAAAAAAAGTTAATCTGATACATCTCATGACGAACACTTTTACTGGTAATTATGAATAATAACTAGTGATATGGTGTTGGACATCCTCCATGAAACTCACAGTTCAGAACTAGTGACTGTCAATGGAAAACAAAATCACTTAATGTAAAATATAACTTCAATGTGCATTGAAGTTACTTATTTGTTGCCCATTTAATGATGAGCTGTTAATATGAAAATGTTAAAAGAGGATTTAGAAAGAAGGCCTGACTCCAGTACTAATCCAAAGAGACATCATTATAATAAGTTCTATATTATCAGTACAATTAAGTCATAGAACTGTGCTATTTAAACTTCACTTAATCAACAATTTTTAAGCTAAATGGATGAAAAATCATTATAAACAGATAACACATCATCATAAAATATCAATATGTTTCAGTAACTTACTCTTTAGTGGCCTCCGTAGTCTAGAGGTAACCTCATGACTCGTGGTACGCGGGTTCAAATTCCCGGCAGAAGTCGTCGAATTTTTAAGGGCAGAAAAATTCAGGGAACAAGTCCTCTGGGAAGGACTTTAAGCTGTGTGTCCCGTGTCATAACTTTACGGCACGTGAAAGAACCTCATATCTCCAAAGGAGATCACTGAGCCAAATTCCAGGAAGTTTCCCGCCCAACAATAGTCTCTACGGCCTCTGATAGATGGGGGAAGCATTATAGACACTGCTAAGCAAGTGGCCGAACTTGCTTGCTTGGCGGGTACCATTTATTGGTAGGGTATAGAGACTGGTAGAATATCATAGAGGGAAGCACAATGGACCAATACTGGTCTAAGTGCATGGGGAAATCCACCCTCTCCAATAACTAACTAACTTAATCTTTGCATCAATCCAGCCAACCTGGACTCATTTTTTGGAGGCCAGGCTCTGCCTGTCACAAGCCAGGGCAAATTGAGTAGTGATAGAAGAGTAACACCTCTTTATACGAGGGCAAACAGAAAAGTCTTTGCCCCTATTTTTTTCAGCCACAATAATACACATACAGGGAAATCAAAATACAGGCAGTGTTCTAAGTACCTTTGACTATTTTTCCACATAGTCACCACCCCGGGTCAGGCATTTGTCCCATTGCACCACTAGTTTGGAGTTGCCGCAGTTGTAGAAACCGGCCGGTTTGGCGCAGAACCACCGCCACACAGCGGTTTTCGCGTCGTAAATGAACCTCTGGCCTGCCAGGAACTTCTTCAATGGACCGAACATGTGGTAATCACTAGGGGTGAGGTCTGGACTATGCGGTGCTGGTCCATAATCTCCCATCCGAATGACTGCAGTTGGGTCCTGTTTGCCACATGAGGCCTGGCATTGTCATGGAGGAGAACCACATCATCCACGAGAATCCCAGGGTGCAACTACAGTCATTCGGATGGGAGATTATGGACCAGCACCGCATAGTCCAGACCTCACCCCCAGTGATTAGCATGTGTTTGGTCCACTGAAGAAGTTCCTGGTTCATTTCCGATGACACAAAAACCGCTGTCTGGCGGTGGTTCCGTGCTCAACCAGCCNACCTCTGGCCTGCCAGGAACTTCTTCAATGGACCGAACATGTGGTAATCACTAGGGGTGAGGTCTGGACTATACGGTGCATGCTCCATAATCTCCCATCCGAATGACTGCAGTTGGGTCCTGTTTGCCACATGAGGCCTGGCATTGTCATGGAGGAGAACCACATCATCCACGAGAATCCCAGGGTGCAACTACAGTCATTCGGATGGGAGATTATGGACCAGCACCGCATAGTCCAGACCTCACCCCCAGTGATTAGCATGTGTTTGGTCCACTGAAGAAGTTCCTGGTTCATTTCCGATGACACAAAAACCGCTGCCTGGCGGTGGTTCCGTGCTCAACCAGCCGAATTCTACAACAGTGGCATCTCCAAACTAGTGGTGTGATGGGACAAATGCCTGAACCGGGGTGGTGACTATGTGGAAAAATGGTCAAAGGTACTTAGAACACTGGCCGGTCACGCGAGCCGAGCAGTCTAAGGCGTGCACTGTCTTCGCTCGCTCGGAAGCCAGGATCATGGGTTCGAATCCCACTCAGGGCATGGATGTTTGTGTGCATTTTTCTGTGTTTGTGTACAGGTAGAGGCCTTGCGACGAGCTGATCACCCACCCAAGGAGTCCTACCCTATGTCTAAGATCTAGAAAAACCGAAGTGAACGGAGAAGTTCATGGAGGTAGGCCTAGGCCCACTGGGGCTGTAGTGCCAAAGAAAAAAAAGGGACTTANGGAACTTAGAACCCTGCCTGTATTTTGATTTCCCTGTATGTGTATTATTGTCTGAAAAAAAAATAGGGGCAAAGACTTTTCGATTTGCCTTCATATATGAACAAAAAAAAAACTGGGTTCAGCTGGCCCAGCTAATACTACCCTGTGAGGGGCCCTAGCCAGTGTTATGGCGAAGACCTCAATGGCAACTACGGTGGAGAAGACCTTCAGTATGGTGAAAATGGCACAAGAGGCAGCCCATTCTCTCTGGGGGATAATGAAGAGGGAAACCACTGCCTTGTGGGGAAGAGGGATTTTAGAAATAAAGTAAGTTATTTTATACAAATGCTGGGAGATGGGACAGTTCAGTCAAAGAAATGACTGGCTGGATGGATGACCAGGGTTCCACACTAGGCAGGGTTGGGAATTTCTCTCTAGGACCTATTCACCCCCCCACATGTATTTTTTCCCTACAGGTACAGAAGACATCCATGAAGTGCTAAGACTACGAATGTGTGCAACCCCATGACCTTCATGTTCTATACTTATTATTGGGAAGCTCGAATAGTAGTATTAATGCCAAAAATGCTTAACTTAATCCCAGAAGTTTCAGAATAGACTGCTATAGAATTGTTAAATTACAATAAGTTTGTGAAAAGCAATGTCTTGTCATCATTCAACTAACACATGTATACTTATTTGCTTCCTTACCTCCAGTTTTGCATGAAGGGAATTCTGTTGTTTAAGTGTATCACCAATTTCAGTATCTAATTCTCCAAGCAGCATTAAAATTTCAGCAGCAGCTATCGCAATGCCATCCATAGCATCCAGCGTTGACTGTACCACTTGTGGATAACACTTCAGGCGCTCAGACACTTTAGCTAGCATCCTAGCTGTATCTCTCCTCACTCCACTGTCTACCAGTAGAATCTTCAACTTAGCTGTTCCTGATAGATGTTCTAGAACTGCGCCTTGTCCCTCTTTCCCCTTCCTGAACTTTACAACTGAACCAAAAGTGCATGTGGCATTATCAAGACCCGAAGGATTCCCATGCATTATCTTCTCCCCAATTAGGGCCCAGCGAGAAATTAGCTCCTTTTCCTTAGCAGAAAACACGGTTAAATCAATAATTTCCATTTCCATATCTTTGTAGCCATTCTTTGAAATATTTCCATGAGTAATACTATTTAAAGAGATCTTAGAACGGATGTAGTGAATGAAAGCAGCAGCAAGACAAACAGAAAATGATGCAGAACTTCCACAGCCAGACCCTAAAGTCAAGTCTGAAACTACTCCAATGAAGAATGGCTGTATTTGAATATTCACGCTACAGAATATTCCCGTGTATAGGGCTAAAAAGGCAACAAGTGCACATTCTTGTGGAAATGGAAGTTGCTGCAACTTCTCAGATTTCAGAACATACTCACGCAGTGTTTCTATGAACTTACTGGTATTGATCAACTCCGGATTATAGAGATTAAAATCACATTGTGAACCCTTCAGTAGTGGTGGTGGGTTGGAAAGGAAAATTTCATTCAACTCCAGAACAGTATAGGCATGTTTTGTATCAAGATTTGGCAGATCAAGAATTATCTTCCCATCAACACTATCGCCTTCTTTAACTGTAATATTTGTGCGGATATTCAAGCTTGCAGCCAATGCTGTCTTACCATGAACTACTGAATGCTCACCATGGAGAATAACCTTCCCAGGTGCTGACACTATGAAAGCTAGAGGATATTTAACTGGTAGCATGACTGAAAACTTAATAATTCTTGGGATTTCCCTGAATACTGCCTCACAATGAATGCTATGATGGGACCTTTATAATCAACTATACGTATTTTTATTCTACAGGAACTTTGATCTTGGTATCATCCAGTTAAAACCAAAACAATATGTTCATGGGAATGATATAACGTATTCACTAAATAAACGATGGAAATTGTTGTGACAGCAACTAAAAATTCAGTTTCAGCTAAGCACTCTTTTGATTTTCCCACTGCTGTGTTGTAAGGGTTTTCTGGGAGAAGGCATGAATAGATTTCAGTTCCTCTTCTAGTATGGAGTTAACCAATCTGTAAGAAAGTAAGTGGTGGCCTCTTAAAAGTCCATACTTCATATAAAACGTTCAGTTTTCATCTATACAAAATTCTACTAAACCACAGATTTTCAATGAAGCATTACAGGACATTCAATCTGTAGCCTAAATGGGATTTGGCTACCTGTTTATACAGAGAATAAAAAAGTAAAGAAATATATTACAAGACTTTACAAGTTTTCCATTTCAAATCACAGCCTAAGACACATTATATTTAGACAAAAGAGACAAAATAGGGAACAAAATTAAAATAGACATCAGCTATCGTAGGCATTATGTTACTGTAAAATCAATAATGCTACAGTATGCTATACACAGAGTGAATTTAAATTCTATACAATGTATCAGAATATGGAGACAGAATATTTTTGGAAAATGCAGCCCAAGCCACACTCTGCTTTTTGCAGCAAGATATAACCAATATGCAAGGATGAATATGCATAGCAAACCCCCATTTATACTTGTTTTACTTAATTTAAGATTGAATTTCAATGATCCCAAGCAAATGATCTCAGGGTCAAATTTCTTCCACTTCACATCTTCCTCAATTTATAATCTAAATCCACCGGCCCCCAGAGAAAATTATTAAAAAGGGATTTCGTTGTATTTAATTTATACATAGCCCATGTATTCCAAAGAATGATCTATAATTTCAATGAAAAAGTGCACAAAATGAATGCATACAGGGAGGTCATTTGTGTCCTTCTCCTGTTCACATGCTACATCTCCAAAAGTACAACACATGTTGATGAAATACGGTCTGGCCATTCTGTACTAGAGGGCATCAAGCAAATTAAATTTCTGTCGATACTTGTCAAACATACCTCCTGCTTTACATGAAGCTCAAACTAAACTTTAAATATTTTCTCAAAAGCAGCTCACTGTGCAAAGAACTTGTACATAATATAAAATAAAGACCATAAAACATTCTTTTGAAAGACGTGGTGAATATTTAACACAATATAATGAAAAATAACTCCTGACTGTGCAGTGCAAGCAGCCATGCAAAAACAGATTTGTTAACTGCAATTTAATCCAACAGGCTACTGGCATTAATTTTACTGTTTTCAAAGAAGATATTTTGTTACAGTGGCAAAGGATGATCATTATAGTGACATGATGGGTTACTGGGAAGAAAAAAATAATAAGTTACGCTGATAGTTGAAGTAAGTTTTATTTAAAAGATACAGTAAAGCAATGCAAATGAATACAGGTATGAATGATGATAGGATATGGCAACCAATGGAAAATAAAGACAACTAGTGACATAATAAAGTTCAAGTTACTTCAGACACATTTCTCATACAAAATTTAAGTCAGTGAGAATATACATTTAGTAGCCAGGAATTACTGATACAATGAACTATATCTGAATTACTGCTGTTATCACAATCAAAATTACCATCATAATCATCACCACGACCACCATCATGCATATCATTTACATGGTGAATGGTAACAAAAATATTTTTTAATTGCAACTATAAAACAGGTTCATAAGAAAAAAACATAATTAAGACCACAGGAAATTGAGAAACATGCATAAGTGACCATTTCTTTAATCTCACTGGGACAGTACAAATATAAGACAAACAGTTCAAAGATATAAAAGGACTCGGCTATCTAAACACAGTCCACCAGCATGCTCTTGTTACAGCAATTAACTCACTCACTCCCCAACAGATTAACAGTGATAATTTATACTAAGGTTATGTAATGCTGAATGAAATATTCATTCAAATGTTCATTGTTATGGGATCAATAATTTTTCAGTACATACTAACCTTGGTTCAGTCTAATGTATATATGATTGGAAATCGTACACAAAAATCCAGAAGAACTTACAACACTTTTCTTTAAATGCTTATTTATGCACGCAAGCATGAGCACACTAGCAATAATTAAAGTAAAAGTAAAGTAAAAGTCATCCCTGTAACAGGCCTTGGACACCCATAGAGTTGTGAGATGTTGAGGTTCTCACATTTTCTAGATAATTGGCTCATAGATGGCAGCAAGGTTGTCAGCCCTACATGCCAGCTGCCCTTTACCCTCAAGAATATTCCTGGTATTCATTTCTGTTAGAGGCTGAGTCGACCCCAGGGACATAGTGCAGCTGGAAGGATTAAGTCAACTGAAAAAAATCCAATGACCTCATCGGGACTTGAACCTGTGACCTTCCGGTTTGTAACATAGTGCCTCAACCAAATACGCTACCACAAGCCCACAATAATTATAAGTTAATACATAAAATAAATTACAAAATATAAGGATGATTAAAAGAAGGAAAATGAAATGCACATGAATGTGGGAAATGAGGACTGTAAAATCACAATGGGACTGCTTGGAGACCTACACACAGATGGAGGGTTAACATGACAATGTAACACCTTAAGGAAATAGGACATGATAGTAGATTATGACAAAGGACAGACTGTCCCCTCATCAAAGAGGACGTTCCATGATAACTGTGCTGAGAGGGCTTGACATCAAGGGCAGATTGACTGACCATCAGGTGCAAAGTAACTTGGTCATGGAAGTGTTGACTGGATTCAACTGGTTCAAGACAAGGTCCCATGGAGGACTTTCATAAACCTGTAATGAACCTTTTATACAAAATTTATTAGCTGATGAACTACAAAATTTTCAAGGACAACCCTACACCAATGTATCATGCCTTGCTAATGCATGTCTCCTACATTTTCAGTTCACTTAATGCAATTTTCTTTCTGGACACATGCATGTTCTGGATCTCAGTTATGCTAAATGCGTAAGAAATGTTGGGATTCCAGCAGTCTTTCTGTTACTTGTGGCACACGAAATGCTGAATATCCAAAGAAGTTACTGGTAAATTTAATTTTCTCTCATTATCTTATGCCTGGCCTGTGAGTGTTCAGGACAAACAGTATGATAACTGGATAAAAAGAATCTTGTATGCTGGGCAGAAGCAAGAGTCACAACAAGCTGCCAGAAAACAATCCACATTTTTCTGGTGACCAAACTATGTGTCTAGTGATCAGATTTTTAAACCTTTTTGGACCCCAGACTGCAACAGTAGCTGTTTATTTACTATACATTTCAAGGGCCCTCTACTGAATGTGTGAATAATGCTCCAATGTCAGAAGTTTGTACCTCATGGTAAGAAATTAAACACATGGCATATGTCCTAAGTTCAATGAAAATTAATAACTGGTTCAATTTTTTTGTAGGAAATGTTGAACGTGTATCTCATTATCTTAAAGATATGGGAATAAGAATTTAAGACAGTGACCACTTTGCAGGGAGTTCAAAATACAAAATTTGTGTTTCTCTCTTTATTGACTCATCAGTGCCAGATGATTACAATCAATCTAAATAAACATATGACAGAGAAGAAAAAGCTTTAAATACAATTGAATGGCTGAACTAAAATGACTGTATATGACTGAAATTTCAATTAAATTTTGTACTGAAGTCCCACTATATCTGTAGAATATAAGCATGTGATTGACACTTCTTAGCGTTTCAGATTGGTGTGAGTATTATCCCCATTTATTTCACTTGGATCTTCTAAACACTGCAATTTGGTGTTTCCTTTGGTCTAATAATTTTAAGCATCCTTCATCAAACCATGGCTTATGCTTCTTCACTTCATAATAACCTGGACTCTCTTTGGCAGAAATTTTGATATTCTCTCTAACAGTTTCCCAAGCTTTATTAACATCCACCTCAGTGTCTTAAGTTTTCCAAAGCTGCAAACCTATTTGAGATTTCAATATGATACTGCTCCTTACCCTCTACCTCATTTAATTTCTTGAGATTGAACCTCTCCATATGAACCCTGTGCGTTGTCTGCTTACTCACTGCCAGTCTTTCCCTAACATTTGCTTCCACCAGATCGTGGCCAGTGTCACAATCAGCTGCCCTGGATGGCCGGACATCAAGTATACTTGAATGCCATCTCCTATCTATCAAAATATGGTCAATTTGATTGTGTATCTTCCCATCAGGAGATGTCCAAGTACATTTAATGAATGTTATGAAATGGGATCACTGTACTTTCAACTGTAACATTTTTTTATGTGGCAAAGTTTATTACTCCGTTATCATTATTAATTTCATGAAAACTCTCATTCCCAATCGTTGGTTTGAAAATATCTTTCCTAACTACTTTGGCATTTAAACCTCCTAACAAAATTTTCATATGGAACTTTGGGAATTTATCAAGCTGGAGTATCACCTCTTATCACTTGTCTTCAACTGCTTATTCAATATATTTGCAGCTACCCCACATATCTAGTGGGTGTCTCCTCCATCTGCAACCTTAGGACGTGCCATGCTCCAGTGACAAGAAAGCAGACACTGAACTGCTAACACCTGCATGCAGCATAGTAACTTTTGAAGCTTCTTCCTGTTTTGTCAAGTCATCTTGAATTCACATGCACAGCAGCCCTGTCCCTTCCTGTTTTGCTTCCTTTGAAGAGATGGTGTACTCTCTGTGGCACAAAATATATTATATCCTATGGTTGGCTGAGCATTTCATATAAGTTTAATTAGGTGTAGCCAAACCAAGCAGCACCAGTTTACAGATGTGTGATGCATCATGATGAGCATCTGTCAGAAACAGACAGCAAGCTTCTTGCAATAAAATGGGCCTCTAATGCATAGTGTATTAGTACAATGTCAAATGTACACCAGAAAATTTCAGAGAAGCCCTCACAAACTCCCCGTCACACAAGATTAGAACTAGGCCTTCCTTCCTCAACTGTGCAGGATATTTTGAACAAGACACCAAAATTAGATGCTTCCAGGCTTCAGTTATTCCAGAAGATAACACACACAGATATGGCTCTGAAAAAAAGTTTATTTTAGAAATGCTTTCTTGCACTGAAGGGGATGAGACATACCTCAAAATAATTTGTCACTGTGAGAGAACATTTCATGTGTGTGGAACCATCAAAAGACACAAATATACAATGTATGGGGGAGTAAAAATCCTCATGGAGTTGGTATCTTGTCCATTTTAATATTGTCCACCCACCCACACCTTGGTCTTCCCAGTAGTCTCTTTCCTTCTGGCTTTCCCACTAATATTCTGTAAGCATTCCCTTTCTCCCCCATTCGTACTACACACCCTACCCACCTCATCGTCCTTGACTTGATCATTCTAATTATACTTGGAGAAGAGTACAAGTTATGAAGCTCCTCATTATGCAGTTTTCTCCAACCTTCTGCCATTTCATCCCTCTTTGGTGCAAATATTCTCAACACCCTCAGTCTATGTTCCTCCCTTAATGTCAGTCAAGTTTCACACCCATGCAAAACCACAGACAAAACTATAATTTTTATGTCTTTGGACAGCAGACGAGAAGACAAAAGGTTCTGGACTGAATGGTAGCAAGCATTACCCGAGTTCAATCTCCTCTTAACTTCCTCCTGAATCAGGTTTTGATTTGTTATGATTGATCCCAAATATCTGAATTCTGCCACATTTTCAAAACATGTTTCCTATCTTTATCTCAAGATTCTGCCCTGCATTTTTGTGACAAGATGACTAATATGGGCATGCAATTTACACTTTGCCAACCTCAGGGTACAATTCACTTTCTGTCACATGGCGTACATTTTCTCTTCAAGTGAAGCAAACAGGAACAGGATGTACGAGTAGCTGTCCCACACATGCAAAGAAAATTATTTCACCAAGCAGATAAAAACTTGACCAGTTACCACATTATATGAAAATGTTCATACCTTTATGTCCAGTATCATTTCACATATATACCACTTTACTTTACCAACATTTAGGGCAGGGCACTATGTACTTCTAAGGCTGCATGCAGTACAACCGAGCCTGATGACAGTTAAGCTCTAGCAGGAAACAGCTGACAATATTTTTTTTTATATTACAGCAGATATTGTGAATGAAGTAAACATAACATAAATATCAAATCTGGTACAATGTGTCATTACCAGGGCCCGGATTTTGATGACCTGAAAATATTCAAGAAATGACCGAAAAAATCCAGAAAAATGACTTAAAGGAGAAAAGAAAGAACACTTCACTTCCATGTTATTCACATTTCAGAAAACATATGAAGAAAAATTCCCTAAAATGGCCAAAAATGACAAGAAATACCCTTAAAAGCCCAAAAATTACCCCCAAAATGAAAACATTATTTTAAACCTAAAAATTTAAAAAAATTACCTATAAAATTTACATTTCTGTAACCAGCAGCTCATATCCAAGATTTATATATTTAAGAGCATCACATAGGATACAAGGAAAGAAAGATGACATGTCATCAGAATCCAGGCCCTGGTCATTACTAACCCAAAGTTAGTTTTTGCAAAATTCAGTCAATTTATTAGAAGCAAAATGCATGCTATCTTGCAAACAAAACACTTAAACTGCAGGAAAAGCCATACTGCATAAAACAAACAAGTCTTTCCCCACCATCCGATATGCAACTCGTACACGAATCTGCCTTTATAACACTGAACAATTAAGAATCACACCAGAGGAAAAGTAATGAATCAGGTTCCTCTCCATTCCGTTCACTGTCCCAGCTCTCCTTCCCTTTAGTATCCCATTCCTTAATACTTCTATCCATGCTCAAATGAAAAATAGTCTCTCTCATATAAAGAGAAGTAACACAATGTACAAACAAGCCCCACCATTTAAAATAGCGAATTATGAGTTAATATAATTTTTCCTAGCTTATGAGAGCAAGAACACAGATTCAGGGTATTTATGAGTATGAAGTGCTGCATAAGATTAAGTGACATACTGGAGATCCATAATTTGTACTCTTCACTAATTATTATGGTGATCAAAACAAAGAGGATGAAATGTCTGGGACATGCAGCATGCATGAGGGGGGGCACACAGTAGCGTAGTTGGTTGAGGCACTATGCTACAAGCTGGAAGGTCGCAGGTTTGAGCCCTGATGAAGTGGATTTTTTCAACTGACCTTATCCTTCCAGCTGCACTATGGCCCTGTAGTCAATCATGATTTATAAAAACTATTAATATTACACCTAACAACTCAAAGTGGTAAAATATGGAAAATAGGAACTATAATCACAATATTCACCGAGATAGATTCAAATAACATAGCAAGCCTTAACTTCATGATATACAGTGAAAAAATAACTATTACTCACAAGCAATGTCCAATGATCTGTGCTTTATTTATGTTTAGTTTATATCCAAACAAAATAAAACACCACTGAAGTCTGAACACAGACAATAAATGCAAATGAATTTGCAAACAATTACTTGTATGAAAATTTAAAACATTATCATGAGAGCTTTTCCCCACACTGCTCAAGTATCTCTGTTCATTACAATCTCAGTACTATGTTGTGTCCCTAAATGGAAACATTCTGATGTGAAAAATATCAGATAAACTGAACAAGTGGAGAGTGGGGATGAGCAAAAGATGCGTACACAAGGACATCAGATCCTGCATATGAGCAAGGGCTGAAATAATATATGCAGTGACCCTAGTCTCATTACAGCCACAGCAGACATGTAAAGCTACTGTTTCTTTAATGATGCATTCGTTTTGTGTCAACTTACAGATGATCACTGTACAGTCACCAAATGACCATCATGAGTTGGAAATTACACAATAGTACTACTAAAACAATAAAAGGAACATACAGTTCAGTAAAGTTTAATATTTTATTCTTAATTTATGCCCCAAGTCATATTTGTCTTGCAACTACATAAACATGAATATTCAAAGAAATTATGTCAATATACAGCTGTACAGACATTAGATATTATTATAATAATAAGGCAGTTATACACTAAAGAGGAAGGACCTAGGTCAGAGCTTTTGACACAAACAGGCAAGGGGATATATATAAGGACCCTCTGCCAGAAGAATGAAGGACCTGTTGGAATTAAACAGAGATCAGTTAAGATGGGTGGTAGGATTACTTGCTGGACACTGCCACCTAAAAAGACTTTTCAAACTGGGACTGACCCAACCTGTGAACGGTGCCTACAAGAAGACGAATCAGCCACACATATCCTATGTGATTGGTAGGCCATAGCTTATTTTAGATTTCGTCACTTAGGTCGGTTCTTCATGGAACCAAGTGACACTTATGACGCCCCCATAAATAAAGTCCTACATTTCATTCGAAGTGTAGGATTAATAAAGAGTTATTCCATAGATCACTGAAGGTCACAGTGTGAGGGCTGGATTTTATGGCCTACCCCTTACACACATACATACACACAGGTCAGAGCTTGGAAGATGTAAAAACCTTTAAGATAACCTGCATGTACTGGCAGCAGCTAAATACTGATAACAACACTTCAAGACTACCAACACAAACTACTGGGATATTTGGATGATCTGCAAAAACTTATCAATAACAGAGAACAAATCAGCAAGCATGTGACAATAAACCACATTTCTGCACAAGAACAGAGAAGCGCATGCTGACCTGAATAACTGAAATGAAGATCATACTGAAGAATCTCCAAAAACAATAAGGATTTTATCTTGTATTTATTTTAAGAAGTAATGTGCATTTACAGTTTCTAAATCCGGCAAAGATTTTACATAAATAATTATATCAAGATTCAAGTAAGCCTCACTCATAAATGTCATACTTTTATGATTTTAATATCTGATTTTATACGTAAAAGTATAAAGTGCTTAATTAATTCAACACCATGGCATCAAATGTATAGTGGAGTGAAGGCAGAGCTCCACTATTCTTGACCTTGACAATATATGGAGGTGGGCAGTCATCCCCAGCTGCTTTACCCCCATGGGACAGAGCCCTGGTACCCACTGAACAGAAGGCAGTCCAGCCCATAGTCCACTGCTACACCCAACTGAACTATCCTGTATATACTGTACATCTATATAATGAGGGTATGTTTCTCTGTGTATTTTCGTTTTTATGCAGTTGCAGGACACATCTGACTTGTTACAGAACAAAAGAATAAACTTTACTAAATTGTATTCCTTTACAGTTTTAGTAGTTGTCTAATTTTGTGTAATTGCCACCTATGGCCATATAGTGACCAAAACATGTTGTGCAAGTGACTATATCTTATAGAAGTCTGTATGTAAAACTATAATACCAACAAATTGAATTTTACATTTAGCTTACTATGGTCCCTGTACCTAAATACACAGAGTTCTATACCAGCTCCAAGTTAATAACACAATGAAATTCCAGTGTTACATTTTCAGTTCCAAAGTTGGGGTGAAGTGAGTGAGTAAATTTAAATGTGTATCAGAGTCTATGGCCTTAGGTGAAGTAAAATTTTTACTGTGTATTGTCTATAACTTGAACAACTATAAAGAATCAAAACAACCACACAACAAATCACTTCACGATACCCTAATATGGGAAATTCATTCTGTTAACATCTAAGCAGAGTTAGAAAAACAAGAATCTTAAATTGTAACTGAAGCTAATACCTGTGTCTCTGCAACAGAGGCTTCCCTTCAAACTTGTCTGACACAATGAGGACACTAAACTTTGCCCCACAACCATCAGATTCATCCTGAACTTCCTGTAAAATCAGGACTTCATAAGTGCCAATATCCATGCCATAGGATAGTCCTTGAAAGAAACTGCTTATGTATACACAGATCAGTATAGGAAGGAGTTTCATGAAAATGTGTAGAGGAACATAAACCAGCATATCAGGCAACAAATGTTTTATTTACAATCTGAAGGCACAGTATATTGTTCCTTTTTTATTTCATATTGGTATTAATACTGGAAGTGTACAAAACTCATTTACATTTCATGTCACAGGCGTATTTGTGAATTACATCCGTTATCCTTTGAAATAACAAGTGGAAGCATCCTGCATTCAACAAACAAGGCATGAGTAACTTATTACTTTGATTTCAGCTTTGAACTGTGACTGAAAAAGAATATCTGTCTGTAGTTAAAATAAGCAAAGAAAACAATAAAATGTGCACATGAATAGAATGAAATTAGGAGTGGGAAAAGGTCAGGATACTGAGATGGTGGACTGACAGCTACACTACATACTGTCAGCACAGAACAGGCTGCCAATGAAACAAAAAATATTAAAAGGAAATGTTTCCTTAATAAAAATGGCTGTATCTCTGCATATATTCTCACTGGTTTCTTACTCTTTTGTTGGTTTGTTTTAGCGCCTGGTGGTGTAAATGCAATGGGGTAATTTACTAGGTCTCTTAAACCAAAATTAACTGTTAACAAAACAGAAATTGAGTAAAACACAGTTAGTGCAATATATGGAATTAAAAGTCCATCTTTAAGTAAAAGTGGCAACATACTGAAAGTAGAAACAATGAGGAAATAGAAACAAGGTAAGGGCTCTACAGGAAGATAAAGTGCAACTGGTATAGCTGCAAAAAGTATGCTTTTCTCATGTACTTGAAAAGAGAACAAAAAGAAAGCAAGAGAAGAGTTAATGACAGAAAGCAGAAACTTATCTAATCTTGGTCGAAGAAGAATGTCCATGCTACTTGGTAGAACAGCCAACAAGGTTGCAACAAAGCAAAGTTTTGCCATTTGCAAGTTGGTAAAGATTTCTTTAAATTTCACAATAACATTCAAACAACACCACACATTAGAAACCTTATCCTCAAAAACGCCTCTTGCCAGAGGAAACAAACGATGTACAACCTGTAAAAGAAGGTTAACATTCTTCAAGAATGGAAACCATATTATAAAAAATGTAATAATGACAATTGACCCTAATGACAGAAGCTTAATAAATCCAGCTACAACAGACCTATTTTGTTTTGGGAGGCAATTTCCAAGCAGATAACAAAAAAAAGGAAGAGCATGGTAAAGACCCATTTGTTTGTAATTTATGGACAGACAAAAAAGAACAGATGCTAAAAGCTCTCTTTCTTGAATCAAGGCTGCAATTGCTGCAACTGTTGCACCAAGAGAAATTCCATTGTACTGAAAATGGCCATGATCAATTAATATAAGACCAGGATAAATAAGAGTCAAATATGTTGCCATGTGTGTAGTAAGACGTTTCTCTTCCTTTGCAGTGAACGTCGATGTGTTGTAATTTCTTACATTCTTAGCTGTGTTCAGACTATTTGATTGCCTTCTGCAACAAAAATACCACCAAACTGCTGGCATATAAATGAATAGATCAGCTATCAAAACAGTAGCTCTCATAAAAATCTTGTGTCCATAACTTTCATAGCCCCGTGAAGACCGTAGAACAACAAATTCTGAGTTTATATAGTCCGCCATGTGGCCACAGATTAAACTATGATATGCAGTTAATGGTGGATAATCAAGACCCCAATACAAAAGGTCATTTTCCGATGTATTGTAGTACCAGTCCTGCAAAGGCAGATTTCGAGTGACCTCCATCCAATGGCGCTGAGCTTCATAGTCACCAAACATTGGAGGGCGCCCTTGTCCAGAGTAGGGATGCAGTGAAACACACCACCTTACTAAAACTGCTACCAGAAGTACAAGAACTGGAATTCCCTCCACATCATTCATCTCAAGCATTGTCCAAGTATTTAAATGTCAGTAATATACTTTGTATACCGTTCTGTAAACCTTTCTGTTCACTTACAGACAATTAGTTAACAGTAAATCGGTCAGCACTTTCAAGAACTGTTACTTACAACGTGCGTTGCTTCAAGCTCCTTTTGTAATTTCGACTTGATGTAATCTTCACTATATGGCATGATGGAATAATAGCAAATGCCTAGGTTTATATATACAGACTGCCTTTAGTTTGAGAAAAATGAACCTTGTAAACCCTACTAACGACCACGCTCTCAAATCACGAACGTTCCCTTAGAACTCAACCACGTCAACCGTTCATGCACTTAAAACCGTACAAACGTACACATTTAAGCGCACTCTGTGAACAGATGTTGCGAACAACAATAAAACAAATGCACAACCAGCACAACGACCAAATACACATCGAGCCGCGTCCGTATGTTTCGGTAGCCAAAGCGATAGCTAAGGTTATAATTCCACAGACTATAGTGGCGAATGTTTCCTTCGGGTTATACATACATTAATTAATCCGTGATACGTACGAACTAATCCGAACTGATCTGAACTAATCCAAAATTCAAAGAGGAGGTTATGAAATGTGAAAATGAATGTTAGGAGCGTTAGGAGTGACAGAAGACCTTGTTAATAATTTTTAGTATAGCTACATGTAATGCAGATGATCCACTAATCCACAATATATTTATTATTGAAGACCAATTAAATTTGGTAAATAATTTCAATTCTAATATTTGTTACATGGCAATGCTCTTCTCGCACGGCTGGTTAGATTTGTCCTTTGTCAAATCAGCTGTTCGTGAAGGCTGTGGTGTAAGAGCAGAATTTGAACTGCTGTTGAAACTTATTGCTGTTTTTCAGACATATACGTCTGGTGCGGTAATTGTCCGTGGTACAAATGACACTTACGTGACCATTGAAAGATATTACGCGTGATGATGGAAAAATCAGCTGACCAGTTTTGTCTGAAGAAAGACTTGCGTGACTGGCAGTTTTGTCAGTCGAAACTAATGAACCTTCCCTTGGATATTACGAAGGAAAACTATGTTCGGAGAAACATAAAAGACTCGATATTTTCGGTTGTTTTGCCAACGCCTTTAAAAACGAAACTAAAACTGGTACATTTTTCAGAAGATGCCCTCATCAACATTCTCGATATGGATCCTTTGATTACAAAAACAAGCGAGTTTCTAGAATTTATAGCAGGTAATAAAGTCATTCCAAGTTCAGTTCCTCTTTCGCATCGATATGGGGGTTACCAATTCGGTTTTTGGGCAATGCAACTAGGAGATGGAAGAGCACATTTGCTTGGTGAATATATAAACAGGTATTTCATTCAGGGCTAATAATAGGGCCAATTGACAGATTAAAACACTGAACATTTTTCATATGCAGTGACTTATAATGTTTGCATTTTCCATGACAGAGCAGGGGAACGGTGGGAATTGCAACTTAAAGGCTCTGGGAAGACACCATATTCAAGAGATGCTGATGGACGTGCAGTACTTCGTTCATCTGTTCGTGAATTTCTTTGTTCTGAAGCTATGTACTACTTGGGTATGATATACTTACAGATTCTATAGACTGTGCTGGCAAGTGATTTTTCCTAGCCCAAATTCAATGATAAGCAAAGTATAAATAATTACTTCAGTAATTAGCACAAATAAAGAACAGTAATGTGATGTGACAGCTCTCCTTTAATATCAAATTGTAACTATGAAGTCAGAACTTAGGGAAATATGTCTTGACAGAACTAGTGGAATTCAACTGAAATTTCTGCATGTCATATGAGGCAGGAACAAGTTCTGTATCAGCATATGTAACCCACAACTCATTTCAGATAGCAACCACTGGCATTATGGATATGGTTATCATAGTTATAAATCATTATTTTTCACTTTTCTGATTAGGCATGTGGTTGTCAGCATGAAGAAAGACTGTATTGCACAAACTCCCACATCATTCAGTGAACCAAGCATATGCATGCGACAGGAAATTCATTGTGTGCCTGTAAAAGAAGTTTCAGTATATTGGGTCTGTAAAAGATTTTGCAGTCTAATTATTTTCTTACTATGTTTACATTAGTATTTTTTCCTAATACAAGAGGGACATATATTAATATATATATATGTGTAACAGATATTCATTTTGATGTTATGTGAATTTATCTTAGTTCACATATACAATTTAAATAAAAATATTCAGTGATAGTAATCCCATATGAGAAGTCTTCATGTTGTTACTGCTGTTTCACAAGGTATTCCAACTTCCCGAGCTGCAGCTCTTGTTGTAAGTGATGATCCAGTATTGAGAGACCAGTTCTACAATGGATTTTCAAAGACTGAGAGAGCAGCAGTTGTACTTCGTTTGGCACCATCTTGGTTTCGGTTTGGTTCACTGGAGATTCTGGCACACAACAGGGAGCTGACATCCTTAAAAAAACTTTTAGATTTTATAATAATTGTGAGTCCAAGCTTAATATATTCACTGTTCTTTTCAATGCACAAAGTATGACATTTATATTAACACTGTATATGAACTTCCCAGGAACACTACTCACAGATCAACCCACAGGATGACAGCAGATATGTCCAGTTATTTTGCCAGGTAGCACAAAAAACAATGGATCTTGTTGTGTGCTGGCAGAGTGTTGGTTTTGTCCACGGTGTTCTCAACACAGACAATATGAGCATGCTTGCTATTACCATTGATTATGGTCCCTTTGGATTTATGGAAACTTATGACCCACACTTCGTTCCAAATTCTTCAGACAAAGAAGCAAGATATTGTTTTGACAGACAGCTGCAGGTGTGTTTTCATTTTCATTTAATTTTTATTGTCAGATAATGGACATTAAGTATACTTTCAAGTAGCACATTTTCAAAGCAGAGTAATTTCTTTTTTTTTCCTGCACAGTCAGTAGCATCAGCTGTTTCTGATTTAGCATATCTTTGAAATGGAAATTTCAGATGCTCATTTTTCTGTTTACAGATAAAGAATCATATAATTTTCATCTGTTAAGAGGTGCAGGGGGGGGGGGCTTATAGTTTATCAGTTCTGGATGTAGATAACCAAATCTAGGACCTAAGGTGTACTCTATTGTGATGTATAGACCCATTGCTAAGCAGTGACTCTCTAAATGGTTGACATTACTAGGTAACGTCCGTAACATACACACACGCAACAATAAAAGATTATGTTTTCTATGTGGTCCATGCCACAACCATTGCTATGCAGTGGTATGGTAACCACGCCTCTACAACAATAGAGGGGCTGTGTTTTCTGCGTGATCCATACCAAGGAGTTATCTTGAAGACAGTTGGTGCTATAGTTCAGCTGAGAGTTCAGGTGTGGAGTGTTAACCAGCAGGCAACGGTGTGATCACAGAAGCTGAAGAATCTCCATTGCTAAGATTTGTTACCAAGAAACATCTAGCGAAGACATTGCAGAGGAATAGCCATTGTTCAGAGCTGTTACCAAGCAATGACTAGTGAAAGCAGACTGAGAAGATGTGGAAATCAGCAATAATGTTACAGTTTGTAGTTACAACCTATAAGTGGTCAATAAATCTGTTTACCAATCCATACCCCATCTACAGTCATCCCTAAGTCATGACAATATGAAGCTTAAATGAGCAGAGGTGTGCCTTTTTGTACATTATTTAATTTTCAAAATGATGATAATTTTCTGTTGGGTGCACTGGCCTTCTTGTAAGAATTTACCTTCAGTAGTGCAGAAGTTTTTAGAAACAGGAAAACTTAATACTATGGGCTATTATTCAGGATGATGTGTCTGCAAGATGAAATACTTAAAAACTGAATGGAAGGTGTGACCAGCTGCTCTATTTCAGTTACTGATTAGCATGTATTTGTGTGTTATTAGATTGCAGAATGGAATTTGCAAAAACTGTCAGAGGCCTTCATTCCTTTCCTTGATGAGACACAAGTAATCCAAGTGAGGACAGAGCTGCAGAACTTTGGGCCCAGTGCTAAGGTGAAACAAAGGCAAGGAAGGGCACATGCACTTTGTAGTTAAGAGAAGATTAGATTTCATGTCATTCTTCTTGCATGAGCAATTGAATCAGTGTTTTCACTTCCTTGGTATAGTGCTGGGTAGACCTTGCCCAAGGGATGGCATATGGTCATGCATGAGAGGAGAATGCAATGGGAAGCAATAATGTGGTGGAGGTACTTTTCACTGTTCCAAGACAATTTGTTTCCCACAAAGCCAGGCAGCAGACAGACTTGCTCCCTCTCTCTGTGACCAAGTGGACTCATCCATGCTTATGACTGCTTGAAAGAATGCAGTATTGTTTCAGAATGCATGCCATCATTTGTTGGATGAGGCATAGCAGCTATATCAAACCCCAAGCAGTTAATATTGAGATATGGAACAGACCACATTTGTTGATGGTTAAAGTGAAGGTGAAGTATTAGTTTTTAATTTTGTGGGGTGGGGCAAGACTGAGTCCACTTCGTAGGTTGGCCACTAATTGGCCTATTGTACCAGTCTCAGTATGGAGCATTTTGTGCAATGAGAATAGGCAGGGGAAACCTGCCCCAGTGCCACTTTATCCACCACAAATCGTACATGACTTGATCTGGGATGAAACCTGTGCCACCTTCGTGGGAAGCCGGTGACTAAACCCCCCCCAAGTTATGGCATGGCCAAGGTCAAGTGTTACCACACTGGATAGACTGTTGCTTACAAGGACATAAAGTTCAAACCTTTTCCAAGTGCTTTAATTGCGTGTTAGAAGATAGTTATGATTATAAAAACCTTGAACTGATACTGTGATGTTTCATACACACCAATCAGTATTTAGAGTTTTCTTACCTACTGACAATAATACATAATTGGTTATGAATACATCACTGTCACTCTAACATCAGTAATACAACAATACAAAATTACCCACAGGTATTATTTTATATTAAAAAATCCCACCTCCTGTTGTAACAGAATATGTGGATTCACATACAATTTGAAAACACAATAAAAAGAAGTATTTTTACCAGAATATAGTGATGTGCAAATTGTGTGAAGAAATGATGCAATGAAGACTGGAAAAGTTGCATGCCATAATATGAGTATGGTATACAGAATTCCCAACAGCATTCTTTGCAGTTTAGTAAACCTATTTGCAGCCTGTTTATAAAATATGATTACTGGTTTATGATATACATGAAACAGTCCATTACATAAACTTAACCTTTTTTTATATTGCTAGTGGGGTGGGACTAAGTCCTTGTACTGCAACCACTTCTGGCCTATTGTACCAGCCCCAAATGATAGGTGAGGGTGATTGTGGAGCAATTGGTGGAATGAAGATTGGCAGGGGAAACCGAAGTACTCAGAGAAAACCTGCCCCAGCGCCACTTTGTCCACCACAAATTCCCAAATCCCACTTGACCAGACCCAGGCCGCTGCGGTAGGAAGCCAGCGACTAACTGCTTGAGCTATGGTGTGGCCTAACTTAACTAATTAATTAAGCACTATGCCATGAAGGCATATAGGGGAGTGGATTATAGAACCACATTTTCTTGACCTCGGCACTAGCTGGAGGTGAGTGGTCAGCTTCACGCCCTGACTGCTTTACCCCTGGGGAAAGAGCCCCCAGTACCCATTAGATAGGAGGTTGGGTGGACCCCAGAGCCGGTCTGGATGACATGGAGAAGTGAAAATTCTTGCCCCCACCAGAACTCAAAATCTAACCCCTTGGTCATCCAGTCTGTAGCTAGTCACTATGCTGACTATGCTATCATGGCTCCCTATTAAGGGTCAATATGGCTGAAAACTGTGATTGCCTGACTTTCATCGAGTTTCCTGTCAAATTAATACGAAAACTGTTCAACAGTTTAGGTGCTGATACTATGTCTCAGAGAGATGGACAGCCATGACACTCAACAAATCTGTGCAGGGAACTTCAATATAAATTTTTATCAACATCAGTCCATCTGCATTTGAGCTACGAGGTGATATTCTATGGATGATCACCCAATCCAGTTGAAATCAGTGTGACGCTACCTATTGAAGTACTGAAACACTAATTTAATTTATGTTTCTCATAGCTACAACTTACAGTGGTGTCCTTGCAGTCCATTTTCCTACCTTAAAAATGATAAGGTTAATTTTAAATGGTATCAGACATTCTACACAGCACACTTCTACTGCATTCAAAGCTAAGAGTTTGCATTACCTGTTTCTGCTGATATATGTCAGTAAGCATATGTGGATTCATATTACCACGGATATATCCTTCAAAGTACAAACAGAATGAGCATAGGTGGGACGGTCGATTTTGGCTGGTGGATCTCTGATGCGTAGTGGTCTGATGCAAGTCGGTGAGCCTAAGATTGGTGGGCATGCGCAGTGACACTATGTTGCCTCAGTAAGAAGGTAGACGTTGAGCTCATAGGATCCCTGTTATTAGTAGATACTGTTTGCTTTTCCCACGTGCCAGTTGCTAGTTGCCAGTGCCAGCCTACAAATGTTCCCTCTGCAGACGAAGCAAGTTCGTAGCATAGACTCGCTCTCATGCGCTGACAGTGAAGGACACCGGCCAAAAAGTATTGGCAGGCTTATAAAAACAAAAGATCATAAACGTCATGCAACCAGAATAATATACAGTTCAGTTGTTTATGGGGAAAGTAAAATGCAAGAGGCAAATCCACTCAACTAAAATGGTACTGCAGCAAGCATTAACAAATGCAACTCAAATTCACTGGCCAATAGTTGCCATTAACCCCTCTAAGCAAAACAGGTGTGATATTTCTAGAGCCCTGCTTGGAAGTATATATCAAAGGGATTATTTTACATGATTTTCAGCTGTTGTACACATTGTTTAAAATGCTTATTTTGTTTTCTTGAGATTGTGGGAAGGACAGCATCTCTGTCCTAGTGACTGCACTGCACAGTGAAGAACACATCAAAAAATGGTACAGGTACTTTGCTACCAAAAATTAGCATTTACACTGGTATGCAAAGTTATTCTGCAACAGTTTTGCACATCACATGGTGAAGTATCTGTCTTTCTAGTTTCTAAGAACTGATGATGCCTTAAGTTTTGTGTTTGCTTTTGCAGCCATGCATACAGCTATGTATAATATACAAATCAGTTTAGTTTCATGTGTCTGTATGAAAGTCAACACATATATTCACTGCACATAACCGTACATACAAAAACTACACTACTGTTAGATGGATGGAGGTCAGAATGTCACCATTAATTTTTCCCGACTTCTACAAATCACTGAGCAATACAGAGTGCTGCAACAGGTTTGATTTAGGTTGTGTGTCTATTCTGTTGCTCATACATTTCTGTATAATCTGATAAATACTACTAAATAGGTAAAATGTACAATATATGTCTTTAAAATTGCTTTTCTTAGGTGGGATATCTTTTTATGCAGGAAACATTTTAAGTGGGATATAAATATATTATTATATTACTTTTGGACCTCAATAATTGCAGCTTTTTAGGGATATTCTTAAGTTGGGACCACAGTGTTTCAGGTCACTGTGGTCCGATAATTTAAAGATTTGGTAGTGCACAAAATTCTTAATTCTCCTCTACTGGGTATGGTGGACAGACCTGGTATACTCGTATACAAACATGTAACCATTTCAGGTCTGCATTTATAAAGAAGTTGGGATTGAATGAGGATAAGGATGATGCTGACAGTCAGCTTCTCACACTCTTACTACAGCTGATGGAAGAAACTGGCACTGATTTTACCATGACATTTAGGCAGCTTGGAGAAATCGCCTTAGCAGATATAAGAAATCCACAAATATTAAATGAGTATTGGTCTCTTAAAAGACTATCCAGCCATCCGCAGTATCCTTCATTTACAGAAGCATATCTGAAAAGAATTGAAGAGGAAAGAGGTTAGTAGCAAATATCTGATTTTATTTTCATTGTGTACATAGAAATTGGACCAGACAATTTTCAGTTTAAATTAGATGGGAAAAAACATGTAAGCAAGTTTGATGGAAACCTGAACACACACAGATCCATGTGGAATAAACAATTTTTGGTGCCCTGTAAGAGATATGGCCTGGCTCATATGTTTGCACTAAGTCACTCCCTATACAAAATTTACTGTGATGAGTAAAACATTCCTGTTCTGTTTACTGTGATCATGAATTCATTTTGTTGGCAAAATTGTTACTTTCTGCCTTATTCTGTTCTGAAAAGTGGCCAGCTCATTCAAAATTGGAATGGAAGAACTCAAGAGACATTGCTGGTATGGTCTCATAAGCCTATTCTCTTTCCATAGAAAAGTAATTTAAAAGGCAACAGGCCTGAAGGAATATGGCATGTATATAAATATAAAATAATTTGTAGGTCTCACAGATGCAGGAAGGAGACAACTCATGTGTCAAATGAATCCACGCTATGTGCTGAGGAACTGGATGGCACAGTCTGCTATTGAGAAAGCTGAGAAAGACGATTTTAGTGAAGTGCAATTTCTGCTCAAAGTTCTGCAGAACCCATACACAATCTGTGAAGAGGCAGAAGAAAAAGGATATGCTGATCCTCCTCCAGAATGGTCACACACCATCAGAGTGAGCTGTTCTAGTTGAGGCTGGGATCTGTCGTCATATATATATATATATATATATACACACACACACACACACACACACACACACACACGTGGTACAGTCATTAAGTTTGTGGACTGTGGTTTTATCACATCATATTACAAGGTATTCACATACACGTACATAGATCTACATCGGCCCTCAAAATAGTCACCGTTGGCCACCATGCAAGTCTGCCAACGTTGATATAGCTGCCGAAAATATTGCTGAAACATATTGGCAGGAAATTCCCATATGGCATCTCTTCTGCCATTGACGACCTCCTCGGATGACTGAAATCTACGACCACATAGCTTTGCTATCAAGCGGTGAAAGAGAAAGAAATCACATGGTGCTAGATCCGGTGAGCACGGAGGGTATGGCAAAATGGTGACCTGTTGCCTTGTCAGATCCTCTTGGACAAGAACAGAGCGATGTGCAGAGGCACTGTCATGCAGCAACAGCCAATTCTTCCTACGCCAAAGCTATGGACGCTTACGATGAATTGAATCGCGTAGAGAGTAGGGATCTCCTTGTACCAGTCCTTGTTTACAGTTGCTCCGTGTGGGATAAATTCCACGTAAACAATTCCTGACAAATCGAAAAACAGTTCGAGCATCACCTTGCCTTTTGACCTGTTTTGTAGTGGTTTCTTCTTTCTTGGCGATGATGGCAATTTCCAGGTGGCCAATTGTTGCTTCAATTGCAGATCACAAAGAAAACACCATGTTTTGTCTCCTGTAATGATACGGCTGAGAAACGTCTCACCTTTGTCAGCACTACTGATCAGATATCACTACTGATATCATCTATCAAATGGGAGCAGTTGGCACATACAAATGTTGCAACTTCTTTAATCTTGTGTTCAGTTCTGACTGCTTTTGGCTGACCATTACCCTCATCATCTTCCAAACTGTCTCACCATGTTAAATGTTTCACTAGGGGATTTGCCTAGTTCTTGGCAGAACCTGATGCTTGCCCATTGTTCAGACTGCCACATTTTTTATTTCCGCTACTTGCATTTAAATGGAGTTCACAATGGAGGCCATATTTCTGCTTACACTGTTTGCACACAACTGCCTCTTGCTGTGACAAGAGATGAACTGACAGGGCATCATATTGTGCCTCAACCTATCTACTGTAATGCACTGCAATGACACTTTGCGGCCAGTCTATGAACTTACTGACTATGGTAATATATATATGTGTGTGTGTGTGTGAAACTGGCCATGGGTGGTATTTCTGAATATAGGTTTAGCATGCTTAGCAAATTGTATATTTTTAACTGTAATATTTCAACAGCGGAACTGAGATTTTAAGTGCATCATCTGAGGTGGAATATGAATATAATACTTATTATTAACAGTGTAGTAGAAACCTACATTTAATATACAGAAGAAATTATATGGACAAATTTATTTATTTTCAAAAGTAGTTACCACCTGAATCTGATATTTTATATAAAATGGACTAAACTCTATGTAAATTTATTATTTTTATATATGTCACATCACAATATTCTCAAGAAATATGAAAACTCATTTGCTTGCTATTATCAACCTTTGACACATAATCAACTATAGTTCTCTTCTGCTAAACATACAAGCTATACAAGCTAGATCTTGTTTGGAATACCTGTCCAGATATTCAGTCAAGCGAAGTTACGTGCTGATGCAGGAATACCTGCCTCTAGCACAACGCTTTAATGCTGACAGCTATAAAAAAGTATTTTAGCAGATAAATTTCAGAACATCTAAATTAGAATGCTCTGTTTTCTCCTCTATCTCGACGCTGTCTCCCCCAATCTTGGCCTTGCCGAATGAAATTCTGACGGTCTCGGAAGCCACCTTGGTTCCCACCACGATTGAAGTAGTTTCCTAAAAGAAAAAGGGAGCAAATGAAATATAGATTATATTTGTGCCCAGAACTGGACTGCTGACAATTGGATACCTTGATAAGATCAATAATAATAAAATGAATGAGACAGCAGTAAAACTGCACTGTATACCTGCCACTTAATACTTACAAAGCTCTCCTGTGATAAAATTTTATGTCTTCATAGGATTTGAGGTTCTCACAGCAGTGGTTATGAAGAGTACTACTATATTCTGGGGTATAATGCAGTGTAGTCCACTAAAAGTCAACCAACGTTTCGGAGGAACACATTGCTTCCATATTCAAGGTTGAATAAGCTGAGCAAGATACCTGCATGAAAGCAGGTGGCAAACAGAGTTGGCTGACTTTCAACAGACTACACAGCATTATATCCTACTAGAAGACAGTACGCTTACCTATCTTTGTTTCAATAACATACACACATAATACTGCTTAGTTTAATTTATCAGGGTTCTTCCATTTTACCCATTACCTTCCACATTTTTCCCACTTTAAGGACAAAGGATCAAGACCATTGTCATCTTTTCCCTGCCTGGATTAAAAGAAATTCCTGCCATGCACTAGATAATGTTCTGTTATGGCATCTAGAGGGGTGGGGTGAAGAAGGCACAACACTGTACTTTACATAACTGCCATCTCAACAAAATTAAATTACATAACTGTCATCTCAACAAAATTAAATTATCATTAAAAGTAAGAGTAGAAAGATGATTGTGGTATTTCTTGCTACCAACTTCAGATCCCAGTACTGAAACCATATGTATCATTTTTTTATTACTAGTGTACTGTGGCCACTTCTGGCCTATTGTACCAGCCCCAGATAATAGGTGAGGGTGATGGTGGAGCAATTGGTGGAATGAAGATTGGCAGGGGAAACCGAGGTACTCAGAGAAAACCTGCCCCAGCGCCACTTTGTCCACCACAAATCCCACTTGACCAGACGCGGGATCAAACCCAGGCCGCCACGGTGGGAAGCCAGCGACTATTGTTGTTGTTATTGCAGAGGGTGGCTTTCCCCATGCACTTAGACCAGATATTGGTCCACTGTGCGTCCCCCTGTGGTATTCTACCAGTCTCTATACCCTACCGGTACTGGTGCATGCCATCAGTCCCAACTCAGCCAGCAAGTTCGGCCTCTACTGGCTCAGCAGTATCTCGATGCTTCTCCCATCTACCAGAGGCGTTAGAGACTACTGTTGGGCGAGAAATGTCCTGAATTTGGCTCAGGGGTCCCCTTGAGACATGAGGTTCTTTTACGTCCCGTAAAGCTACACACGACCCACGGCTTAAAGTCCCTCCCAGAGGACTTGTTCCCTGAATTTTTCTGCCCTTAAAAATTCCACGACCTCCGCCGGGTTTGAACCCGTGTACCTTGAGTCACGAGGTGGGAACGTTACCCCTAGACTACGGAGGCCGCTAAGCCAGGGACTAACCACTTGAGCTATGGTGCGGCCATATGTATCATACTTCTGAGGTTTGAATCTAGGCCAGTAGTGTCTCTGAGGTTTGTGCTTCTTTCTCAGTCTGTCAAGCCAAAGGTTACAACAGCACTATATATGAGCTACAACAGTATCTTTTGACATCCTTCCTCCTTTACATTCAACCATTTGACATTATATAGCATATGCAGTTTGAAAAGTGCTGTTAAAGAAACCAGCGATTCAGGATTATAATTCTGATATGCTGATTGTCTAGCCAAACAAGTCTCACTGTACACAGTAAGCACACCTGGATTCTGGTTCTAACATCTTTTAGTCTTGTAGTTGGATATCAGCATTTCATAGGAACCTGCTGCCTTCATCTTCAGGGTTGAAGATGTGCCACAGCCCAGATAAATGTGCACATTCCTCAGCCAGGGGTTTCTACTCATCCTACTATAATTTACAAATGTATACTAATGTCACTATACAGTCCTGTTATTAACAATAAAATTAAGAGAAATATAGAATGATTTAGCATCTTCTAGCAATCACGTGCTTCAATTTTTGCTGCCATAATCCATCAGTTCTAAAAACAGAATGTCCTTTCGTTCAAAAACTATAATCTGAAAAGAATATGAGCGTATTTTTCATACAATTCTAAGCAAAGAATTTCATAACGGACAATTATTACATCCTACATGAACATCTCTTGAAATAACAAACCTTGTTTCATCTCAAAGATTCTCTCATTTGAATCCACAAAATTGTTGACCTTATCCGTGAGCTGCAAGGCAAGTGATTGTAGCCTGCTTGGTTCACTTCTGTGCATAACCACGGTCTGTGTTGGGTCATCCAAAGAGGCCTGCGAACAGTATGTTCAGCTACACTTCTAATACACCACACCAATAAATCTCACTGTGTGTCATAAATTTTCCACCAAATACATTCAAGGTCACAGCTGCACATTCAGTGAAACTGAGATCTCAGATTGTCCCTCAAGGACTGTAATGTCAATAGATCACAATGAAGTAAGTACAGTACGACACTGCAACAATTTCATGTTGAAATTTCAACATGCTTTACGCTGCTTATGAATATTTTACTACACTATTCCAAAAAATGCAGTGAAATACCAACTTAAGGTCCTTGACATATATCTGCGAAATGGTTGGTCCAGTTTTTATATTCAAATTATGTCCTTGTTCAAAAGTCTCTGTTTTCAATTTTCCCACTGAAGACTTTCCTCAAGTTTGGATTAATATGAACTGTCCATATTAGCATAAGAGTGATTTCAATGTAGTTCTTATTTTAAGATTTAACAGACTGGTAGTGCATAGATTTACCATAAGTTCCTCATTAATAATCATTTTGCTGATGATGGAATGAACAACAGGCTTTTCCAACTCAAACATCTGAGCAAGTGTTGGCATAGAGATGGAATCATAGACATGGGAGTATGTGAATAAATATGTCCTTAGTGCCTCCTCTTGAATCAGATGTGTCAGCATCTCGCGCACTTTGTCAGCTTCATAAAATAGATCCCACACCTGTAAGTGACATGAAGATAAAAAGACTGAAAAACTTTGTCCTAAAACACACAGAACTGGTAATGCAATATTACATGCCTTCATGCATGCCAACAAAATACAGTAACCATGCACGAACACACTTTACATGGTTCTTTGTTTGCATGGACAGATGGATAAACCGATGGAGCTGTACACTTCTGGAGAATATTGTGAATTTTGTTTCCAGTAAGCACAATCCAGATGCTTGAATAGTAAGCACCAATCAAATTTACCAAGTCTCTCTGTTGAATCAGCAGAGACCAATTCCTGAAGCTGTCAAAAGAATATCTTGTTTCATTAAGAAAAATGTTTGTGGCTACTTCCTGCATTCTCAGTGTTCTCTTCTGATTCACATGAGTTGGTAGGTTTCTAAGTTTCCATTTATTACAGTTAAAGTCTACTATTTTAGGTCTGCCTGCACAGTCCTGAATCATTCATGATGGCGCAAAGTTTTGAACTGAATGGCTTCACACTCAGACTCACATATGTATGACGATTGCAAATACTATCGCTGTTACAATAATGCAACACCCATTAAATATCAGAACTGTATATCACTGTACATCCACACTCCCAACACCCATATCACATGAATACTATTTTATTGACTTAAGTAATTTGTGCTGTAGGCGGAGACAAAAGGGAGATCTTCATACATTCTCATTCCATCAAAGATGTTCTTGCCTTTACTGTGCGTGATGGAGTTTCTTGTGTGTCTTCATTCTAATTTGCTACTTCAGTAATGAATGACATCAAGTGTAGTGAATTCACATCATAAGTGAACCCCAGAAAAACTGTGAGAAAATGTTGCAAACCATATTGCCCCATATGAAATATTAAAGAAAACCTATTGTGAGTGTACAAACAGCATGTCAGTGGCCACCAGAAGAATAAATACTTACAAAGACTGAAACAAAACAAGTCATTTAGAATTTCAAAAGTATGATTTGTGCAGATGCCGAATTTATCGTCATCAGCAGTAATGAAACAGTCAGTACTGACTATTCACTGATCACAATGAGGGCATAAGCTTTTATTATTGATAGATAACAGGTCCACCAATCTGCCTGGCACCGAAAAGGTTTATCTGCATTTTTACTAAATTAATGGGCATATACTGCATTGGAGTGCACGATATCATCCCAAGATGTGGATTTCTTCATCCGTGTCACATGGCAAGGAACTAGAAAGGTAAAAGACTGGAACTACTAGGGGATGGAGAGAGACAGACAAAACACACCAAGAATCAACATTACCTTGGCATTCATCTTCTCGTTGATAATGAAGTTCTTGCAGGCAGACCAGTTACCATTACGCATTGCTTTAGAAGCTGCAACAACATGTTCCCGCATTGATTCAGGAGGTCCAACCAATGACTGACGTTCACTTGATCTCAATTGCTGGTAGAATGTTTTAGAAATCATACGGCGACGTGCATCAAACTCATGAGCTGCAATCAATAAGAAATCTTTTCTTCAAAACATACCATCATCTCAAGAACAACTACAGAGGTATACCCCTGCAAGGAATTTAATTTTCCAGCCGAGAGAAAATCACTTTATTTGGGGGGAACCAGAATACACCAAATTATGAAAGTGACACACAATTAGTCAAGCCCATCCTACAAGTAAAAGTGAATAGAATAATACAATACATTAAAAAATGTCAGAGAAATGGAAATGTTTATGTCTAACTAACCTGCCATATAGGGAATTTCTATGAGCATGGCTGACACAAGGTACACACACTCCAGTAACTCCAGGTTAATGTGCATGTGGAATGGCATCTGCCGCTGCTTTTCAATCTTCTCTTGCTCTTTGCTTCGTTCATGCTGCCTCTACATTAAACGAAGTCATCACAATCATTAATGGTATAGAAAATTAGTATTGTTAATATCAGAGATATACACACCAATACACTGATTATCTCAACATCCAATTTCCTTCTCCATCTTAAGTTTCCAAATGATTTCTTTCGAGGATGATGGTGGCACTAATTGTAGCGGTAATAAGAGTCCTTTGTAATACATGTTTTCATTATCACATTCATCAAGGGGCTGAGGAGTTCAAACATTATGGACATGTCTTGGCAGCAGTTGTCTTTAATGTCTCTTTGATTTCTTGTAACAGATCATCAGTATCTGATCATTAATTTTGGCAGACTGTCTCTCTGCATTCTGTCAGTGTGGTAAGTTCAAAATTTTTGTCAATGAAGATTCAATCTTTAATTCATTCAAAGTATCTTGGTTCTTTTTGCATTTTTCCCACATAAATCTCAAGAATGTCATCTCAACATCTGTGATTCTGAAGGTTTTTGACCTCTACTGTCCAGGTTTCATTACTACAGAGAAAAGGGAAAGCCAATATGTTACTGGTTCCTATTCTTTTATTTCTCTGAATTTTTGATAACTTAAATATATTGTTTATTAAGTCTGTAATTTTGAAAAACTGAGAACTTCTGCACCTACATCCTTTCCAGCTTCAAATGATAACATTCAACCAGGGTAACTGATGGTACTGACTTATCAGCATAATGAATTACCTTCTAATCAGTCCTGGTGATAAAAAACGATACACACACATTATAAATACAAATATAATACAAACTGAAAAAGTTAAATAGTTCCGTCCAGTGTGACTGATTAAGATTTTCTTATTTCAATTATTCATGCCCTTACATGTTTCGGTCTTCAGAGACCATCTTCAGAGGGACATCTTTAATTGAAATAAGAAAAAGTCTTAACCAGTCACACTGGATGGAACTATTTAACTTTTTCATAATATCAGTGTGACGGATCACAATGAAACAAATACAAACTGCTTACAGCATTAAACGGTTGATACAACACATCCTCAGGCCCCAAAGGTATCCATAACCAAATGCTCTCTCACCTTCTACCTACATGCAAGAAGTTTCTGGTGTCTACATACAACCATATTTGGACAAAGTACTAAGTCCTAGCTGCCTGGAGAGAAGATACAGTTATCCTTATTTTGAAACCATATAAGGATCACTCCTTTGTAGCTAGTTGTAGACCAGTCTGTCCACCTACAAGTGTCAGGCCACAGAGTTTATGGTAAACCATTGAACTGTCTGGCTCCTGGAGAGCAGATATATATTTCTGAATGCTCAGTGTGGGTTCTGACATCACAGATCGCCTGATCATCATGCGAACAAATAGAACAATGTCCAGAATTGTTTTCTCATGCACCAGCACCTTGTCACAGTCTTCTTTGACTTGGAGAAGGCATATCCACAATATGGTGATATGATGTCCTAAGGACCATTCACCAGTGGAAATTTAGGGGTCAGCCACAACTTTTCTTTTGAGTTCTCTCCAAGATCGTTTTTTTCTGTGTATGTTCTTTCTGCTCTTATCAACAAGAAGCTTACAATAATTTCCCTGACACTAAATGTCTTCAAATAATTACCGATGAAGTTTATCTGCTCTACAAATTAGAGTATGTTACACCTCATGTAGGCAAGCTTACAGCAGAAAAGTTCTCTGTTAAGTATATTTAAATTTCTCACCTATGTATGACTATGGGAAATATTCTGAAAACAGAATTAAATAATTTTTAGTGACCATATAACGGTTAATAACTGTGACACATTTTATTCCCAGAGTATGTGGAAAATACCCTGTAAACATAATGCACAGGATGTAACTGAAAGTTGTAGAGAAACTTTGGACATGAGCTCCACACACCAAACCTTGAAAAAATGTCCACAGCATCTCCAGAAATATTTAACTTGTGAGTTATAGCTGAAAGAATACTGTGTAGACACCAGCAGCATTCAGCATTAATGTTGGTGACTGTTTGGTAGGCCTACACGTTTTGCCACACTGACTTACAGGCAACCATTACTAGAATTTCCTTTTGCAAGATCTGCCAAAGCTACTCAAAGATATACCACTGGCAGTCAAAGCATGAATATGGTATATGTATGATGGTGCTGCGGCATATTTTAACCGTGCTGTGTGAGATGTTCTCAGTAACACCTATCATGACCAATGGCTACGGAGAGGAGGACCAACTGCATGGCCTCCATGCTCACCAGACTTGAATCCTCTGCATTTTTATTTGTGGACACACTTAAAAACTCCTGCGTATGCAGCACCAGCTCCTGCTGGCAATGGAGAGGCACTTCACCATCACACTGTGAATGCCTGTGAAGCTACAGGCAAGTACCCCAGCATCTCTGAACAGATGCAGCTGTTCATAACAAGATGTGCCGAGGCATGCGATGAATATCATGGAGGACATCTCGAGAATTTATTATAAATTTACGCTTTCAGCTATAAGTGACAAATTAAATGTTTCCAGACACATGTTGATATGGGTATTTTTTCTTGTTTTGTTATGTGCAACTCATGCCCAAATTTGTCCGCACCTTCAGTTACACCCTATATGATCTCTTACACTTACCCCAGCTTTTGAAATAAATGTCATGTCCGTTTTCAATCTTCCCCCCTACTGCCATGTAAAATTTCTAATTATGGTACCCCACACCAATTAATTGTTTGCCCTCCTCATTTATTACCTTATCCTCACTTTCCTTATGGCATTTGGGAAATACAATTCCATCAAAATCCCCCTCCCCCCATTCTTCATAGGAGTGTTTTTGAGTTATGTCCCCAATCCTCAAATTAAAATCACCTAAATTAAAATTCTGCCTCCCAATTGTTTTCTTAATTCCTATAGCTTATAAACAAACACCTATAAGAAAACTACACTGTACCAATTGTCATAGAATCACTTTTCATTATGAGTCATCACAATGTCAATGCCATTACTTGAAACACATGACAGATAATGTTGATGAAATTCAATAATTCAAAGTTCACACCTTTGTGGGCCTGAACACTTTGAATTAACAAAGCTGTATGTAACAACAGTAATGATTACTGCTATTAGTCTTGTTTATTATAAATATATTATTCTTACTTCTGCTACTACTCAGACAATATGGTTCCACTGAAAGAGTAAAAGAATAAGAGTCAAATAGATGATTATTTGTGAAACCACAAAGAAGGTGGAGAGTAAAACGTGATACAAACAGATTTGGGAATGTCTGGAGACAGACACAAGAAAGCTCATGGGAGGAAAGAAATAAATGGAGAAACTCTGCCACAAAATGACCCATCCTGGTGGAAATATCCATCAATGATGGACATTTTTGTTGTCATCATGATCACCACCGTCATACCTTATAACAACTGAACTATACTGACCTGAGGAAGCAATCCTTGTGCTAGGAGTTCCTTTACTTTTCCAGTCATCATCAAATCTACCAAGCAGTTATGAGCATCCTTGATGTTTGCATGGCGGAAAGCACACAGGCCAAGGTGTGCCATGGTGCGATTATACAAAATCTGCACAAATAAAACAGTACTAGAGTACTGTCATTGCTTCAAACACACAACAGATAATGTTGATGAAATTGAATAATTCAAAGTTCACACCTTTGTGGGCCTGAACACTTTGAATTAACAAGACTGTATGTATAACAACAATAATGATTACTAGTACTTGACCCACGCAATAAACAAAATGAAAGTGCTCTGTTTTGACTCTTTACTGGGTTTCCTAAGTTCTCCTGCAACCAGAAGATTTATATAACACATCACTCCTCAAACATGCCAGACATGCCAGATAATGGGAAGTTTACTGTCATAAGATGGCAGTAAGATTAAATTACTACAGCGATCAGCAATTAAAGGATGGCACTAAGAGCATTAAATGTTCTCATAATCTTGTTTCTTTTTACATTTACTCCAATATTTTACTCAGAGGTTGCACATGCAATGAATGTCTTGTTTAATTCTTTACCTGTGTGGCTGGATCAGAATGCTGAATTGCTTCCTGGAGGTGTGACATGAGGATTAGGTCTCGGGCCTGGAACCAGTTGTTGTGGAGTGCATGGTGGTAGATATGTGCCAAGATAGCTCTTGTGCGAAGCCGGTCAGTACCATCCTTAGCATAAATATACTTACACAGCTTCTCCATCACCTGCACACTAGTCACTGCACTAGAGGGAATCTCACCCTGGAATGGGAACACATTTCTTTCTATAGGTTACATACACACTGTCACATGTATGGGTGACTTATAAAATGGGGTTTGGACTGGTAATTGGATTTATTGCTCACTCCTTGTACAATCACTCACAATAAATCTTCAGCTGAATCATTCTTCCATTGACTGCCTAGGACTCAATTCTGACTGGACGAAAGTGACTCACTGTTATACAGCCTCACAGCACTCATATAAAACATGTCCACTACCTAGCAATGGATGTCTACTGATGTAGGCTTTACCCAGCAACGGGTCTATATGTCGCTATAAATACTACATTCACATTCTGAAATTGGTCACTTTGAGACATATCCAGAGTTCTGTGTTAAGAACAGTACTATCATGATCTGTTCAAGCATATCTGAATTACCCACATGATTCTCATCAAATAATTAAAATCTGAATTTGCATTTTAAGAACTGAATTTTTAGTAAATTCTTTTCTGTTATAACACTGAAATCTTTATAAGGTACTTAAAACAGATTATTTGCCAACTGTATTCACTTAAATCAAATACAGTCATAAGTTTCAAGATTCTTATGGTGGTTGTTTGGAGTCCCTTCTAGCTTCAAGATGGGGGCAACAGATTCCCTCAAAATCTAGGTAATTCTTGCTTGTATGCATCTTCCCTGATCTAGGTAATTTACAGACTTTTAAGTTGAAATTCAATTGGCTCTATGTGCCATTTAAACACGAAGACTACTGTGACATGTCAACTTGTTGGGCAATGGGATGTGGAACAAGTTACCATGAAAACAGACTTGATAAACAATCAGTTGTTAAGTTACGCAACAGTGGAATGAGGGTATGCAACCTACTTCTAAGCACCAGCTGGTAAACAAGACTCCTGCGCAGACGTGATGTCATACTGCAGTAGTGAATAGGAGTCATGTGACCTCTGCATTTCCACAAGTGACATTACATATCCCCAACCAGCCCGTTGCTATGTAGCGGTAAACACCCCTTCCATGCTAGGCTGTGACGCCACACAACAGTGGAGTCCGTGCCACAACCGTTGCTGGGCAATCACTCAGTAAACATGTTCCAACAATATAGGCTGTTTTCTGCGTGGTCAGTGCAGAAGCTTTATAATGACAGTAACACAAAAAACAGAAGTCAGTATTTGGGAGTGTTTGAGAGTGGTGGAAGCAAGCAAAGTGGAACCAGGACTACAGAAGAATACAGGAGGTCTGCCTGTGAGGCTGTAATGTGTAATTGGAAGATTTTATGTGCAATATTTGGAGTGATTTGAAGTGCTAATTTCTGCGTTCAGATATGTTGCCCAGAGAGGACTAGTGTGTGCATGCAACAGTGGATTATGAGGTGTATGTAATTCAGCAAAAGCGCTGTAATTTAAGTGTAATTGAGAGAGTATTTAACCAAGCTGTTAACAAATCCAATCATCCAAACCAGAACCCGTCATTTTGTTACGTGTACCCCCCTTCATGTGACAACAATTCTGCAGTGTCACACTCAGTGCTTTATTACAACACATTATTCTGTATCTCAGATTTTCTTTAAAGATTATGTGAATAACCTAAATCTTTCACAACAGTCATAAATAATTAGACCTGAAAAATTAGTCTTGAACTGCAAAATACTAAGCAGAGAAGTTGCATTCAATCAAGTCATATAGTTTCTACTCACTTTTTTCTCCCTATTATGTATTACAAGACTGAGGACCTAAAAATTCTTCTTCAGGCTTCTAAGTGCATGGCAGATTCCTGTCCTGCAGAGCACTTCAGAAAACTCACCTGCTTCTGTTTCAAGACATCTGGATCAAACTTGTAGTACAAATGTTCAATTTTCCGCAAATAGATACGGCACAATTCTGCTGACAAGCTCTGACGTTCCAAATATTCTTGTACCTTGTCAATAATGGATGCCACCATTTTCTCATCTTTCAACCTGAAACCAAAATTGAATATGCAACTTTTATGTGCCCCCAGTACTCACTGGATGGTAGCCTGGGTGGGCCCTACACTTAAGTCTGGATGATGAGGATATAAAGGTAAAAAAAGTAAAGCTATCCCTGTAGCAGACTGTGGATGCCCATAGGGCTGTAAGACGTCGAGGCTCCCACATTTTCTAGGCAATCAGCTCACAGATAGCAGTGAGGTTGTCAGCATTATGCCCAGCCACCCTATACCCCAGGAACATGGTTGGTACTCATTTCTGTTACAGTCTGAGTCGACGCCAGGGCTATAGTGCAGCTGGAAAGATTAGGTCATTTGAAAAATCCAATAACACAAGGAATTGAACCCACAACCTTCCGGCTTGTAGCATAGCACCTCAACCAACTACACTACCATGAGGAGATGGAAAAGATTTTGCCCCTGCCAGGAACTGAACCCCGATTTCTCAGCCATCCAGCCTGTAGCCAGTTGCTATACCAACTTAGCTATCCAAGCCCCCCAAAAGTGGTGTATCCATAGAATACTAACAATACTATCCATAGAATAATTTTGTTTCAAGGTTCATTCCCTTGAGTGGTAGCGAACTGATGCTTTACCACCATGAAATGTAGTTAAGAAGCAGAACCATGGCTCCAAAAATGGAGAAGTAAATACATCAACTATATACAAGGCCAATGGTAACAAAAACCTATAATAATTATTACTTTTAAAATATTCTAATATCAAGACTATAATCTTCTGACACCTGATGCTCTGTAGTTTGAGAAGCTGGATTTTGGATGAACCTGCTGCCTTAATCTTCAAACTGACAGTCTACTCTACAGATGAACCATCAATGAGGAAGATTTAGAAAGTAGTCATGGCCTATTTGTAGTCAATCCCAGAATCTGCCTGTGTGTGGACTGAGGAAAACTATAAAAAATAAGCGGCAGGATAGCTGCCAACAGGGCAAGAACCAAACAAAATATAACACAGGAGTGCTGACTTACCACACTGTGACACTATCCCATCTTTCTGCATTCCTTGACTACTTGAACTGAAGTAACAATGAACTAATATACAATGTTAATTACAGACAATTATACAGTAAAGTAATAAAACAAAAATAAATAAATTTTAGTATAAGGATATCATTTTGATTCCCTTTCTTCTCATATACAGTATGCGCCAAATATGAAGTACTGAAACTCACGCATCTTGAATGCGCATGTGCGTTTGTCGACAGGGCATAGTTCCAGCCGCACGTGTTCACAGTAGTGAAGAGGAAGTTGTGTTGTGCAGCTGTTATTGGAAATGGGTCTCTCAACAGAGGAAAAAGTATTCACAGTTGAGTATTATTTCCGCTCATATGGAAGTGGTCGCAGACAACTCGCTTCCTTGGTTTTGAGCAGCCAGATGTTATCATCCAGAAACCACTACATAGTACACGTATGACAATATGGTGTGCCATCTCAGCACACAGTATATTAGGCCCCTATTTCATTGAGGATGAGGAAAGCAATGCTCTTACTGTCACCCAAGAATGCGACAGGGACATGGTGATCGGACCATTTCTTCAGGATTTGAGAAGGTTCTGTAAGGGGCCTTCACATGAATAAACAGAGGTATCAACAGGACATCTTTTCATTTCAGTACTGTATATTTTGGCGCATGCTGTATTTCCTTAGCCACCCCCACTCTAAGGCTTCAACAATATTACACTACACTGCCATAACCCTTACTTTTCATTGTTTTGTTTTGGAGAACATACAATGCCAACTTAATAAATGAAAGTTAGTTCACCATGTTAGGAAACACACAACTATTCACATGTAATATATAATTTTAATAAACATACTACCTCTCTACATATTCATTGCTATGAGGATCACATTCTTTAAGCAACTTGGTGAATTCTTCATCCAAACGCTCCACCATAGTCAAGACACAGCCTCGCACCTTATAAGGAGGTTCATCAAAAACTTCATTTTCCTCCAGTATTTGTTCACCAATGATAATATCTGGTGTGGACAGCAACAAGTCCAAGGTATCAGAAATTCCATCCAACAGCCTAGAACAAGGAAACATGAAAGAACAGAGAACTTAATTTCTATTTATATAGGTGGAATAAAGGTTATTCAGTGTTCCTCACTTTAAGGATTTCCCTCATTTAACATCCAACTTCACTCATTCCAAGTCAATAATCTCTGTGTTATGTTTCTTCCATAAACGATTTCCAAAAATGTCATGTTCAACTCCACGGCTCCCCAAAGAAACATTAAACGGGGTTTCAGTGTATTCATTAATTTGCTTATAATATGACCACACCCAGCCAGAACTTTACAGCAGTACAGACTGCAATGAGTATAATTTTAACTAAATTAATATGAAGTACATCTAGCAGTTGTGTACAAATTTTCATCTTCTCATATGTCTAGTAATACTCTCATTCATGTATAAAATTCTATTCAATCCAAAACAGGGCTCAGAAAGGTAAAAAAAAACTGTTGCTTTAAATTTTCTTCTACCTGTTCCTGTTTTAACTTATTTAGGCAAGTTTTCATTTCCCGGATTGAAAGTTCTCACTGAGTGACTATGAGGTACAATCCCTTCTGGGATGTAAAGCAGTGTAGCCCAGTGTAAGTCCACCGATGTTTCGGATTGAATGTACCATCTCCATCTTCAGGGTTGAAGAGTTAGCCAAATAAGAAACCAGCAAGGAATAGGCAGCAAACACAGCAACCAACTCATTCTTGAATTCTATTATGTAATAGAGTTACCTTATCGTCAGGTTTTCACAACCTCCTGTCTGTGTAACTTAAGCTTCTAGAGTATATGTACACTGGATTTGGAAGATTTTTTCAACACTTCAGCATACACTGCAGTCTCCATCTTCTAAGCAAATGTGATGGAGAAGGGAGAAGATATACACATCCCTTGGTGGGAGTAAAGTGGGGGTGGAGCATGGTGCTATCCAATGAGAAATGGACATGTGGTTAAGATGCATTGCAGGAGAGGAAATGAAACCAGACCCTGCTCAGTTTAAATGTGTGTGAAGATGGATACGAACTAAGCAAAATATGGCTTCACTACCCTCACACTCACACTGGAGATGGTGAGTTCAAGAGATTTAGACACAGTTAAGAGGTAAAGCTATCCCTGCAACAAGCCATGGAGGCCCATAGGGCTGCAAGATGTCTAGGCTCCCATATTTTTCTAGACAGTCAGCTCACAGACTGTGGTGAGGTTGTCAGCCTTATGCACTGGTTGCCCTTTACCCCCAGGAAGATTCCTGGTACTCATTTCTGTTAGAGGCTGGGTTGACCCCAGGGTCACAGTGCAGCTGGAAAGATTAGGTCAACTGAAAAATCTAATGACCTCATTGAGAATCAAATCTGTGACCTTCCAGCTTGTAGTATAGTGCCTCAACCAACTATGCTACCGCGTGCCCCAGAATTAGCAGAAGGTCCTTAAAATATTTTACTGGCCAAATTCAGCTAAGAAACTGCATTACATACTACTGAAAATTGAGCAATTATTGATTTCACTGCGTCTAACTGCTGCATAGATGGTTCACAAAAAGATGATGTATTATAATTTTTGCTTTTTTCTATGTTATGTGATACAGCATACACAAAGCAAATATGAAAATAAACATGTACTTCAATTCGCCACTCTACACTTCTTCATATTTTCTGTCTGAAGCACAATACATGTCAAATTCCTGCAATTTAGAATTTTTCAGTCACTACTTACTTGGCCCAGAACTCTGGCTTCATTGCATCAGAGACTTTGGGATTATAATCGAAGATTGCAGACACAATTGCAAACTTGATCTTGATAGCAACAGCAGGGCCAAGATGATGTGCTTCAGCCACGCTCTGCAGTTCATGAAGCAGTTCTATTTGTTCCCTGCGGTCAGTGCGCTTTTTCCCACGTGCTGCAATGATCTCACTCAGCTTTTTCACTACGAGATTAACATCAATCTCTGCATCTTTAGCAAACATTTTCGGCTTTTCCTGAAAATTATTTTAAACATTAAAATAATTAAGGATTAATAATATTCCATGTTACAATAAAAACTCTGATTATCAGACTACTGTTTAAATGAAACAAAAGAACAAGATCCTTTCCTGGGACGCGAATTCTGAGAAGCAGAATACATGCTGTCTTCTCACATGAAATAGGATCCATGCATGGTGCAAAGCTGCTTCTACTATTCTTAAATATAGCACTCTGAATGATGAACACATTTACCTACATTTGTGACAGTTTTTCAGTGCGTTTATGAGGGAGCAACCACTGTGTTAATTGCTGCTGATAAATAAAGACTATGGTTGTGTACTATCAGTGAGAAACTGAAAATCATACGCAAGACAGAGCAAACACAGAATCTTGTCATAGCCAGAGGGTGTAATACAAGCAGAAGTCACATCAAAGATTGGAGAAAAAAGATCTATAAAAGTAGTGGTAATAAGTAAGCATTTTGTGGTCAAAAGTTAAAATAAAAACCATCTTTGTATTTTAATGAAAGGTGGCAGTTTGAATATGCGTTATCCAGAGAAATGTGCTAGCTGAAGGAATTATGAATCTCAAAAGAACTTTGAATACGAAGCTTTAAGAGAAGCCAAAGCTGGCTGCATGAGTTTAATTAGGTGAAATGATTTGTGTATACCATGATTTATAAGGTTTAGGACGGTGATGGCCATGCCATAGCTTAGACAGTTAGCTTCTGACTTCTCACCATGGCAGGTCATATGGGATTTGTGGTAGACAAAGTGGCAGGTTTTCTCTGAGTATTTCAGGCTCCCCTGCCAGTTCCAATTTCATCAACGGTTACACTTTCATTTATCATCCAATCATTGACAGCATATGGTACTGATATCTAAAGCATTTCAAACAGCTGAATGGCTGCAAAGATGATATGGTTTGAAATACTGATTCTCATAATGATATCAATTTAGATTGTAGCGACAACTGTAAGGAGGCATAACTGTCAGCATGGTGCCTTCTAGCATGACACTGCATTACCTGTCAGTAGCTGCAAGCGTATATTCCTAAAGTGAGGAAAATTATGATGCTGTAACAGTGTTGCATTTCAACATTCCAGCTCAAAGCAACCAGTGACATTTTTACGTCACATTAATTATTAGCATTAAAGCAGACCCTTCACATGCAATAAGTGTTTGGGGACAGCTTCAGTACCCATGTTTATAAGTGAAATTGACATTTACATAATTTTGGATTCCCTGCTATTTTTGCAGTGACTAAAATAAGTACATGAATATATATGGATAAATACCGTCTTAAGTGCAACAAATTTTTATTGTAGTTCTTACCTCTTTTCCTCCTCCACACTACATGTTTCGGCCCTAAATGGCCATCATCAGGTGTGTATCACTCACGCAGCTGCTACACTGCCTTTTAAAATTTAAAATCACCAGTCCTTCCAATTGTATAAAATCTTTGTTAATCTACACGCGTCGATTTGATTTTTAAATTAGCACTTTCTAAAACTTAATTCAAGTTAAAATGTCTATAAGATCTCCGTTCTTTCTTTTTCAATTTTTAGTTAAAAAATTTTTTTTTCAGGGTACACGCCCTATATCTACGGTGCTGCAGCGGCCACTTCTTGTTTTTATCGCTGTTCATGCGTTGCTCAGTGTAGGCGCTCCCTGTGTGTGTCGCTGCTTATCTTTAATACGTTTTTTAACTAACTAACTAAAAATTGAAAAAGAAAGAACGGAGATCTTATAGACATTTTAACTTGAATTAAGTTTTAGAAAGTGCTAATTTAAAAATCAAATCGACGCGTGTAGATTAACAAAGATTTTATACAATTGGAAGGACTGGTGATTTTAAATTTTAAAAGGCAGTGTAGCAGCTGCGTGAGTGATACACACCTGATGATGGCCATTTAGGGCCGAAACATGTAGTGTGGAGGAGGAAAAGAGGTAAGAACTACAATAAAAATTTGTTGCACTTAAGACGGTATTTATCCATATATATTGTGTGAGTGTAACAGGATGCTGAAATATAATATTGTAAGTACATGAAATTAAAGCACAGTTATGACTGTGGCTGAGCAAGTAAAAGGAGTGCTGATTAAAATTTTCTGCTTGAATAAAATAATCTCAAGGTTAGATGAATCAGATATGTGCAGCCAATTCACAGTGGACTATGGACTTTAACCTCTACACCAGCAAACCACACAAAGAAATGCTGCAATAATCNGTTAATCTACACGCGTCGATTTGATTTTTAAATTAGCACTTTCTAAAACTTAATTCAAGTTAAAATGTCTATAAGATCTCCGTTCTTTCTTTTTCAATTTTTAGTTAAAAAATTTTTTTTTCAGGGTACACGCCCTATATCTACGGTGCTGCAGCGGCCACTTCTTGTTTTTATCGCTGTTCATGCGTTGCTCAGTGTAGGCGCTCCCTGTGTGTGTCGCTGCTTATCTTTAATACGTTTTTTAACTAACTAACTAAAAATTGAAAAAGAAAGAACGGAGATCTTATAGACATTTTAACTTGAATTAAGTTTTAGAAAGTGCTAATTTAAAAATCAAATCGACGCGTGTAGATTAACAAAGATTTTATACAATTGGAAGGACTGGTGATTTTAAATTTTAAAAGGCAGTGTAGCAGCTGCGTGAGTGATACACACCTGATGATGGCCATTTAGGGCCGAAACATGTAGTGTGGAGGAGGAAAAGAGGTAAGAACTACAATAAAAATTTGTTNAACTTTGGACATAGGTGTTTTGGGTTATATCGGCATACTATAACATAAGGAACACCCTCCAGAAGTTTGGCACATTCCTCCTGTGACACCCTGTATACAGCCATCCATGTCTCAGTCTGTGTGGCCACTGGGATCAGCAATAAAGTCTTATACTGTAACTAAGACGGTTCATGGGAGTTTGCATAACATAAAACATGTGTGATCATATCAGTGAACATGAATGAAAGTGTGGCAGAACAAGAGCCTATTACATTTCCTGAAAAGTATTCTTTGTATGCAGTGGACCTAGGATGAAATAGCACATTTAAAAACACAGCTGATTATTAATATAATTAAACTTTTGTTACTGTAAGGTTTATTTATATAAAGTCGATTTTCATACTTTTTGTTAAACACAAGTTTCAAAAACATAAGATATGCATCTTATTCAGGAATGTACAGTATTTGAAAAAAAAAAATACAATGGTAATCCATCAGTGAAAAATTAAACTATACTTACTAATGGAATAATTCCTCCCTTCACTCTTTCCCATCCTCCTTCGCCATCTTCTTCCTCTTCTTTTCTCTGCTTCCTCTCCTTTTCTTTTCTTTCTTTATTCTTTTCCTTTTTCTCTTTCTTTTCTTCCTCCTCTTTTTCTGTGTTTCTGTGACATTCAAATGCATGAATCAGTGCACTAATACACATGAATCCCACAGTCAGTGCTCCTAAGAACTGACAACACTGGCACAGACCAGAAATACACGTACCTTCCAGTTCCAAAGTGCATCTATTCTAGGAAGCAGGCTATGTCATACCATGCATAGGCAACCTGTGTACATTTGAATCTCCCATTGGTGTGTGAGTACCAGAAGCATGTTGAAAACAGAATCTGGTAAATTTGTAATGATGATGTAATGTCCTATATGACTAACTGATGATGACACACCCTTGCTCCAACAGCAGGTGGAGAATCCGACTAGAAATTGGGACTAGCCAGTGTGTGTGGGTTTCACGAATCAAATACCAACCTCAGCATGTATTCATGTTAGCACCAAAATCTTATTTAATGGCAACTTCTACATACAGCATAAGAATTCTGAGAATATTAGTTTCATGCACCATATAAATATTGTAAGAGGTGACTGGTTTCCAGAAAAAGAATAACAATTAAAATCACTAGAATTCTGAGTATGTAATGGTCTTCAGCATTATATCACAGCATTCAGTAAGTGCAAAAGCATTTGGAACTGCAACCTTCAGGCAACGTGAATAAACTTCAAGTTAAGGTATAAAAATTCAGACTAATGTTACAAGCTCCAAACAACATGAAACATTTTTAGTCACACAATGGCTTCAATTCTTCTGAAAACAAACAAAAAAAAAAAAACTGACATATTAAGGCAACACCAAAACTGACCTCTTCAGGAAACGTTCTCTGACGCTGGCATATTGAGTTTCATCATCACTACTATCTGTGTCACTCTCTGAATCAGTACCCCAGTCTGTTGAATCTTCACTCCCTTCTTCATCTTCAGGTGGCTTCTACATGAAGGAAACAGAATTATTTCAAATTCTGGCCTTTGCAAGAGGCTGCGATATCATACAGGGTGTCAGAAAAATCTGCATGAGTATACACATACACAAGTAAATCATTTTAACTTGGTACCTACAGCACCAACAGTCAATGCATCTGTTGCTGTACATGGAGTTAATAGCCACTCAATTTTTCATCAGGCATCCATTATCTTAGCACTACAGGAACCTATCATAAAATTTTGCAGAAAAGATTGTATTTTATGTCATTCTCTGCCAGCAAATGTGCAAAAAGTAACAACACACCTATACATTTCTTCCCTTAAACTGCACAACAGGCTGAAACATACATATTTAAGGCTTACTAAGAGGCATGTTCAATAAGTACAGTTCCCTAGCCTGTAAAGTTTGTGTTAAGCATTTTCCTGTATGGCGAGTGGCAGCACTTGGTAGGGGTAGGTGTAACACACAAAGACCCAGTCAGTCAAATGCTACACTGCAATTAAGAAGACGTGGGAATGGCTGTGAATGCAATGCAGGCATCTAATTTCTACTGAGACAGAATTTTTAAACTTGTACCAAGATGAGACAAATGTATCAATGTTCTTGGAAATTATGTTGAAAAATAACAGTACTTCCATGGAATAAATGAGCTATATTTAACCATGTAATGACTTACCATTTAATTTGTAGACTAGAGAACCTTACTTATTGAACCTTTGTATTATTGTTATCTGTTACTCAGACAACAAAACAAATATGGGAAACTTCTGCATGGAATTTGAAGTATATTCTTCCCTTACTTACAAGGTCAAGTGATAATAATAACATGTACTCTTCTCCAAGCACAATTGGAATGATCAAGTCAAGGAGGATGAGATGGACAGGGCATGTAGCACAAATGGGAGAAGAAAAGGAATGCATATTAGGATATTGGTGGGAAATCCAAAAGGAAAGAGGACCACTAGGAAGACCAAGATGTAGGTGGGTGGACAATATTAAAACGGATCTTAAGGCGCGTCCACATTACTCATGTTCTTGCTCGCCAGGCTTGTGCTCGTCGGGAGACTCGTCTGGCTTTTACGTGTGCTCGTAAATCTTCGTCCACACTACTTCAGTTGCTTGCCAGGGTTCAGCGCGTAAGGATCCATATATTTATTCGTAGTGTGTATAGGCTGTAGTCGTATTTTAATTTACTGGCTACAGCTTTTAAATTAAAAATTTGCTTGTCTCATGACTTGTCATATCGTCCAATTACTCGCAAGCATAGCGAATAACACGAGCATGAGTAATGTGGACGCGCCTTTAGGGAGATTGAATGGGATGGTATGGATTGGATTTGTCTGGCTCAGGACAGGGAACAGTGGAGGGATCTTGTGAACATTGTAATGAACCTTCAGGTTCCGTAAAATGCTGGAAAGTTCTTGAGTAGCTGCACAATTGGCAGCTTCTCAAGAAGGGCTCAGCTCCATGAGTGAGTGAGTGATGATAATTATGTGATACAATGGTACACACAGTTGTGTTATACACATCACTCCGAATCAATCATTTCTGACATTCATTACAACATGCCTGTTAGTTATTGCCTTGAAGGAAGCATGACAAATTTTCTGCATAAATTGAGAACACATTCTATACCCTGTATGAACATTTCTTACATAAATAATATTTATGCTGTATAACCTCAGCTAATGCATTCATTCACAGGCCAGCATATGCAATGCAATGGAAGCACTCATTTAATACTTTTCAATTTCAGGACTTCCCTCATTCAGTGTTCTATTTAAAATTCCATAATTCAAAGTAAATAATCTCAGTGTTAAATCTTCTGTTTAAGATGTTTTTTTTTCTTTTAACATTCAGATCCACTGCTCAAACCTTAAATTAGGGGTTGATTATGTACACAGTACTAGGAAAATGTTACAGTAACAAATGGAACAGGGGAAAGAAAAACATTACACTCCAATTCCAATCCAGAAATCTGAAAGCATTAAATGCTTTATTTCAGTGCAGCAGACACATTTCACTGAAAATAGAACAGTTATACCTATTCAATATTTCAATTTTTCACTTTAAGTCAGTATGTTACTATCAGATATAACAGACAGGAAACAGAAAAATATTTTAATTTCTTAACACTTCGCGGACCGGTGATTTAAATATTTAAATCACCCTGGGGACCATCGTTTTTAAACCTACTACCCTAACTTGTGCACTGTTCACTTTAAAAATTAATATAAAATCTCCTAATTAATTTTATGAACTAATATTTTTGGAGAAGACTTACCAGAGTTCCTAGAAGTGCTTCAGAGTGTGATATTTCTGGAAACATTCCCCTCTGGATCTGTGGACCAACAGTCTTTCAAATTATCCTTCTTTGTAAACCCCATTAGAATGATTATTGCCAAAAATTTTTTAATTTCTGCTGAAGTGACATCCACCCACTTCAACACCTTATAGGTACTGTCGCACACCTCACGGTGTTGGAGATAGTATCTGTTGGTCTCCTGACACAACATGTCAAAGAAACTATCTCCAAAAAACAGTTCAGCTATTTCAGACACTTGCGTAGGGTCCGATGGCATTTGTCTCACCCCTGGATCACCAGTAAACTTTCCCAAAGTGGATGTTTTGTCCACTTTACCCCATGTGGCTTTCCCCGCAATGCTACCACTCGCACTTTCATCGGAGCTCTTACTGTCACTTTCACTTTCTCTTCTGGTCACAATATTTTGGGGGCCCCTGTCACTGTCACTGACACTGCCCTCGCTATCAGAAGACGAAGCAGTTGGCAAGTCAGATAACTCATCAGAGATCAAATCACAGATTTCTTCTTCTCTGAGAGCTCGCGCGGCCTTCAACTGCTTTCGTCTCTGAGCCATGTTGACACTGAGAATATCTTGCCTCACACATAGAAGCTTTGACTTGAACAAAGGGACTTTTCTTAGAGTGAGAGGGGAACAGAGAGTGGTCATGTTGCTGACTCGGAAAACAAATATTCAAAAGGTCAGCTACGCAGTACTTTTACAGACACGTGGCCACCAAAGCGAGGAATAGTGTGTTGCAACATAACGTGTCCTAAAAGCCTAAATCTAGGTGACCAGTCTGCCACGTTTAAAACCCAAACGCCTAGGCTTAGGTGTCCGGTCCGCGAAGTGTTAAGAATATTAAAATCCAGTGTCTGTAAGTACCCTTTATCAGACTACTCCACAAACATCAGGAAATGATGGATTGCAGTCAGTCATTACACTGACCTTGAATAACATTGCATTATCTGATAAAGATGCCAGGACTTACCTTCATTATTTTGGAGTCTGTGGCACTAGACTCAGAACCAGCTTTTCTAAATGATGATGGTTTTGCATCATCAGGCTCTGAATCGCCTTCACCCTCTATAAGAATGCAAAAAAGAACAGCATTAACTCTGAGGTTTTCAAGGCAGGGACAATTCAGATTGTAGTTTTCTGGATCATGGATCATGACACCATGAGGCCTGACAGGGGGTTCCAACATCTCAATCTTCTAACCTGAATATGGAAGCAGCAGGTGCTCTTCAAACATATGAGATTGCAGTGTTAAAAATATCACAATCTAAAAAACAAACATAGTTTTGGTGAAGGTAGTGATTTTTTTCTTGATTGCTTACATTTTAGATTTATTCATTAACTTTCTTACATTTGGCCTTTTCATTCCTTTTGGCCTTACCTCAGTGTCCTAGTAAACTTCAAGAGGGAATAATTCAAAATACTTCACAAATGTCAGTCATGGGGTTCAGATTGTTGATTAGAAGACAAACGGTAAATTATAAACATTACCTTTCTCTTCATCTTCTTCATCTTCGGCCTGATCAGGATTTTCTCGAAACTTTGCAATATCCAACTCAAATTCTTTGTTGTATTTACGAAGTTTCTGACGCAAAGATGACAAGGATTTTGAGTTATTTTTTGACATATTTTTCCTACATAAACAAAGACAATTAACACATTAGAAATTCAGTTACAAAATGTTGATTCTGAACTGGAAGTGGTTCTCTCACAAGACATAATTTGTGACTGAGGTACAGCAAGACTGCTAGAAACCGTAAGTTCACCAATAGCATAACAACCAAGGAAAAATTATAATTACTAAATATTACACAGTCATTAACATTTTCAACACATATCACTGCAGAAACATAGAATTTCAAGAAATTCTGGTTAAGAAAATATATGACCAACATTTAAAGAAGAAAATGTTTTCTTTAAAAAAGGGGCAGACTTTATGAGATCCTGTCACTTTATACTTGGAGGCCAAGAATTTTATCTCTCAAGACACATCTTCAAATCATAAGTCACAGAAGTCATAATTGTCATAGTTTCTGGGCTTCATTAGAAAATTTTCTGATTTTTCTAGATCATCAGTCTAACCTACCAAGCCATGTAACAAACTTCATGTCTGCAGAAACTGACATGCTTTGCGGACACAGTAACAAAGGCTAGTGAATTAAATCTCTTGTTGCACATGAAAAGAGTTCTATAATTTGGGATGTGATATTGTGCAGTCCACTGAAAGTCAACCAACATTTTGGAGGGATATGTCACCTTCATCTTCAGGGTTAAAGGGTAAGCCAAGCAAGAAGAGCTCCATTTGCTGCCTGCTTCATGCTGGTTTCATGCTTGGCTTACCTTTCAACCCTGAAGATGGAGACACTTTACTCCAAAATGTCAGTTGATTTTCACTGGATTATATGTCATTACAACCCAGATGATAAATCTCTTCATAACCACCACAAGGAGAACATCACATTCTAATATTTTCCTCATATGCATGCCTAGGTTTTTCACTGGACTCATCCAGCATCCCAATATATTCACATAAAAATGTTAATATCCAATAAATTACTTAACTCACCTTCCTTCACGATCTTCCCAAACATCATTTATAAAATCTTCCATTTCAATAAGACAGCGCAGATAGAAACGTGGAGTCTGACCTTTCTCTTCCTTATTGATTACTGGAAGTGCTTTAGTGTATGCCCGCATCAGGTCTTCAAAGCCTAAATTAATTTATAAGAATTCCAGTACATATATGACACTTTGAAAACATGTCGGTTGCTTTACAAGCATTGACCAAAGGAAACCACTGTACCACACTAAACCACTATGTACAAGGTAACAAGTTACACTTACTTGTTAACATACTGCTCATATCTTTTATCTTTTTAAAGTTTCTAATTTGTTTCATTATATTCGTGAGGTCTTCATAACGCTTCTCCTTGGCAGAACGGACCACTCTCTTTGTTTCTTCTTCTTCATCACTGAACTGAAAATTGAGAATTACCTAGTGTATACTGTCAGTTTTTCCTCATCAGATACTTTATTGCTTAAGTCAACCTGTTTGGTCATATTTCTTGTATGAAAAAAGTGAAGACTGAGATGACATATAAACCAACTGACAGAAATCTAACAAACTGAGGGCCAGCCAACATTTTTGAACAACACAGTACAGCAACTGTCCATGTATGTGCCAGGCACTTCAAATATCACAAGCATGGCAAACAGACATGGATTCATGTGGCTAATATGTCATATGATTATGTGATATGGTGGGCTGAATAATTCTTAGAATTAACAGTGTTCTTCCAAGTACAGAGTTTATACAGCATCAGAAAGCCTGATGACTGGAAGGATTTGGAAAAGAAGTCATCATGGTCTATCCTCATGCACTACTTTAGTGTTTTCTTGAAAAGACAGGAAAACCATGAGAAACTTCAATCAGGTCAACCAATCTGTGGATGAAAATTCACACCCAGGTTCTACCAGATATGAGGACAGCAAAATACTTGATTGGAAGTTGATGTGATTAGGTGTGGAGCTGGTATATTCATCAGTGCTGGGGACTAACATAAAACTTGAAGATTATCATGTTCTGGGGTGTAAACACTGTAAAGTAACTCTCCCATCATATGGATGAAGGCAGTATATTCCCCTGAAATGTCTCTAAACTTCTATGAGAACAAATGCCAATACATCCCTGATGATGGTATTTCATAGTCACCAGTGTGTGAACCTCAGATTAAACTGAAAACGCATTAATGCATGTATAAGACATAACATCCCCACCATGTGACAGAATTCTAGTATCCTTGATCGTCAACCTGCATACAGTTCATGTTCCAAATCCCATTTGTATGTCACACTATTCTTAAGCCACGATACTAAAAACAACAATCACAAACCAAAGGTGAATGCAAACAAACACATTCTGGCATTATGTGAGCGCTTCCCGGAAACCGTTAACTCTGAATAGCATACCCTCCAAAAAGTGACCTAATCTGGCACGAAATTAATAATTATTATTGAAACGAATTATTGTCCCGTTTGTATGTGTGGTTATTCGTAACTCGAGCGTTCATATATAGAGGGCCATGAGTACTTATTATAATTTACCTCTTGCTCCAGAGGCCGTATTGTACATACACCGTTCTGCTTATTCAACTTACCGTAAACGTTGTAGCTGGCTGCCGTTGTACCTGCTCTTCCTCTGATGAAGTCTCAGACTCGGAGTCTGAGCCGGTAGCAAAGAATCGGCTGCTGCTCATGTTTCTATATCAACTTAACAAACACCAACTGAAAATATGGATACATTGTTTCGTTACCTTGGGAAAAACCAAATTACGAGTTAACATATTTGTCACAGCCAAATCAACTGAACTTCGTAAAACCACTACACAAAAAGAAAATACATAACTTAACAAAAAAAACATGACCTCAATACAACAAAGAAGTCACTGTTTCAATGCCATACCTACAACAATATTAACTTTCTAACATCAACTTCAGCTTATAACACCCACATGCGACCACATCCGCTAAACATCACGATCTGACGGATCGATCGGAAGGATCGGAATCAGATCGATCTGACGTCACATCCGAACTTAGGGTGGCAACTGGTAAGCAGATACGGAAACATGCGTAGTCGTCATGTACGCATACTGCCACCTATACGCAGATATGAGTCTTCTCCGGTGTGGTCCTCATCTATACCAATCACAATACACGTTTCATGTTCACGCCCGGGCAACTGAATGTTATTGGATGGCAGCATAGCCGCCGTAACTAGATACAAAATGGTCTCCAGCATACAACTCTAGCCGACAAGTCAATCGGTAAGAAGGTGTGCTAAGATTAAGATTGCAATTAATGATTATTGAAAATCAGATATTTGTTCATCTTCACCAGTTCAGTACCGGACAGAATATGGCAAAAATAATATATTGTCACGTGTTGGGTGTATAACGCGACAAGTAACTTTACGCCGTATTGGATCTAGCGAATTTATTGCACATTCGCTCTTACATTTACACAGTTTACAATCTCACAACTACTGCCATCTGCAGTATCACACTTACTAGTCACTGCCATGAACCCGATACAACCTGACTCGGCGACTGCTAGATTGCAACTGACAGGTTCCTCTCTAGTAACTGGCTCAATAGTCATGTCTGCTACCGCACTGACAACACAAAAAACAGTTACGCGGTAACAACCACTGTTGCGTAACGTCGTGTTTACAGGCGTTGCTGCGGAACGCTGCCGGGAGTTGTTTATCGCTGCGTAGTAACCGTGGTGTCCCCAGTTACGTCACTGTGGGAAGTGCTGTTACGTCACCGCGGGAGGCGACGGAGTGTGTACCGAGCGTTTAGTAATAACGGAAGGGGTTAGGGTATGTGACGTAACTCGCGAGACCGCAGAACGTGACCCCTACTTCCCGTTGCGCCGTCCACGTCACAATATATTACAAAAATATAATGAATACTGAAAATCTGGTATCTATTTATTTTCCAGTTCAGTACTGGATAGGACTAAGTAGCAGACATGGCCGTGCCATAGCTCAAACGGTTAGTCGCTGGTTTCCCACCACGGCGGCCCGGGTTCGATCCCGGGTCTGGTCAAGTGGGATTTGTGGTGGACAAAATGGTTCTGGGGCAGGTTTTCTCCGAGTACTTTGGTTTCCCCTGCCATTCTTTATTCCACCAATTGCTCCACAATCACCCTCACCTATCATCTGGGGCTGGTACAATAGGCGAGGAGTGGCCGCAGTACAAGGGAGTTAGTCCCACCCCACTAGCAATAAAAAAAAAAGCAAAAATAATAATACATCTTTAAAAATGCAAAGATTATTGAAAATCTTATATTTTTTGTTCACCAGCACAGTACTGGATAAGATTATATGGCAAAAATAACATATCTTAAAGAAATATATTGAATACTGAAAATGTAGTATCTATGCATCTACCACTTCAGTTCAGGAGCTAAAACTGAAGAGGGGGAATCAAAAGAAGGGGTATGTAATGAAGGATAAGGAGGTTGTGGAAGTGACTGTGCAGAAGAATTGGAGCCACATTGAACTGCCAATCTGTTAAGGCGTACCCTATCAGCTGTAATGAAATAAAGTTCTGCAAAATATCTGCTGCACAAATATTCAGGGTGCAGAATTCCAGCAGAATCAATAGCACAGGATATCTCAACTCTTCTTGCCCACATCATAGCCCTGTAAAAGTATTACCTATTGTCTCAAAACCTTGATACAGTTGATCAGTATGTATTACAAACATGGTACATGTGCTACATTGTGGGGTTATGTTTAATACATTTAATGCAGATATTGGGTAAACCTGATTTCTTCTTTGGATTAAGCAACACATAGTAAAGCCAATTTTTTTCCTTGGCACTACAGCCCCAGTGGGCCTAGGCCTACCTCCATGAACTTCTCTGTTCATAATAAAGCCATTACATCATGAATTAAAACAGACATACCATGCTAAATCCCTGGAAAAGCGGAAGAATTTCATTCCGCTTTTCCCACCGGATGACACTCACCCAGGTGAAGAGAATATTTTCTTTCTTTCCATTTATACTGCAAGAAACAATACAGACATTTTATCACAGTACACTTCAGGTTTCTTGAGATTCTACAGATTCATGGACCAACTTCAGAAAGTGTGGCATAATTTATTTATGCGATGCGAGGCATGTTTGCAAACAGAAGGGGGCGACTTCCAACACCCGTTATAAAGTACAGTAAGTTTGTGTTATCTTTTTACAGTATTCCTATAAATGTGTGCATGTACACAAAAAATTATGTGAGAGAATCAGCAACATGACGGCAATCTCGCTAGTGGGAAAGGGCACAATAGTCATAGAGAAACGATCCATCTACTCTGTGCTAGCGAGAGAGTGCATGTTTATCGGCGATGATGACTCATTCCGCTATCGGAAGTTACAGCAGCAATCTGTGAGAAATGTTGTATCCAACCCACGCTGCTCCCCGTTTCCTCGATGGTTGAACACACTGTATTGTGTAATTTCACATGGGCATAGCTTCTAGACAAACCATAAAATTGCTGTGCACTTGTTAATAATGGGTCTTTGCTAATTATGTGAATCTACTGGGTGATAATCTAGATACCATAAGGTTAAAAACACAAACGTTAATTGACGCCAGTAAGGAGATTGGTCTGAAGTTGCTGTCACATCATCAGAATGCAGGACAAAATCAAGACATAAAGATAGCTAAAAGATATTTTGAAAACGTAGCACAGTTCATATATTTGGGAACAACAGTAACAAACCAAAACCTGATTCAGGAGGAAATTAAGAGGAGATTGAATTTTGGTAATGCTTGCTACTATTCAGTCCAGAATCTTTTGTCTTCTCAGCTGCTGTCTAAATACACAAAAATTAGAATATACAGAACTATAATTTTTCCTGTGGTTCTGTATGGGTGTGAAACTTGGTCTCTGACATTAAGGGAGGAGCATAGACTGAGAGTGTTTGAGAACAGGGCGTTGAAGAGAATATTTGGATTGATGAGAGATGAAGTGATGGGAGATTGGAGAGAACAGCATATGAGGAGCTTCATAACTTGTACTCTTCACCAAGTATAATTAGAATCATCAAGTCAAGGAGGATGAGATGGGCAGGGCATGTAGCACTGCTACCACTAGGAATACCAAGATGTATGTGGGTGGACAGTATTAAAATGGATCTTGGAGAGAGAGGATGGGATGGTATGGTCTGAATCAGTCTGGCTCAGGAAAGGAACCAGTGGAGGGCTCTTGTGAACACGGTATTGAACCTTCGGTTTCCATGAAATGCTTGCAGTTGCAGTTAGTTTTACTGTTGTTACAGGTTAATCTTAACAGATACGCATAAGCTGGCTTCTGCAGACACACTTGGGTGAAAGTATCAAACATTTCGTCAAAATCCACCTGAAATGTAATCAGACAATGCATTGCTGTAAGGAACAGGATGTAGGATGCTGTGCTGTACAATTGGAATCTAAATTCTTCAGTATGTATGTACTTTTGGATGTGTGCACAACATCCACATATGATTTTGAACAACTCTTAAATAAATGTTCATTCTTGTGGGATATAATACTGTTTAGTCCAATGAAAGCCAACAGCATTTTAGAGGAACACATCACCTGCATCTTCAGGATTAAAGAGTAAGCAAAGCAAGATACCAGCATGAAGCAGGCAACAACGAACCTCTGATTCATGCTGGCTTCTTTCTTGCCTTATTCTTTAACCCTGAAAACTGAAAAAATAGTTCTCCAAAACATCAGACTTTCACCAAACTACATGGGGATATGTTCCAGAAGATATACATCTTCACAGCCATGAATGTGAACCTCAGATCCAACACAGGAGTGCATTTTTATTTCCATAACAGTAATTGATCATCTGCATACTGTATATAATGTCAAATGGCAAGATGACTATGACTGTATTAGTCCAGTTTCCTTTTTGTTGTTGGTCAGTATAGAAGAATCTGTTTCTTGTCTGTTTGATTTCTTGCTTTGCTTACTCTTCAATCTTAGCGGCCTCCGTAGTCTAGAGGTAACGTTCCCACCTCATGACTCATGGTACGTGGGTTCAAACCCAGCGGAGGTTGTGGAATTTTTAAGGGCGGAAAAATTCAGGGAACAAGTCCTCCGGAAGGGACTTTAAGACGTGGGTCCCGTGTCGTAGCTTTACGGCACGTAAAAGAACCTCATATCTCCAAAGGAGGTCACTGAGCTAAGTTCAAGGACATTTCCCGCCCAACAGTACTCTCTAACGCCTCTGATAGATGGGGGAAGCATTATAGATACCGCCAAGCCAGTAGAGGCCGAACTCGCTGGCTCGGTCGGGACTGATGGTACGCACCAATATCGGTAGGGTATAGAGACTGGTAGACTATCATAGAGGGAAGCACAATGGACCAATACTGGTCTCAGTCCATGGGGAAACCCACCCTCTCCAATAACTAACTAACTACTCTTCAATCTTGAAGATGGAGGTGATATTTTCCTGAAAAATGTTGGTTGACTTTCAGCAGACTACATGTCCCAGAAGACAGAACTCTTCATAACCATCACTGTGAGAACCTCAAATCATATTAGAGTACTGAAACAAGTTAATGTTAATCAATTATCTTAAACTCCAAACAGAATTTTCCACCTGTGATGACATAAATACTGATTATCTTACTGAAAGTTACCATGAACAATATATAAATTCCCAGCTGACATTATGTAATCTCACATCAACTGTTAACTTCGCAACAAGATATGAAAATTACTCCATAACTGCAAGTGATAATCCCCATAGACAGCTCCAGAAAAAATTTTTGTTCTTTTAAACTTGTGGTGAACATATTATCTTATGGTGTTTAGCTCTTAGTAATAAAATCTTAAAACAAAATTCTAATGATCACAATGACATACTTGCAATATAACCAGTGTTTTCTGTAATATGGTTGCAGTCAATGCACAATTATGGTTTTTAGGCTGTAGTTTCATGACTGCATTTTTGATCTGTTTCTTGTGCAAGGTGCTTGAGAAGTTTAGAAGGGAATGTTCAAATCAGAATCCAACATAATCCATCTTTATGTTGATACGAAATACTGATATTCTGTTCTTACATTGTGGACAAGATTCTGAATAATACTTTTGTGGGGGTCTTGAACCCACAGTAATGAATGGTTCTTCTTGATTTTCCTTGACTCCTTCTGGTAGACTTCATTTCACACAGGTTGATAAAAAAACACTCGAAGCTTGTATGAGAATATATCTAGCTCAAAAAATGGATTCTGCAAGAACTACATCAAAATTGAAACAAAACTGCAGTCATGCACTTTTTTTTCAGCTATGTGATCCAGTAGTAAATGAGACTAGTATCTTCAGTACACAATGGTGCCCTTGATCCTAAGTAGACATTTGTTTCAGGAAAGGCTTCAGTGTATGTGAATGTCACCAAATTGTCACTAATCCTGCTCCAGTCCCAAAGTTTACACATCTGCCATGTTATTACTGGTCATAGCACATTAAAAAATTACATTGTTAGAGCAGCCTCCAATGACATGACGTTTATACCAGTTTTATTGAAAGTCGGTCATTTAATTCCAAACTGACACGATCTCCTAAGCATACTTTCTTTCTTTAAACTTGATTCCACCAATTGTTTATTCAGCGGTCCATGCAAGGACAGCCAAGAGCATATTATGTGGGTCTAAAATTCAGTGTATGGCTGCATCATTAATCACATCAGCCTCTTACAATGGAACGAGGGACAGTCTCCAAAACACTGGATATTAACTAGTCTTCATAAGGCTGATCACTTAAGAAGACTGCATTGTATACCGTCACCAAGAAGGCTTCACATCATGTACACTGATGTGTCAGTAGAGGCTTTTGACATTAGCAGGGGCTTAGTGCTGGTTATATGGTGATAGAACAGGTCATTTACACACAGGCTCACAATAGCATGGTAAGTTAAAAATACTCCATATGACAGCAAATACTATAGCTAGGCATGTGAAATTTCATGTGGTCTTGGATCATAAATGTATATATAGACTTTTACCCGAAACACTTCAGTTAAAACATTGTAAATATAGTAACATGAAATTTTAATAAGATTGTGCAAAGCAAGAACAGTAGTTATATACTATTAACACCTTTAGATAGCTGTAAGGGTTTAACCTTTATCATCTAGGAATAGGAGATATTAAATCGCCTGGTACTATAGGGCCGGCAGCCAGACTTAACTGTGGAGTAATAGCATTAGCACTGAAACGTGTAGCGGTAGCGTAGTTGGTTGAGGGCCTATGCTACAAGCCAGAAGGTCGCGGGTTCAAGTCCCGATGAGGTCATTGGATTTTTTCAATTGACCTCATCCTTCCAGCCACACTATGGCCCAGGGTTGACTCAGCCTCTAACGGAGTACCAGGAATTAATTAAATAATTTTCCTGGGGAGTAAAACGCGGCCGGCCCATAAGGCCGACAACCTTACCGCCATCTTTGAGCCGATTGTCTAGATAATGTGGGAACCTCAATGTATCAGAACCCTATGGGCCTTCACGGCCTGGTACAGGGATAGCTTTACTTTTTTACTGAAACGTGGAATGCTTGCTTAGCCAGGTGGGCTGGATACACGTGCTGTTCCTGTAGTGCAGCACATAGTCTACAGTTAAGGAGAACCAAGCATCATAAGTTTCCATAAAACTTACTGTTGGGTAAAGTATGATGTCTGTACAACATCAAAGGGCTCAAAATCCCTCCATTCCATTTAGTTTATCAGGTTATATACTCTGCCAGTTCATGTAACCTCAAGTGGTTGGTGCATGCTGGAAAGGAAAATATATTGGAGATATTTTTTTTCCTTTCTCTTTAGAATTTCACATCAGGAACTAATTAATTACTGTAATTTTATTTTAAAGAGGAATATAAACCAAATTACAGGCAAGTATGGCAGACAGTTGAAGAATTCAAGATAACTGACATTTTCAAAATCTGCAGTATGGTGTTGGTTCAAGATGGTCTGAAAGCTGCGATCATAACAAATTCTTACATCTGAAATGAATACAAAGGACACAAATTAATATCAATGCTAAAGCTCTTCTTGCTTCATTGTCAGTTTGAAATATGTTAGCAGAGTTCAGTTCCAAATATAGTCTAAAAGTTTAATAATCTACTCTAGGGAATCATAATAATATAATAAGAAATAACTGATTAAGCAATTCTGATAGTCTATCATTGTGCCTCAGCTATATACTCAGAAAAGAACACATATGTAACTTTCTGTATGTTGCAACCACTATAGTAGATGAATAGAGGTGTTTATAAAACTTTACTTATCAAAATCTTGAGTAAGACAACATTTTAGCTGGCTGTACTGTTAACAGAATTAGAGAATTCCTATGCAGTGACTTTTACACACTATATCATCTACTACAAGAGAGGACAACACCATACACTGGTGGAGAAAAAGACGTACAGACAAGGGACAAACATAACAACAATAGGCTTACATATAGAAAACAAAACAACTGACTGCTACAATATAAAAGTCCAAAGAAAGGATCGAAATATACTGTCTGGACAAGCAGATGATGCTCTAGTGAGGTATAAAAAGAATTTTACAAAATTATAAGAAAAAGAAAAAAAAACAAAGAAAAATAAATTCAAAATTTTAATGAATTCTAATAGAAAGTAAATTACAGTGTACAGTAATTCAACTAATGCTAGCTAGATTGTGACTACAACATTAATATCATAGAATATTGCAGTCAGTGAATGAGTGATATTCAATACAGTTCAATAGTTTCGCAAATTAAGATACCTGATGTTGGCCAGTTGGGGCTGAAATATGTTGTAAAAGGGAAATATTAATATAGTTGCACTGTTGATGGAACTGTATTATTAACACTGTGTGTAAAAGTTATGGAATGCAACAGGATGCTTAAACACAATATTCCTACTCAGTAAATTTATCTTATTTAGCTACTTCTTTTATGATGAGTTACAGAATTTATTGATTAAAGGAATTATTGATAACTAATCATGAAGAATGTGGGAGGACTTGATTGTGGCATATTTCATGATACCATACTGAACTCTGTGTGGAGAGATTAGAGAAAGCCATGACAGACATCAGTCATTACAACCTGTACCTCTCACATACTGCACACAGTAGTGTAGTTGGTTGAGGCACTATGCTACAAGCCGGAAGGTCATGGGATTGAATCCCGATGCGGTCATTGGATTTTTTAAATTTACCTAATCCTTCTAGCTGCACTATGGCCCTGGGGTCGACTCACCCTCTAACATAAATGAGTACCAGGAATATTCTTGGAATATTCTTCGGGGTAAAGGGCGGCCGGCACATAAGGCTGACAACCTTACCACCACCTATGATCCGATTGTCTAGAAAATGTGGGAACCTCAACATCTCACAACCCTATGGGCCTCCACGGCATGTTACATGGATACATTTACTTTTTTTTTACTTTACTTTACTTTACTTACCACGGACTAGAATGGTGTGCCAGTTAGTGCTAGAAAATTACTTTTTTTTAAATAATCACATTAAGAAACAAATGAGAGTTCTAATTTTGTATCTAATGGTGTTAGACTTACATAGTATATATTTTTAGTAATACCCCCCAATCTTCAGGGTTGAGCTTGTATCTACCTACAAGACTACACAGTGTCATAACCCAGAGGATTGTAATCTGAATAAAAATGTAATTCACTCATTCATACAGCTGCTCCAAACCTCCATAACAGCTTTAATCCTACAACATATTTAAAAGGAAAGAGTTTGTAGTGACAGAAATAATTATTTCTCATATCAAACTCTGAATAGCAGAACAACGTTTTAAAGAAGGTTGCAGAACATTGAATTTGAAAACTGTTGGTGTAAGAACAGCATTCTGGGAATTTTATTCTCATTCTCACAGAAGACTTTGGGACTTATGTGTATGAATCACTTTAACAATGCTGTAACTGCAGAGATTATTTAGCACAGGATAATATGGGAGAATGACCAGCAATAAATTTGAAAGAATTTGGGACAAAGATGTTATGACCTTTTCAGGTACTATCCAGGCATTTGCTTGGTAGTACTAGAGGAAACGATTTTAGTCAGAATAGTCAATGTTCCTGCTGAGATTTGAACCTGGTACCTCTTGCTTCATAGGTCATAAGTGTTTTGGAACTTCATTATTTGTAATGGAATTTTTGTTTTTAATTTGTAGTGTCAGACTTGCATTTCTGAAGCAGCTTGAATTGATTATGTATATATGATGGGAATAAATAAAAGTTATACTAAAATATGATTGATTTATCACATTCAGAGGGCTTGCTAGTATCAGTCATGTGGATGTTACATATTCAGGCTCTTGTCAACATGGTTATGAAACTTCAGGTTCCATAAAATGCAGACATTTTCTTGACTAGCTCAGCTACTGTTAGCTTCCAGCCCCCTATGTGGCCCACCCAGCCTCCTATCCAATGGATACCAGAGACTTTCCCCACAGGTGAAGTGCCAGGGACATGAAGCTGACCACTCACCTCCAATCAGTGTTGAGGTCAAGAATGGTGGAGCTACACATCCAACCCCAGTATCTTCATGGCATAGTGCTTAATTAATTAAGCACAAGGACAACTTTACTTTACTTTTTATAAATTTTTAACTGTGGACTGTATTACTATCTAAGCAGCTACATTACACATCCTTCATGCACTATTCTTTAATTTGTTAGATACATCAGGGGACACTGTTTTACTGCATTAGATATGGCAAAGGGTTATATTAACATTGACTGATTACATAGAAGATACAATAATTAGATTCCAATCAAAGTAAACTTAATTTGTATGAACATCTTGAGTGAGGACTAGAGAATATTTCACATTATGATTTGTATAGCTCAGAGTTCCTACATAAGCATGTGGGAAACTAGAAATACTTGTAGAATTCTGGTGGGTACGACAAAGATCATGCCGGTCATGGTAGCCAAGCGGTCTAAGGCATGCACTGTCTTCGCTCACTCGGAAGCTGAGATCGTGGGTTCAAATCCCACTCAGGGCATGGATGTTTGTGTGCGTTTTTCTGTGTTTGTCTACAGGCAGAGGCCTTGCGATGAGCTGATTACTCGCCCAAGGAGTCCTACCATATGTGTAAGATCTAGTAAACCGAAGTGAACGGAGAAGTTCATGGAGGTAGGCCTAGGCCCACTGGAGCTGTAGTGCCAAGGAAAACAAAAAGACAAAGATTACGGCCAAATGAATCATTCAGCAATGTGTTGTGAGGATGTGGACTGGACTGGCTAAGGAGTGGATCTTGTGGTAAGAGAATGTGTTAGTATGAACCTGAGTATTAATAAGTTGTCTTTGATCTCATGCTTTACCAAGAAGGATGGGGATTAGAAATACTCACCATGAGCTTAACGGTACAAGTAACTACCATAGCTGTAGGGGTAGGCGTAGCTGCCATAGTATCCATAGCCATATGGGGAGACAAGGTACTGAGGCAGAGCACTCACGCTGGCCAGCAGAGCCAACAGTGCAGCAAGCAGAACAAACTGAAAAATCAATGACACTTCATTCCAAAATGGGAAATATTTTTAGGGCTGTCTACCATGCTTATCTTTCTATGGTGAGTCACATTCAGGAACAAAGCTCTAGGTGACTAAGGCAGTACAGCCACCATGGAGCAAATGTCAAATTTTAGGTCAACTTACTTTTAGTTACATTCCTTTTAAAACTATATTTTGAACTGACTTTGTAATATGTTGACAATCTTTGACAAGTGCAGCTGAGTTGATTTTATACCTTTTACTAAATAAACAAGGCTTTAAAAATTTTAACAGATGTTGGTGAGATACCTAGCTAGATATGTCAGGTATCAGGGTTCAGTTCCCATCAAGGGTAGGTACTCTTTTCTGCCACATGCTGATCATCTATGAAGTCTGGTGTGTCTCACATCTAAGGGGCAATATAGAATTTTCCCAGGCATAAAGTAAATGAGATACTAATGCAACAATTTCTCCCTATGTAGTACCAATATCCAGAATGAGTGCAGCCCCATCTGTGCGCCTTTGTGATGGAGTATTCAAGCACTGGGAGGACACACCTTTCACTGTATTGGTGAGATACCAAAGGGTGCACTTATGCCCATAAAGATATAAGCTACAGCCAACGAATCAGCTGTCAACTTGTAATAGGCCATCGGATGTAAATAACGTGGTCATTCATGCTATGTGTTAGATACCACCACCTCTATTATGTAATGAAAACGGTAATTTCTGTCTTCAGCTGGTTATGACTGCAGGGAACATTGTCTTTGCATCCTCATGTTCTCAGTCCCCCCCTCCCTCACTCCATACCCTGAAGGATAGTTCTAGATAAATGTTGGTAGAAAACCAACAGAACTGACCCCTGCAACCTAAGAACCACAACATTTGAGTGTACTGGGCCACCAAAATAAGATTCACCTTGATGTTTAATAGAACAGAGTTGCTATTTGTTATTTAAAAAAAAAAGAAGCCTCATATAAGCGTTTGATAGGAGTTTGTGTCAGTTCTAGGCAGCGCCATAGTTCAAGCGGTTAGTCGCTGGCTTCCAACCGCGGCGGCCAGGGTTCGATCCCGAGTCTGGTCAAGTGGGATTTGTGGTGGACAAAGTGGCGCTGGGGCAGGTTTTCTTCAAGTACTTTAGTTTCCCCTGCCAATCTTCATTCCACCAAACTCTCCATCATCATAATCACCTGGGGCAGGTACAATAGGCCGATCAGTTGCCGCCGTGCCGAGTGGACTCAGTTGGACTCCACCCCCCACTAAGCGAAGTCAGTTCCGGGCCATTTCAAGACACGGTGGCTTGAAAGTTGTTTGGAACTATATCCTGTCCATTAATCACTTCAGGGAATGAAACCAAGTCTTTCTTACCTTAGGACGCAAGATTGCTTATTTAATGACTGCGCCTGATACGTACCAGCTTGAACATTGTGTTGAGTTGTCTTCCACAGCTGGGTGAAGATTGCCATGCCGGAACAAACCAGCAACTTATATAGGCACCCCAGCAATTGACCTTCATGCCCAGACCACATCTCACCTTGACAACTGCTGCGTAGTTACGCCACTATCTGCCCACACCTCTCTTTGCTGCTCTACAGCTCCTAAAAACCCATCTTTCAGAAATCAAAATACACGAACCCTGTTGTAAAATTATTTTTCTTCCACCCCGCCGCCCAGAATACCTTTTGAATATTATTGCCTCTTTCCAGATACCCATTTGACCTCCATCTACACGCAGGAAAATCCTTTTAATGTTTTGCGTCAGCAATTTTGCTTCTCAACACAAGCGAAATTCGTGTAATCATACTCAACTATGCAACTGGCATACGTTATGAAGCAGTAGCTCTTCTTAAATAAATATGAGCAACGCTGTTATGTCTCTTACCTCAACATGCTAAAACAATTCGCCTTTACGCAGTTTCAATAGTCGAGGCCTCTAAATTTCGTGCGCCTCCATAGCGTTCATAAACTACGGCACGGAAACCACTGTTTGACTAACAGGAATTTGTGCCTCCGCGTTTGCAGAAGTTCTGTGATTGAGTTCTTATGAATGGACTGTTGTCAACCGTGGCCCACTAACTCAATGAATAAGACCGCCTTCTTGAGACGACGGATATTTTGTGTAGCATCCCCAAAGAACCTAAAAATTGTACTTTATGACTTTTGTACCCCAAATCTTACTTGAGCAAACAGGCTTGCAGCTGAGAGTTATTCGATTTTTCTTTCAGCTACCATGCAGCCAGTCTGCAAATTTAGAGATAATCGATTTTCGATTTCAAAACGTGAGGCATAAACTGAAAAGGTGCCTGGCTGATTAACTATTAGAACCTGCAGGTTCAATACTGCTGGCATCCAGAGCCAGCTCATTCATTTCCCTAGGGGTACTGATTTTTATAAACCAATTTTCTTTTTATGGCTTCAAATGCATTCTTTCCACGAAGATCCCTATCAAAATTCTGTATGGACGTACTGTTTCACCTAGAGTGACTTGAGAAAATCGCGATAGCCAGTAACCCGGCCGAGATTCAAAATGGCTACTTCTTGAATTCCTGAATATAATTACAGAATGACGTGTCCATTTTACAGCGACAAACTTGGGCGTTTATGTTCAAGCCAAAGTATCGGGGTCGTTCAAAGACAAGACAATTGTGTCCAGACAGACATTTTGGAACAAGGAACTGGATACATGGCATTCGTGACCACAGATAACCGCTGCCTCAACATTGATATTACTAAATAATGCTCGTCATTCAACACAACTAGAAGCTAGTTCCGTCCTACTACGAGGGAGAGTCAGTAAATAGTCACAAATGGACATAAAACGTACAGCATGTGATATTCAAACCTGCGAAAAACATTTATTTCTCGACATACCATCCACCAACACTGATACACCTGTCGCATCTCTTTACCAATGCGGTGAGTGACAGTTCGTGTGAAAGAATCAGAAAATGGGAGACCTGTCCAATTTTGAAAGTGGATTGTTGGTGCCCGTTTAGCTGGAGCATCTGCGACAAAAACTGCCAGAGTATTAGGTGCATCAAGAGCAACAATTTCTAATGTTATGTCAGCATATAAAAATCATAGGAAGACAACATCAGCGAAGAGGAACAGTGAGCAAAAATAAAAAACCGACAGAAAGAGATTGTCGTACGAGGTTTATTTCGAGAAATCACAGAACTACTGCAACACACATGAACTGCAACAGAACTGAATGTTCATTTTGAAGACCCTGTTCAAAAAAAAAAAACTTTCCGACGTGAGCTTCACAGGTCCGACGTCCATGGCGGGGCTACAGTTGCTAGACCTCTGATTACTGAAAGAAATGCTCATATGTGTAAATAATGGTGTCCCAACCATAAAACCTGGACATCAAACAAAAGGAAACGGATGCCTGATATGATCAGATGAGTCGTCCTTCATGCTATTCCCTACATGAGAAAGAGTTTATGTTTGGAGAACAGCCAAAGAAGCCTACATTCCGGAGTGCGTGGTACCAACAGTGAAACATGGGGTATGTTCTATGATGGTTTTGGCAGCAATATCGTGGTGTTCTGTTGGCCCCACTGTTACCCTTCATGGCCGAATTACTGCAAGGGAGTGCGTGAACAGGTTGCGTAATCAGGTGCATCCCATGATCCAAATGTTATTTCCAAACAACGATGCAGTTTTCCATGAAGATACTGCCCCCATTCACACAGCTGAAACTGTTCAAACATGATTTGAAGAGCATAAAGGTGAACTTCATCTTCCCTGGCCCGCACAATCACCAGATTTGAACATCACTTAGTTTTGGAGACTAGAGTGGGGAACAGATTCCAACCACAATGTCTCTGAAGCAACTTGAAGACGGTCTTCTAGAAAAATAGTATAAAATTGCGCTACACACTGTTCAAAACTTGTAAGTGTCCATTCCAAGGATTGTGGCTGTACTGAAGGCAAAAGGTGATCCAACATCATATTAAAGTTGGGAGTTGGTTAAGGAGTGAAAATGGCGGCTTACCTTAATCTAGTACCGTGACTTCAGAATGCATACATATTTTGCTCTACTTCCTTCACCTTCCTTGATTACCTGAATTCTTGACACGTGATATACATTAACTGGCCAACTGCTTTGCACTGTTATGAAACGTGTTCGATTCTTGGAAACCGAATTGTTGCGGGCCACACCCAACGATGTGATGTAATCAAATCTCTACATGGTGATGGAGCATCATGAAGGTTCCGAAGGCCAGTGCAGTCATTAAGCCTCGTCTGTATTCAAGCTAAATCTTATTTTTACATATGGGGTGTGGCCGGCCGATTGCCTTGCCAGGAGGGATTTCCCGCCCTGAACCCGGATATTTTGTTCAAGACCAAGGTCATGATAACTGGCCCGTGTGATTNTAAAAACCTGGAACCGCAGAATAACTCGCACTAGAAGTTATCAAGAAATTTTGACTGTGCATCAGATCGGTCTATCAGTGTGACACGTAATCCTGAAACACGGCTCATCTTTTACGGCCTATGAAAGAATCCCTCCAAATTCCAGTTCTTGTCCGATGCCGTGAATATGTTACTGTAATGAGGTCGCTATGAATAGGACGCGGACTGGAAGATTTTATGTTTGTTGGAGCAGCTATTGGTTCGCTTGTTGAGGATTCTTGTGGGGGGGAGGGAGTTGGTTAAGGAGTGAAAATGGCGGCTTACCTTAATCTAGTACCGTGACTTCAGAATGCATACATATTTTGCTCTACTTCCTTCACCTTCCTTGATTACCTGAATTCTTGACACGTGATATACATTAACTGGCCAACTGTTTTGCACTGTTATGAAACGTGTTCGATTCTTGGAAACCGAATTGTTGCGGGCCACACCCAACGATGTGATGTAATCAAATCTCTTCATGGTGATGGAGCATCATGAAGGTTCCGAAGGCCAGTGCAGTCATTAAGCCTCGTCTGTATTCAAGCTAAATCTTATTTTTACATATGGGGTGTGGCCGGCCGATTGCCTTGCCAGGAGGGATTTCCCGCCCTGAACCCGGATATTTTGTTCAAGACCAAGGTCATGATAACTGGCCCGTGTGATTCCAGTTTCAGTAAAGGCGGACAAATCTTTTTTTTCCCCCACCGCTTTAGTTACATTTCCAACATTCCTGAAACTCGCTTTCATTTTACGAACAAGGGGGCAAGGAAAGAGCTGAATTTACACATGATACCAGTCAAAGAAGTGAAGTTATACACATAAATTTTGTACTTTAACTGAAAAATAATATCAGCAATATTGCATTTGTGTTCAAGGATTGAATTATTTAGCTTCCTGCGAGTCGGTATGAAAAATTAGGCTTCTACTTTAAAAAATTTAAATGCCTATAAAAAGCGTGTCTCATTTTAAAGTTTATTATGTATAGGCCGTTCCCATATTCCCATAACCTAGAAAGTTTTAAAAAATTACTCTCTCCAACACATCCACGGTCGTCCTAGATGTTTTAAACATTTATGAACTTTCGCTTACTATAGTTTCGACACAGGAGTTTTCCACTCTTCCTGGAGGTTTCAACCATGTTATTGCAACGGTATACACAATGGTCGAGAACATGCTTAAATTCAATATATGTAATATCGGCTGTGTTATGCATCAGAATTATGGATGTTCGCACACACATGAAAATGAAGTGAAAAGGGTACAGTACAAATAGCAGAGATAAGTCGTCTGAGGGCAGTAGCCGACTACCGGCTACAATACAACTGAACTAGCGTATAATGCAGATATAGTAACTATGTAAAGGTAAGGTAAAGTTGTCCCTGTGCTTAACTAATTAATCACTACGCCATGAAGGCGTATGGGGGAGTGGACGTATAGATCCACACTTTCTTGATCTCGGCACTAGTTCGAGGCGAGTGGTCAGCTTCACGCGGCTGCCGCTTCACCTCCGGAACCCACTGGATAGGAGGTTTGGTGGACCCCAGAGCCGGTCTGGCTTACTTGGAGAAAATTCCTGCCCCCACCTGGACTCCAACTCCAAACCCCTCGGTCGTTCATAGCGTAGCCAGTCGCTATACCGACTGTGCTATCCCGGCTCCATAGTAACTATGTGCCAGTCATGTTTTAAAACAAACCATGCGGTTTTTAGTCCGCAAGCGAACTATACCGACCGAGGGACCGCCGCTTGTAAGTGTAGTTAGTGCCAACTTTTGCGGATAGAGAGTATCACGTGGTCAGCGCAACGAATCCCCACGGCCGTTAATTTCGGTTTTCTTGACCGGAGCCGCTATTTCCTTGAAATAACTCTTCAATTATCCTCACGAGGCTTAGTGGACCCCGTTCCAGACCCACTACTTCTCAGAAAATATTGTCGCGCCTGGAATCGAACCCGGACCTCTGGATCTGGAGCCATGAACTCTGACCACTAGACCACATAGGCGGTCAGTCATGTTTTAACAGATCCATAAAAACAGAAATCCAACTATAAGGTAGTAACTTTTAGGGGGAAAAAGGGGTGGTCATAACCGCTCCTCTTCCAATCTCAAGTTTCATTGGAAAACCCATTTATTTCGTATTGGTGGTCTACATCAAAACTTGTAACGAAAATTTGACTTTTGTACACATGCCCATCAGCCCAACGTGCCCTGCGTCTTCTGTGCTACCTTATCTGGATGGCACAACTCTGGAGTAATGGTAGAAAAGATATTGTGACAGTTTGTCAGAATGTAATTACTGAGTGTATTGTGCCGATGTTCTGAAAATGCAGAGCAAATTTTCACAATAATTCTACATATATGGTACATAATTCAAAATGTTTTATAAGTTTTCTCAAAACAGACCTTTTGTGCGTTTCAGCCTTTCACCCAAACCCTTCAATTCACCATGAAGTGTTACACAATTAATGTTAAAATTCCTCCGTAGGATGAATGCCTTTAGATTTAACTAGCCAAGTCCTGTAACAATGGGGTAGGAATGCGAGTTAGGATATGCCATCTCTGTTCTAGGCTTTCTGGTTCGATCTAGGTCCTCACGTTTTTGACAACTCAACACCCAATCACCATTTTCACCCCCAAAAGACTTCTAGCCCCTTCTGGCTTGATGTCATAGGTGTGGAGAAAATGACAGGGCTCATCTGAACGTACAGTATCCATAAAACCCCTTTTCATACTCAAGTTGGCGTGCAGTATGCAAAGAGAGAGCCAGAGCTACTTTTCTTTTGCAATTCTGCGGGTACCTCTCATATATACGCGCTTGCTTTGGAATGTACTCTTGCGATACTATTACTCGTATTAATGCCACATCTGCCAGCTTCAGAACATCACGTTCTAAATTATATGGGATTACAGGAAAGAGACCTATGAACATCCCAGAGTTCTGGGTTCGCATTCCTGTGGACTGCCTATTGAAACTGTTCCGTCCGTCGGTAGGCATGAAGCAATTCCATCACGTATAAACCGATGTAAATATGATTCTGGAAAATTTATGACAGCATTATTAAGCAGTCTCAATCATAAACCCTGAAAAAATGTTGTGAACGAACATTACAGAGAAAAATAAAACACACCAATACTTTTCCATAAATCCTACGGTTTGCGAGATCAACGCCCCAATTGCCCTAGCCTGCATTTCTTAACTTGTGTTTTGAACGACCAACAGTGGTCTTCTGAACACGCACTTTGATTGCCGATGCGTCTTATTGTATGTTTGCACGATTATAGCCCCAATGTCCTTGTTGTGTAGCAGTGTGCAAATGTGTGTACTCTATAGTGGTAAGGGTGAAGTTTTCCCTGTGCTTATGAAGGCGTATGGGGAAGTGGAGGTATAGATCCATATTTTCTTGACCCCGGCACTAGCTGGAGATGAGTAGTCAGCTTGATGCCCCGGCCCCTTTACCCACACGGAAAGAGCCCCCAGTACCCATTGGATAGGAGGTTTGGTGGACCCCAGAGCCGATCTGGCCGACACGGAGAAAATTCCTGACCCTACCGGGACTCAAACTCCAACCCCTAGGCTATTCAGCCCATAGTCAGTCACTATACCAAAAGTGCTAACTCTATAATTCAATACACAACATTATCAAGGGAATTACTCTTAACTGATTTTACTTAAAAATTGGAATGAAATGCAAATTAGTCTCCTATATCTATTTAAACAACATCTCTGAAACATCTTATTGAACACACAAAAAAGTCCATTTTAGGTAATATGTAAACTTGGTTTCATTGTGGCGCAACATGGCTAGATCTTGAAAATGCCGACTTTAAGTAAAAATCTTCCATAAAGTTTAATAAAACATGTTCACCAGTTAACGTGTTCATACTGGGTCACAGAGAGACCGACATGATATTAAAAGGATAGAGTCATCAGTGTTTCTGCTTAGTCGCCCGTTTCATGTCATTTATAACACCATCAAAGTTTAGCATTCATGAACTGAAAAGCTACAGGTGATAATGGAGTACATTCCAGATTTGTTATTCTGTGTACATTTCTTAACTTATCTATATTTATAAATTATAGTTTAAACTGGCTGCAGTTTTGTATGCCTATAAAGGTTTAACCACATTGTACTGGCTGTGGTATGGAGGCTATGGCACCACTCTGTGCAATGCTTTCATGGCATCAGGTTCATAACAAAAGCTTAAATTTTTTATGTGAAGCACACTGTTTAGTACTGTTATTTTGGACATGTCCATCAACTGAACTTTTCAAATCCACTTTTGAATTGATTCTGTTTCTGTCTGCAGGTGAGAAAAGCTACTCTACTGGGCCTTTTCATAGAGCTACCCTTGGTTTAAGAGTAGCTCTACTGAGGCACCCAACACAGTAAGTTGACTTGACAATTGAAACAGCACAAATTTCTGAAACATACTGGCTTTTAGAAATTCTGTTGGCTGAGATAGTAAAAAAAGAGTTTTAGGCAATTCTGTAAGAGTTTGTGACACAAAGTGCCAAAAACTGTTGCTGGACAGCCAAGCTATTGTATCTGATTTTCTACTGCTCAAACTTGAAGGTTTGTTCAACATACAAGGATGGCAGCTGGCACTGTTCGTAACAATTATGGAGTTTACAGCAAGATACGGCAGAAATTACTACAGGAACTAATCTCTAAATAATTCATTTCCCCACAGTAGTCTTCTGTGACTGCTTGGTTTTGACTGACTTTTGGGAATAGACCTTGTTTCCACAGGATTCACATACAGTATTATCCTCCCACGTACATCGGTCTCCTAAATGGTGATGCTGAAAGCAATAAAGCTTTTATGTAGGCTGACAATGCTAAAGAAAATAAACAGTGCAAATAAACTGGAGAGGCATTAGGGGAATGGAACTCTATACTCATTAAGTCCATATTCACTGCTTCAAGTGCACAGATATGTGGCAACTCTCTAAAAATGTAAAATCTTGAAAATAAAATTCTTATAAAATCTTGCATTTCAAATGCATGACAGACATTTGAGAATTCATCAGCCTTAAAACTGTTAATAGTACAGAATATCAGAAATTAATCATCTAATACTCATAAATGCAAAATTCATAAATTATTAGTTTATGCACACATTTTCTTTTTAAAATAAATATCTTTTGAAATTTCCTCAGACCCACACAGTTATCATTATTAATAATAATAACAATATCAGAGGTGGGTGGACTTGACAACCATATATAGGGATTGGACAAAATAATGGAAACAATACAGATACTGTACACATTTCTTTATTAATATGGTGTTGGACACCCTTTGGTCTTCAATATAGCCACAATCATTGGAATGGATGCTTACAAGTTTTGAACAGCCTCTAGCAAATGTGAATGGAGGTACTGTATTCTTGCAAAATTGCATCATTGTTTGGAAATAATGTTTGGATCATGGATGCCCAAGCCATCACAGAACCTCCATGTTTCACTGTTGGAACCATGCATTCTGGACTGTAGTTTTTTTGGCTGTTCTCCAAATGTAAACTCTTCCTCATGTAGGGAACAGCATGAAGGATGACTCATCTGACCATATCACGTGTTTCCAGTTGTCTGAAATCCGGGTTTTATGGTGGGACACCACCATTTACACATCTGAGTATTACTTTCACAGAGGTTTCACAACTGCAGCCTCACCATGGATGTTCGATTTGTGAAGCTCACATTAGACAGTTTTTGTGGAATCAGAGATGAATATTCAGTTCTGTTGCAGTTCATGTGTGCTGCAGTAGTTCCATGATTTTTTGAAACAATCCTTCTCAATTTACGGCAATCACTTTCTGTCAATCTTGATTTTTGCCCACTGTTCCTCTTCACTGACGTCATCTTCCCATGAGTCGTGTATGCTGACATAACCTTAGAAACTGTCGCTCTCAATACACCCAACAATGTGGTACTTTTTGTTGCAGATGCTCCAGCTGAATGTGCATCATCAAATTCTGACAGATCTCCCATTTTCTGATTCTTTCACATGGAGTGTCACTTAACACAACTACTAATGCACTGACACGAGCGCACAGAATGTAAACACACGGAAGAGCATTCAGCATTGCAATGGAAGTTCTTTCAATGTAGCCAAAACATACAAATTATATTCCTCAGTTTCTTACTCTTTCCATTATTTTGTCCACCCCTACACTACAGATCTGATAAGTGATTCTACTTTAACTGGATAACATTACAACAAATGTAGAATGTAAAAAGTTCAAACAGAAACTTGGGACAGGTTAGAAACTCCTGCCTTTGCTGTGCTTGAAGGAATGAAACTTGCCAATTGGTCTTCGGGCATTATGTTTAAATAGGCTGTACACATTCCTTTCCTTAACTACTATACTGCAATTATATGCAAACAAGACAGATTTTCCCACCGTATACCTTTTACCAGAATCATGTAAAGTTATGGATACTGGGGTGGAGATTCACAACAGCATGTCAAATATCCTAGAACCATGATCCAGGCAGAATTTCTGTGTGACTATGTAATAACTGTCTCCATCAGTAAGTATGGTGAACTTAATTTTACAAACACCCACAGCTGTAAGGGAAGATTAAATTACAACTCCACTGAATATTACTATCCACATCAGCTGTTGTTTGTAGAATATTCCTGTGGTATCTTTAAGCCAAACAAAGTGAAGTGTTGTCAGGGGGAAAGAAACGTACCTAATGTACCTACAGGAAAGGCTTCACCTAACCTTGATCATGGATCACTGAAATAAAAAATCATGAATTGCATGCTTGGAAGTATCATCTCTGGTATGCAGTCTCTAAGGTAGACTGACAACTTTCATCAAGCCCATAAATTTTCATGTGCTTCTGAGATATGTCTATGAATATCATGAAGGACAACATAATAGTACAAAGAGAATGATAAATAAATTGCAGTGTACCAACCACTTCAGAGCAATGTAAAATTCTATGTCCATCCAACTGAACTGGCACAGGGGAAAGCATATATCAAAGTTTAGCTGTTTCTGAGACTGTTCAATGTCACTGCAAGATAAAAATTTATCATTGTATGAAAGAATGAATCTGGGACAACAGAGTCAGTAAAGTCATGGGTTTGATTTTTGACAGGGAAAGGAACTCTTCACTTTGCTATAATGTTCAGACCGTCTGTGGCCATTCCAGCCCCCCATTCAATGGGCACTGGGGCTGACAGGTATAGATGACCACTCATCTCCATCTAATGCTGAGATCAAAAACATGTGAGCCTTACCTCCACTATTTCACTCATCTTCATGGAATCGTGCCTAGGCAAAGGGACAATTTACTTTTTACTTTAAAAGTACACGTATGATTACATATAGTGAGACAGAAAAGGATGGATACTATGCAGGAATCTCACACCAGTTACAACTGACTGATGAATGAAACAACTCAAAGGAGAAAGCATACCTTCTTTTATTGATTTAGGAGATTTCACTTTGATATCAAAACACTGCAACTTTAAGACATAATACAAAGAAAAGAGCTGAAGGGTTGGCACAAACACCTTAGGCTAGGGACATGCAACCTAAACTCAACAATAATGTTTTCTTGGCATGAAATGGTTTTTATAATAGGCTCAGGTCATACATACATTTCAATTTTCAACAGCTGTTCTTTCCCTTGTTTCTTTCAATACAATAATCTTTGAACTTTTGGGTACACACTGTTACCTTGTGTTGTGACAGTCCTGTATTCTTTAATGTGATCTGCATTTTCAATAGGTTGCACATCCCTGTACCAGACCATAAAAACTAATACAAGTTACTTTCATTCCAATCCGTATTTTGGTAAATGCCAATTAATTGGTCACCTTTAATTTAAGAATAATTCATGTTTGGAGTCACAGTTCTTTGGTTCCCTTCTTAATAGAATCCAATATCCAATGTCTTGGCACAGCAATACACCTAGCATTATTTACACTACATTAAAATAAATTATTGCTGTCATTAAATGCACTAAGGAAAAATATACTAATATATTTTCCTTGTGAGAAGGGGATATGATCTACACTTCTATTATTTTATAAATTTTGGAAGCAAAAATTATGTACTACTTTCCATGTGCAATTTTGGGAAAGTAAGTTTTATTTCATTATCGTCCCTGCAGACAACTTAACTGTACAGTTGCATTACAATGCCCATTATTTAACTCCTGCATTTAACATCTAAGCTGTGTCACACAATATCTTATTTTCTCACTGCCTGATCTATAGACATTCTTTAATGTGAAATCAAGTTTAACCTGAAAATCTAAGTCACAAAATGAATGTTTACAGTCCCCAGAAGCAACAATTTTCAAACTAGGTGGGGTCCTGATGAATGGGCAATTCCGTTCCCTACAGGGTAAGTATATCCATACTTCCTCTTTATTGGGTGGTAAACACTGCCACAGCATGAGACTGACCACTGCTTCCATCTACTGTACCTAGGAGTTTCATCATCAAGGCGAACTACTTAAGCACATTAAGCTCATTGTATTCTTTCCTCGATAGGGTAGTGAGTGCTTTCTTACTGGATGAAAAGAACAAATCATGAAGTTCCCCAGTATGCAATTTTATCCTTTTTTGCATTCAAGCTCTCATAGATTCTATTATGCTCTTGAGTGCCCAGTATACAAAATACATTCACTTTCTACTCTGAGACAGCTGAAGTTATAAGACCTGCATTCAAAACAAGAGAAAGGTTGAAATAACAAATTACACAACTTTTCTTCTGTGTACTGAAGTCACAAACTTCCTGACAGCTGCTCAATTTAAAGCCTGAACATATACAAACACTTTCAATGCTTGCAAGAATGCATTTATTTGAGGGAGAAATGTGACTGCTATACCAGTAAATGAGTTTCATTACGTAAAACACTTAAACCTCACTAACTTCTCAAGGAATGGTTCTGAGACTGGCAGCAATACATTCATAAAACACATGTGGATGACTGAGATCTGAAATATATGAAAAAGCGTGGAGGCTCAGATACACTGGATAAATTACTTTATAAAGTGTTTCTTTACATTCAGCTGATCATGTATCAATGTCTCTTGCAAAAAGCCACCCTGCCACCTTGCATGATTTTACTACTGTAAAATCATGGGGTACATTGCTTTTCAATCAAACAAGTTAGAATTCTCTCTTATCACAAAGAATCAACATGTATGATGCTCTTTCCTTGTTTGACTAAGAAAAACTTTCTGAAACATACACCACTATGGTAATTCAGAAACTGTGAGAACTCCAACATGCACCAGCACTCTGATGAATGGGGCAATTCCGATGCTTATCTGGGGAACCAATCAATGAATATATAACTAATCCAGTCTCTGAACCACTGCCTGTAAATACTGCTGTGCCCAAAACCAACAAAATCAGGAACTAATGGATGGTAACACACTTTACATTATGCAAAAACTTACTCCTTGTTAATTTATTCATGAATATTTATAAACTCCGATGTATATTAAATTAAGCTCAAAAACAAAATCATGCATCAATTTTCATTGCTTTTCAGGTGAGACATATATATGTTCCCAGAGATGAAGGGGTATGCCCTTCTCACAATACTGGTAGCAATTTCAAAGTGAATCCACCAGTTAATATCACTCACACAGTCACACACATACATACAGCATACAAAACTGACCCAGAATTAAATTACTTCTCTAGGGACCTATAATCATTATTACAATAATATATCATTAGTTGTGTTCAATAAGGAAGGATTACGGTACCCAAAATGGGTTAAATGATTTACGTGACAAAATTTTATACAACCTCTCCCTTTCTGTATCATCACTCGTACCAGCTCCTACTGGCAAGAGGAAATCCATGTGGATGCAAAAGCGGTGTGTGACAAATGTCTTCTGAAGAATTTGGAAAGCTCCAACTCTTCTTGTCAATGGAGACAACAAGAACAAAGCTACACACACGCAAAACCTTAAAAAACATCACCAGCCCACTCACGTCACCTACAGAATTCCGAACCACACACAAAGAAACTGTTGCAAAACAAAAGCTATATAAAAATTACTTTCAAATTTATGGACAATAACTGCAATACTGCATAAATTTTCTCTGTAAGTATGATCTTGCCATTAGGAATGAAGGTACTGGACAAGCAAATGACCCCACTTTCATAAAACCAAGGAAACACACAGAAGTGTAAACATTGCATTCTTAAATGTGAGGTGTTTGAAACAGTAAGGAATATGGCAATGGCACATATAACAGTACACCTCCCCTCAAACAGATGTGATAAATATTACCCCTCCCAACATGGAATTGTTGCAATACATCCAGACAATGGTCACACTTTTCAAAGCTACTCTTTTATTGGTTTCAGAATACTCTGCTCACCCTCCTTTGTGCTTCCTTGTTATGCTGGATTCCAAAACTAGAGAATCCCTTAAAAAAATACCTCCATAGTCTTGTTCTTCTCTGCCAATGCGCATATTCACAAGTTGGTTAGTATATAATGATGAACAAGGCATCAAAAACCAATCCATTTACTTTGTTATCTGCTGGAAAAAGAAGCCAAACAATGCAATGCAAAAATTGCACAGTAAACAATAAGTGATGGCTCTGGTCTTTCAGAACAAAAACAGCAGTTCTTAATTAGCTAAGCACAGGGCCAACTTGACTTTTACCAATACTAGAACAATTACGCAACAGAATATACAAGAGAATGCCAATTATCTGAATCACTGCAACCAAGGAATGCATCTACTAAGCAAACATCATTGTTGGACTCAAATAAAGTGTTTGAAAATGTTAATTTATAATTACATGTATAACTTTTTCATGTTTCACTGGTTTTAAAAGTTTTTAGTGGACAAGACTTTAATATGGACATCCATGTTTGATGAAAAATATATATACAAAATATAAAGCTAAACCCATGAGGAGGCAGAGTCGAATATCTCCACTGTGACCCTGCGAGTCGTAGGAGGTGACAAAAAGGGAAATCTCAAATCAGAGACAGTAAAATATGGTCGCAAGTCCCAAGGGACTCAGGCCCCAGAAAGACTGCGCTGGAAAGACCCAGTAGCATGTAAAAAAGACAGACCCGTAAAAAAAAACAAAACCTTAACATTCAACAGTAATAAATATATGGTCATGAGCCCCAGACAGGGCTCGGCACCAAGACTTACTGACTGACTGACCGTCAGTTGCAATGTGACTTGGACTTGGTCTATAAAGCTAGTCAAGTTGGTGAGAAGGATCACAAATGTGGTCATCATGGCTTTGAGGGTGAGCAAGCATATGACGCAAAGCAAGCACACCTGACACTCAAAGATGCTCTTACAAAATAATCTGTACTGGATTCCATACAAGAGTTTGTTCTGAAGATATGCAAGGAATTTCCTAACCAGAGCAAAAACGACCCATATTTTCATCAACAATTATGTTATGTGATCAATGATATTAAGTTTTGCATCAATCTTCAAGCCAAATTTGTGATTTCACTTCAGATAATTAAATATCTTTAAAAAAATTTTAGAAACAGTATTTTTATTAATTCTGAAAGGTTCTGATGATGGTATTTACCCTTAGGATCACTGCGTTTCTGGACTTTGTGAACTGTCTACTATTTCAAACAAAGACTTCATATTTTGGATGTATTTCTGTTATAAGGTGAAACGTTAGGGAAGCACATATGCAATTTGGTCCAGTGTCTCTGGCTTACCAATGTATGCTGCTGACACGAGTATGCATTACTGACCTACGCAGCATCTACATACTACTTCCTTATAAGCATGTCACTGTGGTTTATTCAGAATCGAATGTAATTATACAACATTGTACGTAGACAAGGCTTTGCTCTTGCTATTGGTAAGGTAAAGCTGTCCCTGTGCTTAACTAATTAAGCACTAAGCCATTAAGGTGTATAGGGAAGTGGATGCATAGATCCACATTTTCTTTACCCCAGCACTACTTGGAGGTGAGTGGTCAGCTTCATGCCCCTGCACTTTACCCCCAGGGAAAAAGCCCCAGTACCCATTAGACAGGAGGGTGGGTGGGCCCCAGACCTGGTCTGGACGTGGAGAAGAGAAAATTTGTGTCCTTACTGGGACTTGGAACTCCGACCCCTCAGTCGTCCAGCCCGTAGCCAGTCGTTATACTGCCTGGGCTATCCCAGCTCACATTTTCTTTGTAGCTTATTTATTATTACTATAATTTATTATAACTGGTGGAACGCATGAAATAAGATAATGACAATTAGACATCTGTTTCTTTGGATAAGAGATTAACTTAACCAACATGTCATTATTTATGAAAATGTAACTAGCACTTCTTAAAGTGAGCAACGTTACTAGTATTCAGTTCAGCGGACACATTTACAAACATAAGAGTTTAATATAAAAATACTTCTGAAGAAACTCAACAGAAACATGATATTGTTTTATTTATATATATACATACACACACACAAAACTATTTGGGGCATTATTTGTTTGCTTTGGTGTATATTTATGTAATGTTCAAGAGCATAAAATTCCTGCTATTTTCATAGATGTGTTGTTCCTTTCCACATGGCACTCATCTCATGGGGGCAACTGACAGTGTTTGTAGACAAAACACAAAGCTCCAGATTGCTGTATGAATAGTTCTTTGTTCCTCACTGTAACCTGATATCTTGTGCATTTGAAAGTCCATCATGTCTCTGCTTTCAGCAACATCTCTCAAGGCTTTTATATAAGGGTCACTCCAAAAGTAATTCACATTTTTTAAAAATTCAATTTTTATTCTAGACCTTTACTACTTATACAGCACATTGATACATCTTTTAGTAACAAAATATCATTTATCCACATAATCTCCATTCCTTTCAACTTCCTTATACCACCTTGGAACTAGGGCCTGTATGCCAGGACGGTAAAACTCTGGACCAGTGCGTCTGAGCAACCGTTCAGTGGCCTGACCACTCATATCCATCTAGTGCTGAGGTAAAAATGGTGGAGCTATATCTCCCTTCCCCCATACATATTAATGGCATGGTGCTTAATTAATAAGATCAGGGAGAATTTCACCTCTACTTACCAATCATTTCAACTGTGAAATATTAATATAATTGGGTGAACATGAAGACCACACAATAAGAACTGCTAGGAAAAGTTATGTAATAAAACATTCAGGTAGTAATCCAGCTCCTGTGACATAAGTGTTCAATTTGTAACTTTGAAGTTATAAGCATTCCAACACAACTCACCTTGATTTGCTGCTAACAGAATGGTTTACAAGATGATACACTTTCTCCTCTTTACTGGCTCTGGGGGCTCTAATGCAGCCAGAATTGCTTCATCAAAAACATTCTTCAATCCTTTCTGCAAACAGAGTAAAGTTCAAATGAAACATAACGAAGGAACCAAATACCCACGAGAGACAATGGTAAAGAAAGAAAGAAAAAAAAAACCCACGCAGCACAATGCAACTTTCTTAAGGTACATCTAAATATGGATACTTTCATTTTGAAACTCTGTATCAATACTGTCACAAGACATGTTTCTGTTTGTAGTGACTGCTGAGATACTGTTTCAAAACAATTCTGGTATAGCACTGCTAAATATATCTGCATCCCATTCCAATTTGGTAAACAAGATACAAAGTTTGTAACATGGAATAATGGAACTTGTGATCAGTCATCAGATAGCTTGTATTTTTGCATCAGTATAGTTACCTAGACATTACAAGTATCCATCAGAATGAGCACTTTTGCAAATCTAATAAATTCTCACAATAGTGACACTGCCCTGTACTTACTGACTGTATGAACATGATTCCATAAAAAATCATCAAGCCTCTTACATGACTGATACAAAACAAGTTTCCAATACCCTGTCTAGGGTACCAAGGATGTTTGTACCTGTGTTAATGCTGAGCACTCTACATATTTGACAGCCTTCAGCTCTTTTGCAAGCTTCTCTCCTTGTTCAAATGTGATAGGCTTCTGTTTGTTCTTGGCCAACTTCTCTATAGTCGCAGCATCATCTCGTAAATCAATCTGTGTCCCCACTAATAGAAATGGTGTTTTCTGACAGTGATGTGTAATTTCTGGGACCCACTGCAAAAGTGAAAACGCACTAGAGATCCATCGGCAAAACTGAACACACACTTCTCAGTCAACAGTCAAATATGATGAACCTACTTGCTGGCCAACAATCTAACATAATAGTCTCTGAGAGTAATACATTATGATATACTAGGAGCAACAATTTGGCAAGGAAGGAACTACGACAGTAGAAAACTATACTCTTTGAGATGTGAGGTTCTCATGTTAAAGTTAGGGTCATGTCTTTTTGTATGTGAGGCCATGTAATCTGGTAGACAGGTACCAACATTTTTTTGGAACGTGTAACCTCCAGCTTCAAAGAACATGGAGAAGAAGCAGATGGAGGCAGAAGGTCCCTCTGAAACATCTACCAAGTACAGAGTGTCACATCCCAGAAGAGTATGAACATGACCATATTTGTTACACGACATCCTTACCTTTTCTTTAACATTCTCAAAAGAAGATGGCGATACAACAGAGAAACACACAAGGAACACATCCGTCTGTGGATAACTAAGGGGACGCAGTCGATCATAATCTTCTTGACCTAGTAACAAAATATATGCACATGCATGAATACTGGAGACTCAAATCTACTGGAAATTAAACAACTTTCCATATGATACAAACAGTGATGAATTAATTCACAGCACTGCATGCAGAGCCATACAGCACTCTCCCTTACAGATCACTTTTACATCAATACACAACCAAGCATTTAAAATGATCAAGATTTTGTTATCGACAAACTGAAATTTCATCCAATACAAAATGCACTTGACCACACGCATATGAAGCTCTAGTGTTTCCAACAAAGTACACATATGGAAAACTTGAAGACCTAGGCGTAGATCAGGGAACATTAAAATGGCTCTTATAAAAACAGGGTGCAAAGTTGTGAGCTGGAGTCATCAGGTTGAGGACACACTCCTGTGGCATGCCCTTGTGAACACAGTAATGAACCTTTGGGTTCCACAAAAGGCTTGGAATTTGTTGATTTACATCTGTCCAACAGTTGGAACTGTTCTTAGAGCAACAGCATTTCAACATATACTGAGGTACTGGTTCTAAGCACTTGTCTCATCTGTATGCTTTACAAAGCAGCAATACTCATTCTTTATCAACACAATGACTTCATCTGATGGCCGAGAAAAATTATCACTGTTTAGTACAGAAAACTGGGCAACAATGGAAATGCTCTTTTGTTTAACCCAACAGAGGACTACATTATTATTACCCTCTACTGCAAGGAAAGGAGATTTAAATGTCAGGGCTCACAGCCACATTTAAGGGTAAAGTAAGTAAAAAGTAAAGCTATTCCTGTAACAGGCCGTGAAGAGCCATAGGGTTGTGAGATGCTGAAGGTCCCACATTATCTAAACAATTGGCTCAAAGATGGCAGTAAGGTTGTCAGTCTTACGCACCAGCTTCGCTTTACTCCCCAGGAATATTATTTAATTAATTCCTGGTACTCATTTATGTTAGAAGCTGAGTCGACCCCCAGGGCCATAGTGCAGCCAGAAGGATTAGGTCAACTGAAAAAATCCAATGACCTCATTGGGACTTGAACCTGCAACCTTCCGACTTGTAGCATAGTGGCTCAACCTCTCAGCTCAGCACAAGCAGCACAGCACGCATACAAACCACACCATTAATAACAAGAACACACAACCAAGGGATAGACGACAATTCCTCTACTAAGGAAGAAAAAACCCACATTAGTTCACAAATAAAATTATCTTAAAATAAGTTTATACACACACTCATAAACATAATTTTAACGTAAGGAAGGCTGCTGTGGTGAAACAAATTGAATTTTTTATATAAAATACAGTGGATCATTTTTAATTATCCATTAGGGAAGTGATTGCAACTACACCACTTCTAAGTAATACAATTAAAAAACGTTCTTATTACAAAAAAATTTTACATCAACGTCTATATGACAAAAATCAACAACTACATATAGTGAGTATCATATATGTTTTAAGCGTTTCTACTCTTAAAAACTTTTACGTATTAGTGGATTCCTGATCGTAGAGGCATACTTCTGATGATGATTCATTATGAATTGAAACATGTTGGGTAACTAAGTGCTAAAGTGGTGGAGTTGGACTGAAATAAACTTAATTCTAAACATTTGATATTGGCCTGTCCTGCCTCGTTATATTTACCACCTGTTTTAAAACCAGGATCAAGTGGCACAACACCTCGCCAAGTACTTGAAGAAAAGAGCATTTACTTACCGGCAGTGTCAAAAAGTCCAAGTGTATAAGGTTCCCCACCAATCATGACTGTAACTGCATAATTATCAAATACCTGGAACAAAAGGAGAGCAACATTCAGACTTAAAACGTTCAGATGATAAGAAGTCACATGATTCTTATATGACTAAGAGACTAATTTCTTTTGCAAACCTGAATTCCCGAACTGGCCTCCAACTACAAAGCACAACAATCTTCCATGATCAATTAAAATTAAATCTGTTGAAAGCAACATTCCAGACACACTGTTAATTAAATACAACAAAACATGTGTCTCTGTATGATATAATGATTCTCCATGGATTTAGAGAGAGAAATGGCACAGTGGTAACAGCCTAATTTGTAGCTGGGAGAACCAATGTTTGAATCATGACCAAGGAATGTTATTGTGACCGGGGTTACCTGTTACCTTGTAACAGTGTATGACTACCTCTTTCCTGATTTTTCTCTCATAATGAATGATAATTTTCCTGTCTCACCCAATACTACATAACCTCTGCTATTAAATCAGTCACCATTAAATGACATATTAAACACACTGCATGTATTTTAACATACTGAGGAAATACAACAGCAAGACAGCTAGGCCAGAATCACAAAAATTGAACAAATGAAGTGAAAATGGAGCAAAATGTATCAAACACAGCCTTTTCACTTTGCTTACTTTGACCTGGATTCTCTTCAGCAAATGTTTTCAAGGTTTCATGTAAACTCTCAATATAAATGTATAATTAAAAGTGAAACTTTCCAGATAAGCCAAACTGGCAATATTATATATTTTTTTCACTATTTAAACAGTGACACAAGTAGAAACATTAAAAACTTTAAAAGAGTTTCCATGACAGTCTGAGATTCTACTACTTATAAGATCTTCAGTGCTTACCGTAGGCACATACTCCGAAGGAAACTTGTTGGTGGTGTAAGAGATGAGCAGACAAGTCTTACCAACTGCACCATCCCCCACCACTACACACTTTATAGTCTGCATTATGAAATGTTATTTGTTCTGTGTCAATACCTGTAACAGAACCAACATTAATAAATACAACAAGAACTGTACTTTAAATATATTTAACTCTCAGAGAGGTTGGCTGGAAAAGTTACTTATTATACACCTCAAAGACTGAACAATTTCCATACTCTGCATCATGGCCACAACTTAAAAGTCACAATGAACCTTGTTGCGCAGCAATTTCGAGACTGGGAGGGGATTGCCTAAACGTTACGAAAAGCGTTTACAGCAATCAAGCTAGAATGGCGACACTTGGACAGGCGATCGAGGTCAAGAATGTTAAGAGTCAGCAAGGGCACGCAATCGCTCCACTTCAGAAGTGACGTTGTAAACACTGGGAGACCGCAAACTTACAAAATGCAAAGAGGGTGGAGCCTCGTTTTGTCTGTGACAAGTCAGATTTAGCCAATTAGAATAAACCACTTTAGAAATGAGGACGAAAGGAGGAGTTAACCTCCCTCTTTCACAAACTGCAGTGCCAGCAAAATTAGAGCACAAAAAATGAGAAAAAAACTTACGGGGGATCTGATCTAAACGCAATAACGAGTTGCTAGCCGGAGGCTCTATCCGATATGGGTGCCACAAGATGGTGGATGGCGACATTTATCTGCATCTCTATTGCAAGTAAGTCTCTTTGCTCATATTAGCCATGTTATTAAAAATTCGGTGTTGTTGTGTGATCTCAAAGTACAGTCTCCAGTGTACCCCAGCGAGCGCCAGGGTAGAAATTGTGTAGAGAGTGACAGGCAATGGAGGGAAGCAACAGTCTCACGGCATCTCCCCCGAGAGGGAAATTAGAAAGAGAGTAACGAAACAGTGTTATGTAAACTGGCCGAAGGAGGCCCTTTCTATTGTAAATAACAGTGTAAATAGACCAGTGTACATAGGGTAGGATGTACTCAGGGAGTTTTGATTCACCCCTCCATAACCAACCCGTCCATGACCAATCCAGAGTGATCCTAACCCAGACAATTGACGGCAGCCGAGTGCAGCGAACATCCTAACTGAAAGGGTGGCGACGGACTAAATTAGTATTATTTTCTCACCCCCCCTGTCGAGGTGTAACAAACCTCATATACATAACATTTCATCAAGTACTGCTTCAAAATACAAAAATGTTCTACTATGCTACACATATTTTAAATTTGGCACAAAAGGAAAATAAATTTGTGTATTTTTCACAAAATCATCCCACAGAACTTCAGCAGCCTAGACTGTGGTATTTGGATTGCTCTTACTTCAAGTAATTTGACAAGCTCAGCATCCTGGTATTGTCAGCAGCAGGGAACTAAAGCACAAAGAGATGTAATGGTCAACAATAGCCTAAAATTCAGGCAAAATTTCATAATTGATAACCTAGTTCAAATATTATCAGGGAGGGGACAAACACAGAAATGATACACACTCACAGTTATGCCATGTCTCTACAATCATATACAGAGTATCCCAGGTGTTTGGTGCCATACTTCAGGAGCGTACTGAGGGTTCCCTATAGAGCAATTTTGAAATAAGAACCCATGTCCGCAAACGTAAAATAGCAGTGCTAGAGCAGCATTTAATATCATTTTGTTTAAATCTGGCGCCTCAATGTCGAAGAGCATGCACAGGAATATTACCCCCTCCATACTCTTAAGACTCACCTGCTAGAGTAGATGTTGGAATTGGCGCCCTCCATCTTCAACGCATGTGTTACATTAACGAAAGAAACTTTGGCGCACACTTTCAAATATTCCAGGTGCCTCACGGATCACGTCACATGCAACAAGTATTCTGGCCAACAGCTCGAATTCATTATCCACAGGCGTTTTGTAGATCAGGCTTTTCACCTGGCCGCAGACGAAATTGTCCAGAGGTGTCAAGTCTGGGGATCAGGGTGGCCAAGGCACTGGGCCTCCTCTTCCTATCCAAAGACCATGAAAAGCAGCATCCAAGTAGTCTCGTGATACAATGCTGAAGTGTGCCGGCACTCCTTCATGCTGTATTCACATTTGTCTCCACACAATCAGTGGCACATCTTCTAGCAAAGTCAGAAGGATATGTTCCAGGAACACCTTGTAAAAGGGCCCATTGAGTCACGGTGGTATGTGGAATGGCCCAATCAAGTGATCGCCAATGATGCCTGCCCAGACACTGACAGAAAATTGTGCCTGGTGGTAACCAACTACAGTAACGTTGGGGTTTCCGTCAGCCCAAACGTGGCTGTTTCAACAGCTGGACCAGCCATCCCTTGTACTCTGCGATTCGTCTGTGAATAACATGTGATTCAGGAAGTTGGGCTGATGTAAACACTGGTTCAGTATCCACTGACAAAATTGAACTCGTGGTACGAAGTCAGCTGGACCTACGTCATGTACTCATGTTGGATGATACGGATAAAATTATTGGTCATGCAGGATCCTCCAAACACTTGATTTTGATGTCCCCACAATCTTGGCAATGGCACGAGTGCTGGTGGATGGCTGTTCCTTTATGCAATGCAGTTCGACATTGAGGCGCCATGTTTAAACGAAATGATTTTAAATGCCGCCCTAGCACTGCTATTTTACGTCTGTGGACATGGGTTCCTATTTTAAAGTTATTCTATAGGGAACCCTCAGTACGCTCCTGAAGTATGGCACCAAACTCCTGGGGCACCCTGTATACACACACACACACACACACACAACACAGATTTGCATTACACTATCACAATGGAAGAGCCAATGCTATACATAAACTTCACTATGTATGAACTGATGCTGTACACAAACTTCATTTCAGTTACATACAATGTATGTTAGCTCTCTGGCCATGTGTTTCAACCCTATGATCATCAGGCTACATACTGTCACAAATTTAAGTGACTATGCATGTGGTTAAGATTGGTAATCAGATTTATTTATCTCTTACAAATCATAACTATAATTAATTACAGCCATTTTGCTAATTCATGCACTTTACAATTCACTACAGCATGCACTAAGTCTTCTCAGTTTGCTTTGACTTCACGAGTTGTCATTTGGTAACGGTTTCCACAATGTAGATTCCTCTGGTTCTGCATTAATACCTCTACTGTTGGGCCTGACCCAAGGTTATATAATGATCAGTCAGTTGCTTGGTTAAATTACTGCTGGCCTTCACCAGCACGGTCATTCCTGACTTCAATCTCCTCAAGATCCATGACCAAGGAGGACCCCAAGCCCTCATCATATAGCCTCAGGGTGGACTCACCAGAAAACATCACTTCCAAAGATTCCTCTACTGTTGTGTGCATAATCGTTATGGTGACATGATGTTTACCCTCCCATAACCTAGTTAATGGCTCTCTTTTCAGTTATAATGTTACAACACTTTTCAGCTGTAAACCACCAAGCCAGGACATGGAGTTGTAACTTATATCAGTGCTTCTCAACCGCCGGGCCGCGGCCCAGTAGTGGGCCCTGGCATCAATTATACTGGGCCGCGAGAGGCTCTTCTGGAATTTGTCATTTTCATTTTCTAAGCATTTTTCACGAATAAATATTTTATGGTTAGCTTAATGCATGAACTTTAACAAAACTGGAAAGGTATTTATGAGTAAATTTGTTGCGACTGGGCCCTCGTCTTATAAAGAAAGAACTTAACTGGGCAGCGGTCTCATAAAACGTTGAGAACCACTGACTTATATCATGGCTAATGTACCCACCCCAGAGTTTCTGAAATTCTGGTAAAACCAAACTGAATCTGAGGTTGGAATACGGGGACACCATACAACATCCTGATGCCTAAGCTGTTATGGAATGTGTATGGGGGGGTACTCACTGTAACTGCCCGCCCAACAGGACGTACACCTACTTCAGTGTGAAATCATCCAAAACTTGACGGAGACCATTAGAAATCTCCACCAATTACTGAAAGGAAAGCATCTGTATAATGCCCTTTATGGAGCATACACAAAGATGCTACATGACTTGACAGCAGTACTCAAAGACAGCTCTGCAAAAGGGGAGACAGCCAAGACCACCATTACTGAATCTTCATCCAAACGAGGAATTCCAAGACCAGAGATGATGAAAGTGGAAGCCTTCAGCCAAAGCCAACAAAAGAACCAAGAAACCAGCAACATTCACCATGGGAGTAAATGACCCCAAGTTGCAGATGAAGGCTGCAGTTCTACCTGGAACTTTTTCATCCCCTTTTGTCAAATGAAACAGAGGCTGACCATGGTGATGATGCGTAAGATTCCACCAAGGGCCAGCAACATTAGGTGCCATCCAGCCTGGCAGGTAGGCTGTCTCCTATTGTACTAACCTCACATGTATGCATGAATGAACGAAAGTATAAGGGGTGGGCCATAATAATCCGGCCCTTGCACAGCAACCTTCCCAATACAACTGTAAAGGCAACTGAAAGACAACTTCGAGTTCCATAGCACTAAAAATGGGACCAGAACTGTAACTAAAGCAATGGTGGATTTTTCACGATGACTCTCACTTTGAGAGTAATAATCTCTCATAATTCACTTTATCCTAAAACCCAGAAACCTACAAAGGTGTGATACTGCATCTTCCATTCGCCACTCCTGCAGAGGACATCTCAGATGGGTTGGTGGACATTGGCTTTGATGTTATTAGTGTCAAACAAATGTCAGCCACCTGTTTGTCGCCTGCAGAAGGAACATCCACAGCAAACCTTCCTCTCTTCCTCATAACCTTACCTAGGATGTCCTTAGAGATATTCAAAGTGACAAGCCTTTGCCATATTGCAATCAGGGCAGAGGTGTACAAAGCTCAGACTAGTCTCATGCAGTGTTACAACTGCCAGAAATTTGATCATGTCTGGGCTAACTGCCAAGAGCCTCCCCACTGTATGTGGTGTGAGGGCAAGTTACCGGCACAAGGAGTGCCTGGAAAAGGATAATGTAGCACTGATACCAACATGTTGCAACTTCAAGTTAGTGGGTGGTGAGGAACATCATCCCTCAAACTATACAGGCTGCAGCCACACCATGGACAAGATGTGAAAAAGACAGTAGCAGACAGAACCCAAGACAGGAATGGGGTTCTCTTCCTACAACACCACCCCTGGACTGTCCTTTGTGGCAGCACTACACAGCAACACATAGCAACAGTGGCAGCCTAATCCATCCCCAGATGAAAAGGCCACAGTGGGAGATATGAGTGCCCCAACTCCTGTGAGGCACAACCAGCTACCAAGTAGTCAGTTTGGACTCCTAATGTGAACAGTTCACCTCTGAACGACACATTCAAAATAGTCACAACAGTATTTCAGCAGATCATGACAGAGCTCAAATGGGGTCAAGTTATAAAGACAGAATAGCAGCCATCACAAAAACTGTATTAAAATTCATGAAACAAAAAGGAACCAGACTCTCAACAAATGACCACATAGAATGCCAACAAGCAAAACTGTATAGATATAGATGACATGTACTGCTATGACTGTGAAAACAGTTTCATCCTTTTTATCAGAGTAGGCACCAAAAATCAACAAAATTACAACTGTCTGACAGTAAAAAAATATCTGGTCTTGGGACCCAAAAATGGCTTGACGGTCATATGTGACTCTGACTACTACTATTGTCCCTAGTACAGACATACAAGTTTAGGTAAAAATTTGATACCTATACTATAACAGTAACCAGGCCTGGATAAATTTAGGAGGAATAATAAAAACAAAATATCTCACATCAAAATGTGCTCACTTTTAACATAAGGACAACTAAAACACCTGTACATACATAACAGCAATCTCTCTTCATGCTCAAGAAAATCCAGTTCACAAAAGCTATGAAATAGTGAAAACATAAATTATTTCTGCCGTTGGAAGGATGTGGAAAGACATGTGACCTATCTTCTGCCATTCCTTGGATACAGAAAAGGAATGACAATAAGATGCACAAATAAATGTATGGTATTATATTGCTTGTGAGAGCTGTAAATTTGAAAAGCATAGTACTTAAATCAATTAAAATTTAATATACAAAATGAGCTTTATTTTTTTTTAAATGATGTAAAATGCTGTACTGTGTCGTTGAGTTCCTCTTTCCTATGTTCAGTTCCTTGGTTTTTGCAGAGATCTGTAGTTTGTGAACATACCTTGGTTATGTGTATTCTGATCACCAGTGTGTGTGGATGTATCTAACCCGCACACACAATGACAAGTTTCATATACGAGTAGGTAGTATATGTAAGAAAGTACTGTGATCATGAAAAGAATCTTGAGTGTCTGTTGGACTTATATGTCTGAAGCTCCCTGAACATAAAAAATTGGTTTTTGAAATGCCATCTTCATGTACATTTATATGCTCATATGCATGGATATGTCCTTCACTAATGCCTGAATAGGTGGACAGATTTTATTCACCAACAATGGTCTACCAGACACCAATCAAGTTCATGTCCAGACTAACAGTAAAGGTCAGTCGTATATGACTTCACTTTGAGATGTGCTTGAAATCACGAACACGCCATTTATGTTGAAACCTGCCATCAAATTCTTCCTGATATAAAGAGAAATACTGCACAACTGCTCTGTAGACAGGATCCAGCTGTCAACAGTCACATGCAACAAGCTAACACTGCACCAAAAATTCAAAATTAATGCCTGGAAATTCTGTTATGAACACACCTAATGCTGCATATTATGGTCTTCTGGGATGTACTAACATTCAGTCTGGCAGATGTTTACCACACCTTATAAGACAGGAGTTTTCACTCACCACTAAAAATCAAACAGAATTTATTTCACCTCAAAAACAATTCTGTATGGCAATTTAAAACTCTACACACTCACCAAAGCATGACCACCTACAGCAGTACTTCCAATTCTCTGTACTTCAATCCTTCATATATACGAATTCTCTAAGTTTTACTTAAAAATATGTTAGATGAGAATTATAACCTCAATATGTTTAATATTACAATAACAACTCTACATGTTCAATCATACTGATTCTACCATCATTCTCAACGTCCAGCATTACACAGTGAATGTAATGTAATGTGATGGGCAACAAATACCTTAATTTACATTAGACATGGCAAATTACACATGTCTAATAAACTTTCCTTTCACTTTCAACGAAACGTGCACTATCTACTTCCAGTCACACGTGTACATGCCACAAATTCATAAACCATACTCTTTGTTCCAGGGTTCTTTTACGCTTTAGTAAAACAAAATAATTTTACAGGGCAACAGTATTTAACTCCCTGAGAACTTAAAGAAATATGCGAATACATGGAGGCCATCTTGGGTTAAACTTCACCAGTCCGGTATACATTTTGTTCGTAGACAATAACCATAACAATACTGGCACAGTGATTGTTCGACAAGTACAAGCCATTGCTCTTACATGTAGATGCATGCTTATCGTTCATTTAGCAAAACCTCTGAAGAAAAAAAAAATAATTGAAAATTTACAACTTACACAACAGAACACTGGGCGTCGACAAGCAGTTTCCGTTAACGACCCTCCTGCTACCTATTGACAGTGAATGTAACCAACAAAGCTACTACGGCTAGTACTCCGGCACTCAGCGATAAGGCATTCATATGTGGCAGCTTTCAGGCCAATAAACAATTATGAGATTAATGTCAACACTGAGAAATACAGTTTAATAATACTATACTATCAACGGGTGCATGAGGCTCAAAAATTACACATTAAATGCGACCAGAAACGTTTCAGTCTATCGAACCAAATCGCCCTGTTGGCAGTCTTGGAAATGAATACGAAATCGACGAGGGCTGAAATCTATCGGCAACATTAATAAACTATCACATACGCCACATAAACATAAGCGAACATGAGACGATAAAAATTATTGGGATTTACGCTTCTTCTGTATGGGTCACGCGGTAGCTTAGTTGGTTGAGGCACTATGCTACAAGCCGGAAGGTCGCGGGTTCAAGTCCCGATGACGTAATTGGATTGTTTCAATTGACCTCCTACTTCCAGCCGCACTGTGGCCCTGGGGTCGACTCAGCCCCTAACAGAAATAAGTACCAGGAATTAAATAATTTTCCTGGGGAGTAAAGCGCGGCTGGAGCACAACCTTACCGCCATCTTTCGGCCGACTGTCTTAAATAATGTGGGACCCTCAACGTCTCACAACCCCACGGGCCTTCACGGCATGTTACAGACATATACGGTTCTATAAATTTACAGCTTCTAATAAAACTCTAAGACGTTCAGGCAAAGTCCAGAAAAGCCATCTAGCTTAGGTACCAGTGTTTCCACAAATCTATAATCGGCTAAGAACATATTTTGTTGTTTAAGACTTCAATGGCATTTTCAGTGTGAGAGACTGCTATTGTCAGCACCGGTATGGGGGAGAATATACAGATAAAATACTATATGCAAGATACTAGAACAAGTATGACACATATTAAAATTTACATTATTGAACAATTTCTGGTAATTTCAACACAATTATTGCAACTAGGAATTATATAATTAAACTATTATTTATTTATTTTTATGAATTCATTGCCTATGCGTAACAAATTAATCTTTTTAATTAGGGCTGTCATGACAATATAGGCGAATGTATTGACAGTCTTGTTGGCATATTAAACAAAGTTTTTTTGCTATTATTTTTGTTCAATGAAATAAAGTTTTACCAGTCTCTTGTTTGCAGCATGACCATTAAGCAGGCTCTCAATATCAGTTTCAGCAATATCATTATTATGGAAGGATACTGCCTTGTGTTCTTTATTTTTGATATTAAGGCCTGAAAATGAGTCAGGATATCATATCCACATCCTCTGCCTCATTGTGGTGAGAGGATTAACAATGAATGATGAATACATATAGCCATGAGAATAAATAAATGGTAGAGATTTGAGAAATGTTGCAAGAGGTTGTTGAGAGCCTGGGTATTTATAAACTGCAATTTTAAATTTAAACTTACTGGAAGCCCTTTTCAACTTTCCCATTACATCCCACATGTTTACTGGTAATTTATTTGGTAATGAACATTTTTATCTACCGCATTTGCTCAGATATGTACTGTCATGTGATAGGGTGTGACTAAAGATGGTGTTTTGATTGGTAAACGGATTTATTTAACTCTTGAACACACAACTTGTGACAACACTTTATAAATCACTATCACACACAGACTAGTGTTCTCGGTCACTGTCTTCACTATTTTGTGCGTAACATCTTCCAACATTGGACATTCCTTTGCTTCCAGGCTCATGTCCTCATAGGATGGTTGCCATCTCACACCAACATCCTACTCTTCTGACTACCATCTCAGGACTCTATCTAGACTTTTCTAGACTGCACACTGCTTGTTATACAGCCCCTGCACAGACACCACAGAAAACCTCTCCCAGCAGTTCTATTTTTGCGTGACACAGCTATCGGCATGGACCTCACAGAAAACACTGCTTCCCACAGTTACTCCACTGTTGTGCGTCACAGCCATTCCCTAGCAACAGCTGTCTGCTGGCTTTACCATTCCGGCCTTCTGCAGACATGTCACCTTATCTTTTAACCTTATATTAACTGGCTAACTTGTAAACAACTACAGTAGGATTAAGTCATCAAATGTAAAATTTGAGGTCTGCAGCCACCTGCTTGTGCTGGTTCCTTGCTTGCAGATTTTTATACCCTGAAGATGGAGGCAATACATTCCTCCAAAACGTCAGTTTACGCAATATCTACATGGTGCCACATCCCAGAAGACGGCATTCTTCAAAGTCTTCAAGTATTATCACTTTGTTATTATTTCACTGGAAATGCAATGTTTTAAGTCAGGTACCCTTCACTGTCAAAAGATCATGACACAAGCTAGAAGTGAATTTTATAATCTGAAGCTATCAAGATGAGAAAGGTGAACTCTTTCAGAATCTTTAAACACTTTCATAATGTATGATATTTTATACTGTTACTTTGGAAATTGCATTATAAACTAATCAAATTAAGGCATATTATTTTATTTAACAAACTACTGGCATTTAAAACACTTGTGCATGCATGCACTCTCTCCATTGATCCTAAACACAAGCTGACTTCCCACCACAGCAAACCTCCGCATTTATATGGTCTTCCCATGATCCACAACCCGGACATTCCTCTGAGGCCTATAGTGAATTCCATTGGTTCCCCTTGCTATGCCCTGGCTGGCTTTATCCATTAAATCCTCTTGCTAGAAAATCAGGATCCTTCGTTAAGAATTCAGGCCACTTTGTACAGTTGTTGAAGTCTGTTAATCTTCAATCCTCTGATACCCTCATTAGCTTTGACATCATCAGTCTCTTCACCAATGTTCTAGTCAATGAAGCCCTACACGTCATCAGAAATAAGCTCCATAACAATGACACACTGGCAGTACGGTCTGCCCTGCAGGTAGAAGACATCATGGAGCTGCTGGAAGTTTGCCTGAGAACCAGTGGACAACAAGTTCTTCCAACAGAAAGATGACATGGCTGTGGGAATCTCCGTATTACCCATTGTGAGCAACATCTTCATGGAGCATTTTGAGGAATTGGCTCTTGAATCGGCACAACATAAACGATCACTGTGGCCCCAGTAAGTTGTGACCCACCCACACTGGCTGGTACCTCAACTTCAACTCTAACCAACTGCTGTAGGTGAAAAAAGGTTTGATTCAGAGTCTGCACACCAGAGCTTCCACCATATGCCAAGGACAAGATCTGGTTAAAGAAATCAGCAGCCTGAGAAGTGATCGCCAGCTCAACGGTTATCCACAAGGTTCCATTGACTTGGTCGTTAACAACAAGGGTAGCAGTTGTCCGAATAAAGAGCAAAAGCCCCTGGGCTCTGTGTACAACCTATATGTGAAGGATGTTTCTCAGAAGTTCAAATGTATAGGGAATCGATACAACATCAGGACTATATTCAGAACTAAACACACACTTAGGAATTCACTCATGAGAACAAGGCTGGAAAGAGATCCGCAACAGACGGCACAGTGCATCTACAGTATTTCCTGTGAGTGTGGAAGAAGCTATATTGGAGAGATAGGGAGAACTCTAGCTCTTTGAACATAGGCACCATCTCAACAGGGTCTTCTCGAAGAATCAAAATTAGCCCAACATGCCTATGGAGAGGGTCACAGAGTAGGCTAGGATGATGCCAGGATTTTGGAAATTGAAAGTAGCAGCAGGTATAGGAAATATAAAGAATGGGCCCAAATGGCATGCTTAACCAATCCAATCAGCCAACCCAGTTTGGACATTTCTCCTATCTGGATACTCCTCATCAGCAATGAGGTTTCTAACTCACAGAGATCTCTATGACATGACAGACTCTTCATGCATTTCCATAACGTTCCATTCTCAAGTGTTCAGGTTACTCTACAGATGGCACTAGTGGTAGATATTACGTCTTCACAGTTCTTCCCATTTTTGTTTGAATTGGTGCTCATGCACTTGGTTTTTATCAGCTAGGTTTCTAACACAAATTTCTACCTCCTTTTCTGTCCTAGTTCCACGCATGTGTGCGCTCTATCACAATTTTTATTTTATGGTTTCTTGTTATCTCCCACTGAACTAGCCTGGTCTTATATGTTGAAATCGCTGGGTAAATCTGACTGGAGTAGTCCGGTGATTGAGATTAGCTCTTTTTAAGGAACTTAACTGAGTAGATGTCTTCCTTTCTCATCTGAAGATGGAAACAGACCCAGTTTCTGAAACGTTGTTTTTTCCATCCTCTGGAATTCTAGGTAATAAAAGTCCAAAAAGCCAGTAATTCTGCATACAAGGTTTGGAGTTACTATTCATTTCACTGTTTATTGTAATTGGTATGCTCTGACATATACTGGGTGTAGCAGAAAGGTGTGAATATTTTTTGGTTAGGTTGCTAGGCTCTGAGACCCAGTTGCATTACATTATAACTACACTATAATCATTCTCACTGAAGAGTATACATACATAATCACTTTACTGCACATTTGTTCCAGACCCTGTTTTATATTTTCAAACAAGTGCAACTCTCAGGCTTACAGCTACTTTCATACCAGTCTCTGCTCTCCTCAGTTACAGTAATTCTTCAGCATGTGTTGTTTGTTTATCTACTTATGTCTATTAGTGGATGAGTGATGGAAGTTAATGAAAGCAGTAACTAAATGTCTCTGTCTATTGTCTGAGATGGATCATCAAGGCAAACTTTTCTTGCAGGTCAATTTCATAAGGTACCTCAGGGTCAAACATTTTTCCTGAAAGTCTTACAATTTTTGTGATAATTGCACATAAGGGATGTTATGATTACAGTATTGAACTGTCAGGCTGAGTCTTTAATGTAGTGCTGTATTACATTATGACTTTGAAGCACATACCATCAATTTACATACATTTTTCTTCAGCATGCATAGTAACAGCAAACATTCGAGTTTTAATACTCATTCATTCACCAATTTCAGTATCATCACCTAATAGTGAATAATTGCACATGATTTTAATGTTTTTTTAATTATAAAGGAAGAGTTCATCACAGCTTTCATTATTTATAATTCTTTTTGCTGAATGCAGCTGTCAAATATACACTGTATACTTTCATGATCTTGTTAAATTCATTCATGCTCTACACAAGTTCAAGTTTTTGCTCTGTTTGTTTCATGCTCATTAATTTTGTCTTTCCATTATTTCTCTTGTAGCTCCTGAAAGCTCTGCTAGTTTCATGTCTCAGATTGTCTCAATTATCTCCATTCAGTTGACTTCGGTTTTGCAATCACTGTAGAGGCCTGCTTTAACTGTAACAAACTAACTATCAATGGTTGAAGTTTTTACATTATTTCTATTAAGACTGTAGATATCTACCCTAAAGATGGAGGCAGCAGACTCCTCTCAAACCACTTATGAAAGTATGCCATGTCACAACTAAGAAGACCACAATTTTAATTTTCACTGACATAAAATGTTTTGTTTCTTTAACCAAAAATGGAAAGTGATCTCTTTATGAGTCAGTTTACTCTACTTCAATACTGCTTGTCCATCTGCACCTGGATCTTCCAATGTTTTCTTCCTCTGAGGCATTCCAACAAGTTGTACATGTAGTCATATTTCTCATTTGAACAAAAAACGAATTTTACTGTACGAGTATCTCTTGCACAATGCACCCTTTGTTTAATCAGCAATTGACATCAAAAGCTTCAATACAGTGAATGTTGAAGTCATGTGGGTAGAGCTCTTGCTTTGAATTTAGCAGGTCACAGGTCATGATCTCAGCCTTAAGGCCAGCTATCCTGAGGTCTTTCATGACTTCCTTTGTCCTTCCAGGCATGTGTTGGGGCAGTACCTCAAATTAGGCCACCTCCACTTCCTTTGCAGTTCATTATTCACCAATAAGCCTGTCGCTCAGTGTTATATACTCTGGGCTACTGAAAGGATCAATAAATTAAAAAAATTAAAAAACAGCACCAGAGCTGGAAATTGGCATAAATGCAGGTGGATGCTGTCTACATAGATGCAAAGAGCTTTCTTAACAAAACTATTTTCAGTGCCTTAAGAATCATAACCATCAATTCTAACAATACATACAGAAATTCAGTCTTAAACCTGCAATGTAATTATTTCTTTTATAACATGTGTTGGTAATTCCTCAGGCTGTTCTACTGATTTGGAGCTCCCACCTAGTTCTGAAAAGCCATTTCCACCTCTGAAGACCACAGATTAATAACTTAACTACAGAAAATTAACAACCCCAAAAGCAATAACATATAAAAATTACACTTAAAATAAATCTCTAGTTACAATGACACACACAGTGGTACAAAATGAAATTTCCCTTGGAAAGTAATAACTCTTTAGTTATGAAGCATATGGAACACACCATCAAGAGGTAACCTATGAGATGCATACCCCAACCTAAACTGCAAAGACATCCTACCTGTTTTGCCATTGTGGAATACATACAGACTCCGTAACAGCTGCTGGCGCTTGGTCTGCGGCAAACTTTGATCCTCCCAGCCAGTATGTTTAAGGGATTACATTTTGTAGGATTTCTGAAATAATTCCAACAAAAGTGTATTGGAAAAGTATCTTTCATATTCTAATTGCATTTATCACTAACACAATAAAAGCAAAGGCCCTATACATACAAGCAACCTTATCTACCCACAACAATGGTTTTCAAACACTGGTTCGTGGCCTTGCAAAAGATTCCAAAAACTGTTTACGAAGGACTAGAAAAATCAAGGCAGCACCACAGCTAAAGCAGTTAGACATCAGCTCCTTCTCGTGGAGCCACACGCTACAGTGGGATTTGTCGATGATGTGGCATGGGACAGAGCTTTCTCTAATACTTTACTTCCCCTGCCAATCATTATTCCAATTTGCTCCTGTACTCAACCATCACTGCCTATGAGGTATATCATAGGATCAACCAGCCAGCACATCATCAGAAACTCAGTCCTCATCTGGCACTTGACTGGACTCAGAATATAGAAGTTTGGTTTTCTCTTAAAGGAAAATCAAGTGTTAGAATTACAGTTATGATACTTGTGGACTCATGACGTCAAAGTAATTTACCAAGATTCTATTCTGTACTGGTCCAGCATTTATTAATGAATTCTGAAGATTCTGAACTGTCCTGTTTTCAGTCATGCTAGTGAGCACTCCAAAATCAATGATGAAACTGGTTTCAATCATTAAATGCCAACAACAAAGCATTATGTATATTATTAAACTCTAAGAACATAAATTATTCAGAGTACTACCTTCTGAGATATGCCATAAAATTCATAAATCTACCCATACAAACTTCTACCTAAATTCCAGCTCTCACCACCGCCCTTCCAACAAGCATTCCATACTTTCCACACTGGTACACAGAGCCAGAGCTCTGTGATCAAGACAGCCTTCATGTGGCATTGGTGTTCCTGGGAGACATTTTCAGGCAGAATGGCTACACAAACCGGCAGAGCCAAAGGGCCCTCAACCCTCCCCTAAGGGTTGCCCAGCCCAACGAAAAGCCAGACTCAGTCACTTTCCTGCTTTATGTCAAGTCGATATTCAACCCCATCAGCAGGGTGCTGTCTCAGCACAACATCAAGTCTGTGGGCCCCTTCCAGGAAAATATCTGGTTTCTTTCAGTCAGCCAAGGATGACCTCAGACTGAAGATGCCAGGAGTATACAGCATCCCCTGAGAGTGTGGTCAGGTCTACATTGGGCAGATGGGCTATTTGACTGACAAAAGGTTGAAGGAGCACAAGTGACATATCTGTTTAGATGTCAGCCGTGGAAGAGCTTGGGGCACCACATCCAGCTATACTGCACTGCCATCCTCTCCACCAAACCCAGATACTTCTGTCTTCTGTCTGAGCAAGTCATGAAAATCTTTCATTTGCTCCCTGAAAGATTGTAGGAAGCCTCCATTACATGAGAGCAGATCTGGGTTCTGCAAGGTACCATGCAGGTCTGTTCACACTACCCTTATCAGGGCATAAAATATGCCCTCTCCAGGCATTCACCAGCCTCCACCCTAATATCCCAGCTTCCTTCTGCTACCACTGCTCCCTCATCCACCACCGCATGCTTGCGACTCAATTACTTGACCTCTCCCCATACACATTGGTTCCCTGTCAAACACACCCTTACACTCTTTAGACCAACAAACCACCCCTTTTCAGGGCCATCAAAACTCCTGTTATCTCCTATTGGTTCACTCGGTGGTGGTGTGAGAATCCAGTGGTTTCATTCTGTCCCATGGCAAGCCAATGGGAAGTAAGGTCCACTCTTCCCTCCTACTTCTTAAATAACCTGAAATTTCTGGCCAGCTGATTACTTGGATTGCAACCTGCTTTCACGCTGGTATCTTGATCAGCTTATTCAACCCTGAAGATGGAGGTGATATGTTCTCCAAAACTTAATGTCAATTAGTTTTATAGAACAGTGTTGCATGTGAGACTGTAAAAAATTAATAGGCACCGAGTGAAAAATGCAACAGGATGCTAAAATATCATACTATTACTTCGAAACATCAGTTGACTTTCAACGGAGTACACAACGTTATATTCCACAAGATAGTACTCTTCACAACCACTGATATGAGAACCTCAAATCTATAAATACTGTTTTCAAATGGCATTATAGTAGCTGTCATGAAAGTAAACTGGTTTTTTAAATATTTATTTCTAAAGCTGTAACTGATGAAAATTCAGACTGTTCTTCAACACAATTCATGATAATGTTATAGGAAATATTTTAAGAAGGGATAAGGGGATATATTAATTATCTAATGATCTTAGCACAAAATGGACACATTAAACCTGCTGTTCTAAATGTCATACACTTATAATGAACAAAACATGAATCTAATCACTCATTCAATTCCATCCTTCAATAATAACAAATTCAGCAGCAGATAAAGCAAAACAAAATAAAACAAAAAAGTTCTGATTTTAAGGTTAATTAAAAAAATAAGGGAACTATTTTTGGAATTACAATTTATACAGCATTTTATCAATGGCTGAATCAAGGATAATGAGGTCAGGACATGCAATATGAATAGGAAAAATTATAAATAAAAACACGAAAAGAAAAAAGAAAACAACAGAGACAGCAAAGTGATCTCATAAGTCTCCTAACAAAAATGGGAGGGGGATACAGAGACAGCTTCGTTACCTCATAAACCAGTGGACAGACTCAAGTCAGATACAGGCACGGATACACAAACAGCAAGGACATCTCGTAAGCCTCCTTTTATTTTTTAAGAAATAAAGAAATCACACTAAATATGAGACTCTTAGTAAACAATCTTATGAAAATGAAAAGAGCTTAATGCATAAACTGCAAAACATATTAAAATAGATACAAACTCAATTATGATGGGTTAAAATGATATTTTTTGTTAATACCATACACTCATTAACCTTTAAACGCGGGACTTCTGAAATGGTGGCAAGCTTGAGCTGGCCAGAGTTTATTTAAATGCCCATTGTTACTCTGTATTTAAATGTCCGTTCCTGTTAGGGTGCTTAAACAATTTTAAGCATTGTGTTTAAAGATGCTGTATTTAACTAACTTTTTATGACAAATGGATGGAATTAACTTTGTTTGTATCAGCAAAGAATATAGTGTCGCATATTATAACGAAAGGTTTGAAAATTTTTATACAAAGAGTTATAATCTATTTTCAATTTTTTTCTTCTAATTTTGATGCGTACTGCAAAAATGTATCACGTACATATGTTTGTGATTTAATTGTGCTCAATATGGATGTCATCTAATCATGCCAGGACAGATAAATAATGCCCCTCAAGATGGGCTGGATATTTACATTGGACGGGACAGACGACTGCTTATAGTATGTATGTAGGGTAGTTTCCTGGAAAAGAAACAGAGATGGGAACATATTATTAAAATGGATTATAAGGAAACTGGTTTCAGTGATGTAGAATGTCTAAGGAACAGATTCAATTACTGATTTTTGTTTCAGATATAAAGAATTTATAGGTTCAAATACCATATAGAATTAGCTTCAGATAGCCACAAAATGAATCTAAATTGCTTTATGTATTGTAACGTGTTTGGAGTAGATACTTCCACGGTAACATAATAACAGTGGGCCATTGCGTAGGAAGTAACAATAGCAGTATTGTAATTCTAACAGGGAGTCTCCATGGTTACAACAGAAGGTTCAATGCATAGCAATGGCCGCGGGTATGAGAAGGTAATGCATTCGCCAAGACAGTCTTGGGATAACTGTGATCGAGGACAGTTGAGATCCTACCACGGTCAAAAACAGTTGGAAGACAGCCACCGCAGAATGCAGTTGAAGTGATACCATTTGTATTTGAGTGCGTAAGAATAAATGTGTGTGAAGTTATTTGTCGCGTGGCATACCCAACATGTGACAGTATATTCCATGATCATATCTTTTTAATTTACAATCTGTAATGAAACAATGTGAATTGCTCAAGTGGGAACTACATTAATGGTGTCATTTAATACAGCAACCCCCCCCTCCCTTTTCATGTCATCATTCAAATTCTAAATATACTCTTACATATTATGGCAATAACTGATGAATCTATACATCCACTCCCCCATATGCCTTCATGGTGTTAGTGCTCAAATAGTTTGGCACAGGGGCTTTACCTTTACCACTGATGAAGTTTTACTTCATATGCTTAAAATAATGTCATGGCATAAAGCCTTGAGCCAACAGCTAACAATTTCTAGATACAGGCATACCAAGTTTTATTGTGTTTTGCATGTATTGCATTTTTTTACAAATTGAAGGTCAAGGTGTAATTTTGACTTTCAAGTCTTATATTTAAGAAATACATTTTGTACGGCTATAGCTGCCATAGATGACTTTGAGGGGTTCAAGACTTCTGTGAAGGAAATAACTGCAGATGTGGTGAAATAACAAGAGAGCTAAAATTAGGAGTGGAGCCTGATGATATGACTGAATTTTTGCAATCTCAAGATAAAACTTTAATGGATGAGGAATTGCTTCTTATGGACGAGCAAAGAAAGCTGTTTCTTGAGATGGAATCTACTCCTGGTGAAGATGTTGTGAACACTGTTGAAATGACAACAAAGGATTTAGAATATTACATAAACTTAGTTGATAAAGCAATGGCAGGGTTTTAGAGGACTGACTCCAGTTTTGAAAGAAGTTCTATTGTGGTTAAAATGCAATCAAACAGCATTGCATGTCACAGGGAAGTCTTTCATGAAAGGAAGAGTCAATCGATTTGGTAAACTTCACTGCTGTCTCATTTTACTAAATTGCTGCAGCCACCCCAACCTTCAGCAACCACCACCCTGCTCAATCAGCAGCCATCAACATTGAGGCAAGAACTGCCACCAGTAAAAAAGATTACAAGTCACTGAAAACTCAGATGATAGTTAGCATTTTTAACAATAAAGTATTTTTAATTAAGGCATGTAAATTGCATTTTTTTAGACATAATACTACTGCACACTTAACAGACTACAATATAGTGTAAACATAACTTTTACATGCACTGGGAAACCAATAAATTTGTGAATCGCTTTACTGCGGTGATCTGGTACCGAACCTGCAATATCTCTGAGGTATGCCTGTACATAGTATCACAATGATGGATCAAGAAACCTCGAACTATTAATTAACAAATTTTTTCAGCAAAATCCATACATACATGGGACTTTTTCCTTCTGTAATGTTCATACTTTTACTGTTATAAACAAGAGATTCAACATCCTAAATTAAACTGAATACATATATAAAAAAAACTTGTGAATTGTATACACATACCTACAAATATCTAACATGACTTAGACTTCAGTAAGAATAAAGCAATGTTGCACATATAAATCAATTAAACAGGATAAAAGAAATTAACTGCTAATGATTATAGTGGCCACACAGTCTACAGTGCAAATGGTCCTGGATGACTTTAATATTGGGATTCTAGGTTCTAACCCTGTCTGGGACATGTATGTATGTCTATATTTTCCTATGTCTTGTTCTGTACAAGTAAAGGCCTTACTCTGGCCTCAACTCCTATCCAAGGAATCCTACCAAATGTCCAAAAAACTTCAATATGTGAAAGATGAAGGTACTAGGCAATAATCTGTATACTCCTGCTCAAGGATTAGTTTCTCCTTCAAAGGAATAAAAGAGTATAGATGATGATTCACTATTACATGTTATGTAGGCTGGTTACAAATTTCCCTTCTGTGTGCCACCTCTTATATGTCTAAAGTCATCTGAAATTCTACTGCTGCACAGAGTAATTTCAGGGAAAGTGTACATGACCGGTCTCAGTCTAAGCACAAGAATGCTCTCTGAATGAATGCAGTTTCATGTTAATATAAAAATATAGACACAAGTTTAAATTCATGAAGACAAATCATAAAGTTTCCCTAAATAGCCACTGCCATCCCTGCAAACTTATACACAGGTGCTCAAAGTCAGACTCAACTGCTTAGTCAGTCATACACAACTGATACTACTGAATACAAATCTGTATCAAGCACTGAACCTAATATATATGTCATGTCACTTGTTTCATCATCAATCAACATTAAAAGAACTAGATGCATTACAGACAGCAACATATGGCACACACTCACTCATTCTCTAGCATCGTCACTGATGACCTCACCATGTGTGAAGTCAATAATTTTAACCCTTTGACGTGGTCATTTAAATTCCGCGGCTCCTGCGGTAATATATTCAGCCGGCCATTTAAATTTTGCTCGAAAATTATTTATTCATCATTGTTCTTAAATTCTATGAGATAGGAACATGAAACTTTCACTAAAATGATCTTAAAAGGTGGTTTTATAACCTTACCTTATAATATGAACCCCCTTTATATCTTCAATGGAAGCAGGTTGTTTAGTATTTGAG